ACCACCTCTCGAAGCCGTTCATGGTAGGGCCCATGAAGGGCGCTGTGGGGAGGTCGCCATTGAGAGTCGTGTCGATGATGGAGACGGAGACGGTCGACTTTGAAGGAGGGATATCCAAGGATGAAGTTGCAGACATGTTTGCGGTATTCGAGGTTGTTAGTTCAAAGACTCAAGGATGTGTGATGGACATGATATTTGTTGCTCAGCGACGATACCGGGCATTTGGATATTTTTATCTTGTCTCCAATCCCAGAGCCTCAGACTCAAGAGGTGCGTCATAGCGGCTGTATTCCTCTTCGTAACCTATTAGCCTCATTCAGACAAGGCTCCATTCCCGGGCCGAATGCCATGCAGTTGACAGCAACTACCGGCGATGATTAATCTTATCACTGCGGACGAACTCGGATGACAGAGCCTTGCCGTCAGTGCTCACATGCACCAAAAGTACGGAGACATGCGGGCTGACCAAGACGGTACATCCGCGGATCATCCGCGGTTTACACAAGAAAAGTCCGCAATCCAACGCCCAAAAACGTTATCCGTATCTGCGGCGTCGATCCCGTCAATCCCATTCGAGAAAAGGAAAACAAATCCAGCATGCGCCGTGGAGCCGTGGAGAGAATCGGAGATCCCCCATGATTACCCGGGCCAATTCACCTCGCCGGCCGTCAGCCGCCGTTATTCAGTCGGGCCAACCCCGTGCCCGCTGACCGGTGACTGGCGCTGTCTCCACCTCCGTGGCCACCGGTGTAACAATGTGGGGTGCCATCTATGCCTTCGAAGTATGGGCGCTTGCCCACCACTCCTCAAATGTTTTCCTATCGCTATTCCCTGTCTTAGGACCAGAACAGAATAGGAAGCATTTGTTTTTCTAAGAGCTCCGTTTATTTTCCACATGACCCTGAAAGCATCTTAAGATGCAAGATTTTGCTGTATAATGCATAATGCCATGTAATTGCCGCCAACGCTCAGTCGCGAAGGAACATGCATTCGCTTAGGAAAGACGACATTTGGTTCAAGATCATGATTATTAAAGCCTATCGAAGTCGTGACGATCTACCGATCCATCAAGATGCAAATCCATAGTTTCATGCAAAACCCCTCTCAGGGTAACAAAACTATCAACCTCCACCTAAAACACGGCCTGCCTCTTTCCTCCTCTGACTCGGCCGTCAAATCATGGATTTTGCGCTATGCAACAAATCCTCTTCGTGATAGTGGTATCATTAACTCTTCGCGAATCAAATTACAGAAAAACAATTAAATCGGAAATGCTGCTCAGACTTCACCGCCCGCCATCCGGCCCTTCTCGTCATTGCTGTTGCTCGGGGAAGCATCAGCAGTGTGGGTATCGCCCGATAGGTTGGTGTTGGTGCGGTGCTGGGAGCGGCTACGGCGGCCAGTCGACTCGCCAGTATCCTTGCGGCCGAAAGAGTGCCAACTCTTGAAAGAGCTGAAGGTGATGGTCTTCTTGAAGTCGCGGCCCTCGTCTTCGCCACCCTGGCTGAAGGCACCGCGGACAACCTGGTGATCATCGAGGAGGTTGAAGGTGCGCTTGACGATTTTCCAAGCCTCCACACCAACGACGTACAGGAGAGTGAATCCGACGACGATACCCCACTCCCAGGTGATTCCAATGTGCTTGAAGAGGGTGGTGTTGAGGGTCGGGATGTAGATGACGGGGAAGACAGACAGGGCACCAATGATGACGGCCCAGAACAGGAACTTGTTGTCGTAAATATCCTTGAAGAAGGGGAACTTGCTCTTGCTGTCAGGGTTGAGACGGAACATGGAGCGACGAAGGTTCTTGAACTCCCAGGCAGAAATGAGAATGATCCAGGTGAGCTCGGCAAAGACAGCAGCGCGGGCACGGAAGACGGGTCTGCATGCCTCGGTGAAGGTCTTGTTGCACTCGGAACCCAGGTTTCCGCCGTTGGCTCCATAGACGACGATGATGAAAGTGGCCAAGGTCAAGGCACCCATGATGATACCGTACACAATCATATCGATGATGATTTGGTTGGTGAAGACACCGCGCTTCTTGTTCTGAGGGGGCTTGCGCATGACATCGGAGGCGGCCTGCTCACGACCAAGGCCGAAGGCGGGGAAGGACGAGGTGACCATGTTGATCCAGAGAATCTCGAGGGGAGAAATTGGGAAGACTGACAGATCGGCACCGTCGCGGAAAGCAAGACCACAGCACAGAAGGATAACCTCCCCAACGTTGGAGCTGAGAAGATGGAGAATAAACTTCTGGATGTTGTCAAACATGCGACGGCCCTGGCGAATCGCGGAAACAATGGAGTTGAACTTGTCATCCGTGAGCACAATCTTGGAGGCCGACTTGGCAACATCAGATCCAGAGCCCATGGCGATACCGACGTCAGCACGAGCCAATGAGGGGGCATCGTTGACACCATCACCAGTCATGGCCATAAAGGCGTTGCGGCGACGGAGAGCGTCGATCATGCGGGTCTTGGTATCGGGAGCACAGCGGGCAATGACCAAAGGAAGCTCGGGCATGGCGTCAATCTCAGCGTCGGTCATCTTGTCAAAATCCGTGGCCTTCTGCACAACCGCTCTGGCAACTTCGTCGGGGAGAACACCCAGGTTCTTGGGGATGATGCCGACTTCCTTGGCGATAGCCTTGGCTGTCTCGGGATGGTCGCCAGTGAGCATGTGGACCTTGATGCCAGCAGACGAACATTCAGCGATGGACGGCTTGGTCTCGCGGCGGGGAGGGTCGTAGATTCCGGCAAGACCCAGGAGAGTGAGGCCCTGCTCAACTTCAGTTCGCAGAGCATCTTCCTTCTCTTGGGCGACGTCAGCCTGCTTGGTGGTGAACTTTCCATTCCAGTCGCGGCAGCCAATGGCGAGCACTCGCTGGCCTTGGGAGGCCAGCTCGTTCATCTGGTTGAGAACATCTTCCTTCAAGGCGTCGGTGAGCTCCTGTCTGTCGTCGCCAAAGCCAATGTGGGTGCAAAGATCCAGGATGCGCTCGACGGCACCCTTGGTGAATACCAAACTGTTCTCGGGACCCCAGATATCGGCAGTCTCGTCGTTCGCGGGAATATCGTAGATGACGGACATACGCTTGATGGAGCTGTCGAAGGGGAATTCAGCAAGCTGCTTCCAGCCAAGGCCTTCGAGGGACTTCTTTCCGAGCTTGAAGCGGTGCGAGAAGATTTGAAGGGCAATCTCCGTAGGCTCTCCAGTGGTTTGCCATTTGGCTTCCTCTTCGTCGTATCGTACAGTGGCCAGGTTGCAAAGAGCGGAAGACAGGAGGAAAGCCTTGAGGCGTGGAGTCATCTCGGCCTCGTTCTCGGCCTCGGGCGCCTTAGCAGGCTGCTTGTTTTGAAGCTTCTCTTCAGGGACGTCGAACTTGAGAACAGCGGCAGATCTCTCCTGATCGTAGTCGCGCTTGGGAGCCTCATCGACAACCTTCTCCTGCTCCTTGGATTCAGAGTGGGTAACGCGGCCCTTGGTAGGGTCGTTGGGGCTTTGAGAGTCGCGGACGGTGTATGTGTGTGAGAATGGAAGCCAGGCCTTGCGGACAATCATAGCACCCTGTGTAAGGGTTCCAGTCTTATCGGAGCAGATGTTGGTAACACCACCAAGGGCCTCGAGGGCAGAAAGGTCTCGGACGACGACGTTGGACTTTCGCATGACGGTCACGGCGACGACCATTGTGATTGTGAGGACGCTGAAAGACGTTAGTTGGGGTTGGGGTTACCGACGTGGTTATCAACACTTACGCAACGAGGGACTCGGGAATGATGGCAATACCGAGGGAAACGGCATAGATGATAACTTCACCAGTGACATCGAACTTGTGAGCGGCGAAGACAATGATGGCCAGGATGATGGCGCAGCCGAAAAGCAGGTAAGCCAGCGCAGCCAGCTTCTTCTGCAGGGGTGTACCCTCAGTGAGACCCAGAAATTTGCCGACGGCATCATAAACACGTCTGGAGAGACCAACAACAGGCTGACGCTTGCCGTACTTCTTGTAGTTCATGGAGCGACCAGGCTTGCGAGTCTTCTTCTGTGTGGATGCGGCAATCTTTCCAACTTCAGTCTGCATGCCGGTAGCAACCACAATACCACGACCACGGCCCTTGCGAACAATGGTAGTGGCGTATGCGATGTTGAGACGGTCACCGATGCCAACCTCGCCTTCTTCGGTGGCTTTCTTCTCGGTGCCAGGGACCATGATGTTGGCTTCGGTAGTCTTGTCGACAGGTTGAGCTTCACCGGTAAGAGACTGCTCATCGCAGGACAGGTTCATAGCCTCGAACATGCGCATATCGGCGGGCACGGTATCACCCATCTTGAGAAGGATGATGTCACCGGGAACAACTTCGGCGCTTTTGCAATGGTTAGCATGTTTGCCAAGGGGAAACAAGCAAGGCGGCTAAGAGCCAAGATAGCCAAGATGAGAGAAAGTGGGGGAACTGCGCGTTGACGCATTGCGAGTACTTACTTGGGGATGACCTTGGTCTTTCCATCGCGGAGAACATTGGCAGAGGGAGCAGACAGAGTGCGGAGAGCGTCCATCTGCTTCTCAGCGCGGTACTCCTGCCAGAAACCGATTGTGACGTTGGCGACAATAACGAAGGCCAGAACGCCACCCTCGATGTAGTCATTGATGGCGAAACTGAGAATCATAGCGAAGACGAGAACGAGCACCATGGCATTGAACAGCTGCTTGCTGAGAATGGTGTACCATGGCACCGACTCGCCGACTTCGAACTCATTGGGAGGGTACTTGTCCAAAGCCTGCTGGACTTGCTGCGAAGACAATCCCTTGTCGGGGTCAACTCCGAGCGCCTGAGCGGTCTCTTGGACCGTCAGCAGGAAGGGGTGCTTTGGGTAGTCACCAGACATTGTGTCGTGTCTGAGCTGGCGACGTCGATGAGATGTAGGATGTTTCCATTCACGAATGAGGTGGTGGGTGGAAAGAAGTTTCAGTCGGCTGTAGCAATTGAGGCCGGAGGTAGGTGATGGCGATGCCTCTCGCGGATGAGGTCAGAATGGATGGTTGGCTTGGTGACCCGAATAGGCTTCTTCCGTGGTGTGGTTGGAAAGAAGATTGAGGGGAAGCTGTTTGACCGCCAGATCTAGAGCTTGAGATCACAAAGGTTGAGGGGGACAAGGCTAACTTTATAGACTGACAGCCGGAAGACTGGTAGACTTGGAAATGCGCAGGGTTTCGAAAAGTTTGGAAGCTTGTGCCTCGTAGCCCACAAGGTCATCAGCGTCAGACTGGGAAAGTGAAAGAAAGAGAGAGAAAAACCTGTGAAAGATGCCAAGCTCTGGGCACATGATAACACTCCCCCCCCCCTTCTGTCCTGGAGGGGCGTTGTCGTGAGGGAAACATTGGCACGAGAGCTTGTAAAAGAAAAAAAGGCATTCGGTCATTGTGCCGACTGAAAGAGTGTGATTGGGCGCGAATGGTGTTACCAAGGCGGTAGACATGGAAGCTTGACTTGGCTGAACTTGGCGGGTGGTGAGCTTCTTGGCTTTTGGAGACCGTTCCAGTTTCCTGAGAGCTTTGGTTTGGAGTTGGCAAAGGCAGAAAAAGGACTGAGAGCAAAGACGGTCCGGTTGGGTGGTGCTCCTCGGGTGACGATGACCTTGGCGGAGCTCTTGGCGGAGGGAAGCGTCGTGCACGGAAGTGGGCCACGGATTAAGGTAGGGAAAGAGCAGGGGAAGGAAGGAACACTGGAGAAGCACCGGAGGGAGGCCCGGGGACATGTAATGCATTCAATGAGGTAGGTACTTGTTCATATTGAGGTAAGTTAGTAGGCAAGTAAGGCAAGTGCAATTGCTTGTTTCTGATATCATGACAAATTCTTGATGCGAACCTGGGGGTTTGCTTACTTGTACGGAACGTTTGGGTGAAGCGACCAACTGTGAGCAGGAAGATGATGTTGTGCAGTTGGAGCCTCAACACAGAAACACCTGGGAAAGCGCTATCACACGAACGGAACATTGCAGCTGCAAACAAATTGAAAGTTTCTGGTGCACACATATTTGAAAATTGAGTGTGACTCTGCAGCTCATATCTTCTTACCTTTTCGACATGAAAGCAATGGAATGGAACGAACCCCGTTGATGTCAGTGACGCCATTGGCCGCCGCATGGTGAATAAAGTTATTCGATGCGATGAACCAATGGCAATTCTGGACTGCGCCATGGGGGCTTGCATCACGTGCTGCTGGACGTACCCATCCCAAACGCACAGACATACTCACATTTATATGGGTCTTTTCAAATGAGCATGTTGTGTGATTGGCTCGCCACCTCTTGGCCACTGGATTTCTTCTCTTTTGGCTCGCCTCCAGCTGGTTCAGCACTCCAGTGGCAGGAGCAGCAACTGGTTATAGCGGGTGGAGGTACCTTGCCAGCCAAGATGCACAGCCATGGTACTTACGCGCCTCAGCGGACTCGCCGCGATTATCCGCTGTAGGGTGGTCGCAGGGGGGCGAATCATGGCGCCTTGGCTGCCGCAAAAGCCCACAACGGCCACTGAGAGCCGCTGAAACTGAACGCTGCGTCTCGCTGTTTGGCTGTTTGCGTTGCACCTTCCTGGCCACGCATAGGTACGAGTGTGGGAAGGTACCTGGATGCTCCAGCGAAATGGAACAACTCTCGGCCTCACCTCAACAAAAAAGACTCCGAAACGACGTGATCCTTTCAACAACGCCTCCTCCCAGATGCCGAACTCCCACTTGCACCCCAGAACGACATGCCAAACCTAGTTATCGTATATCTCCGAGAGCTGAGGCTGAGAGAGGCTCAACTCTGATATCACGTGTACCCTACGCGTCAGCTGACCAGTCTCTTTCGTATGGAAGATGCTTGCAACAAGACCACAAGACCTTATCGAATCCATCCCCGAACCCAAGAAGCCGGAGCCATACGCTGGCTTCGCTTTCCGCCGGGCGGAGCGAGATGGCGAGACCGGATGGCAACACGGCACGCCACATTCAGTCACTTTTCGCCCAACTCCGTCCGCTGCCAAGAATCCGACCTTTACCACACCAGTTCGCTCGCGCCATCAGTCGTACGCTATCTTTCACACCATCTATCACAATCTTGCATATCAAAACGCCCAGCTAGGCAGAATTAGACGGCCGAACAAGGGGGGACCGGGGTTCGACGGCGTGTCGTCGGCGCGGGCGATGTAGGAAACATCTCCAACCTCCGGACGACAATTGACGGCGAACATCACCGTGCCGCCCCGGAGATGGGCAGACGAAAAAGCAAATCTATTCCGACTGCAATCGAGGAATCTGATGCCTACCCTCCCATTTCTGCAACCGCTGCAACCCTTCATCCACGTAGGAATGTGGGTTCTGGCAGTCCTGCCCAGCCTACATACCATTTATACCGAACCCTCTAGAAATAGACCCATCCTGATCAACCAGAAAGGCGACAACGATTCAACCCTCGGCCTGCCCCCAATCCTTCGCGCGTATCGTACACCGTGGGTTACAGTTGGGACCTAGCTACCCACCATTGCGACTCCGTTTGCGCCGACTCTACTTGGCGACCCTTGGCAGTTCTTGTCCTACGACTCAACGACGTTGGATCAGCTCCGACGTGGGATGACCGACACTGGGCCCAGGCATTCTAGACCCCAGGAATCCCCATTGAACCCCATTATCCCACATCGCCTTCAATTGACCACTCACGGCCCCGAAGCCCGCAGCCCGCAATCCCGAAGACGTAGACTCGCACGCTCGCAGCTCGCATAACCCAAACCTATCACACACAGACTAGAACGAGGGGACGAGAGACATTACATCGCACATGGAGGGGGCGCGTCGACGATCCAAGCGCGGTTTTCCTCATCTGTGCTGCCTGTCGCCCATCACCCCGCGCCCGGCGCCCGTATCTGCGTGCGTGCTATCCGAGATCAATTTGTCGCTCCCGGCGGCTGCTCCCCCTCCTCATCCGAGCTGCTTCAAACCAACGTCCTCGTCAACGCCGAGCTCAAGCTTCCAATTCCTGTCATTCTTGTTCACCAGGTGCAACCTCGAATGGTCTGACACGGTCACAATCTTCTCGGTGGAGTCGCCAAGCGCTTGGCTTCTCACGACCACGCAAGATGGTGTGGACCAGGCCAAGTGACGTAGGAGGTTCAACCCAGAATGTACTTCCGCCCCCCTTGAGCCCTTCGTTTCTTGGGTTCCACGCTCGCTCGGGCCAGAAACACCACTAAGGAGTAGTTCTTCCTCGTATGTTTTTGGCAACGAAACTTTGTCGCCAAGCCGTCGCCGTGGTCCCTGGAGTCGTCGAGCCCCCATCGGGTTCGTGTATAGCGTCGGGAAGAATCCAAATCATGCTCACTGACACTCTCCATGCCGTCACCTGGCACCATCGGCCATCGCCCCGAACCAGCCCCTCGGAACGGTCTAAGATGTGTTGCCATTGTCGGTCTACCGCTACACTACGCCACTTGTAGCGTAAGCTAGACCTTCCTCGGAGGAAACTACAGGACACTCACACGTTTGCGGCAGCACACCTAGCTAGCATAGCTGGGGTGAGACACCTGGCCGGTGGCCGCATGTTTCTCCAACACAAACACACTGTAAGAGCAGTCACTACACCAGCGACGTGCTCGCGATGATGAATTGATGATCAGTGTCGCTGTTACAGCCTAAGCACCTAATGATCCGTCTGGCCCGTCTTACCTTTTTTTCGTCTCCAGACTGCTCCACGCAAAGCTTGACTTTTGCTTGTCCTGCCTCCTCCCATGAGCTTGTATTACGGCACTTTGCATGTACCCGCGTCTTGGATGATGGCATCGACTGCCGGTCTCGCGGGGTTGGAGGCATGCAGAATGTCTACTTTGCCTTTGATGCTTGGCCGCGGCACCGTCATCATACATACAACAACAGAGACGAGTACCCGCCAACTCGCAACTCGGCCAGAGGATGGAGAATCTCTCAAAGTACCAGTCCAGGCTGCTTCGAGGGGTCCTTTGCTGCGCTGACGCCCTCCTCTCCACCTGTGACTTTGTCCAAGGCTTGGTGCTCTTGGGGTGTTCTTGGCCTTGGCGAAGCTGACCAACGGCCAGATCCCAAGGTTATTCAGCTGAATTTCAGCAAAAGGGTAAATGGATTTAGCTTAAATCTACATGCTTGATCCCATTGCGTTGCCACACCTTATCTGTTGACATGTTTTTGATGTTAGTCTTGTCACATTGCGAGATTGCCAATGGGCTGTGAAGCTTGTGAGCCATTGGCTTTGGGCCCAATCCAAGAACTAGCCAAAGTTATTGATTAAATAACAGTATCTGAGAATATTGGTCTGGTTATGTGGTACATGTTGACCGAAACAAGTCGTCTCCATTGGTCATCGATCACTGCTGAAACTCCCGGGTTCGACGAGTGTCGAGACATTCTGTCGATGACCCATGAGTTTCATTTGCTACTTCTGGATGCGTTGCTCAAGGAGACGATTTCTGAAGTACAGTACCACTGCTCACACGGTTAACATCACACTTGAGAATATCTGCTTCACGGTGTTCTATGTCACAAAGGAAAAGTCGGTTAGTACGGTAAGAGTTGTACAACCATCAGATCTATAAAAGATACCTGGATATATCTTGTAGTCATTTGATCTCATTTCTTGAGAAATACGTGCTAAGCTTCATAGAACAGTCGCAAGACATTTTCAAGTTCCCGTGTTCCAGCAGTGATCATGAGACTCTTAACATCAGTAGCAATCTGGCTCTCCATTGCCAGCACAGGGATCTGTAAGTTCAGTGCTCGATCCAGTCCTCACCTACCCAATTTCTGCGTTTAAACATACTCACACATTGTACCAGACGCCCAAGGGCTCTCCAAAGACACCGCATCAACCAACGAGCTGCCCGCCCTCTGCTCGGTACTCTGTCTGCCTCTCAAACTCGTCTTCCCGAACTGCGATACCCTCTGCCAGACATGCGAAAAGCCCAAGACGTTTTGCAAGACTGGTAAGACGGCTGAGTGTGTTGACCTGTCGACTGATGTCGGTAATTGCGGGAAGTGCGGGAACAAGGTCAGTTTTGTGGTCTTTTTTGGCATCTTGTAGCCTGATATATGGTCTTGGAACTGGCGTATTGATCTTTTGCTAGTGCGGCGACAAGGAAAGTTGCTGCAACTCGAAGTGCATCTCCTCGGCCAGCTTTCAGACTGATAGTAACAACTGTGGCAAGTGTGGTGTCAAGGTACGTTGATGCCTCTCTTATTCATCTTCTTGTTCGATCACGTGTGGTTGAGAAAGTCGTCCTTGAAGTTCCTCATTTGCTAAAACTTGATACAATCCTCAGTGTGATGAAGGTCAAGCTTGCTGCGATTCTCAGTGTATAAGTACGATGCAGTTGCGGAGTGATGGTAAAAACTGCGGAACGTGCGGTAGCAAGGTAAGTTACCTTCGATGATGTTTACTGGTTGGAGGCAAGGGTTATAGGTAAACTGCTTTCGAAGGCTGATTTGACTGTGTGATTAGTGTGGCCAGGGCACGGTTTGCTGCAACTCCGAGTGTCTTCCCAAAGACGCATTCCAGAGCGATCCCATGAATTGCGGCAAATGCGGGAATAAGGTAAGGCTTTTCTTCATACAATACACCATCTAGAATACAAAGGCTCAACTGAGTATGACAACAGTGCCCGGAAAACTTCAACTGCCACTCAGGTCACTGTCTCGAACCACACACCTGTAAAGCGGGCGTCTCCCTCCTCGAAAGCTGCCAAGATCCCATCGTCAGCGGATCAAGCTGTGGCGCCGGCGAGGACGAGCTGTGCGATTGCATGGAGCCTGTCGAGGGCGTCCCGTTCTGTGGCGCATTCGATGGGCAATATTGTCAGGACATGTGTAATTCTGATAAGGACTGCCATAATAGCAAGGGTAAGAAGTGTGCGAGAAGGGACAAGACGTGTTGTTCGGCGGTGGCTACCGATAGTAAGAGCCACAAAACGTTCAAGGGTGTGTGCTTTGAGGCTTGTGCAGGGAAATAAGAGGTTCGGCTGTTTTGACCTCTTCGGCTGCGGCTATGTGGAACTTTCGATAGTGTAGTTTTCAGGCATGTAGCAGATTCGAGTCATTGAACCAACGATCAGTACCTCAGCTTTTGATGTTGATCTGACAATTATTGCGATCTTGACCCTTCCGACTACCTACTGTATGTTGACTTCGCAGAGATAACATTCGGTCCGAAAGACACGAACTATAATATCCATCGAGGTATGTTCAAAAAAGAACCTGAACGTTAGGCTGAATCACTTAGCAGCATGGTGATCTAATCAAGATATCTCCGAAATGTCACCTCTTAGACTTCACAGTTCCTAGCCACAGCGTGGCCAAGATTCTAAAAGCCTTCGACCTGACTGCTCCGCTTTCATGACCTCCCTTCCCATGTCACTTTTCGGAGATAGCCTCAAGATTAGTATAACATCAGGGCTTTCTTCCTATCAATGCTGTATCTCTCAGACTCTTTCTCATCTCTCAGATACCACTCTAAGCTTGATCTTCACCCCCCTACACCATATTCAAAAACGTATGTATTGTCCGTCTTCTCCTGCCTAACGTCCAACTACTAATCATCTCGAAGCATCAAGGAACTCCAATCATCATCATATTCCTGGCCCCGAAAGCAAACACAAAAACAAACACACACAACCGCAACAATGAAGCTCTCCACCGTACTCGCCATCCTCCTCGTCCCCATGGCAGTCCTCGCCAAGCCCCCCAAACGCACTGCTGGACGCACCGTCAGAGTCGACAGACTGCCAACCTGCATCCAATACTGCTTGTCAGAAACCAAATGGCGCCTTAAAGGCGGTCTCCCAAAACTCGCCGGCGAATGGTGTAGGAAATCGGCGCCACCCCTTACGCCTGAATGGGTCAAATTTGGCAAGGCCTTGGACGCGTGTAAGAAGCACCAGTGCGATCATAGCCTCCAATGGATCGACATGGCCGCCTGGGACTATGAGATGTGCCGGTTTGACGACAACATTAGGGAGGAGAGCATGAAGTTCTTCAATGGCTATCGCAGGGCGTACTGGTGGCCTAATGAGCGTCAGCCTATCCGACCTCCACATTCGAGGAACTGGATTTCGGAGGAGACTTATGATGAACCCGATGAGTGGAAGGCGGATAATGGAATTGGGAAGGGTGTGCCGGAAGACGAGGATCCTATCTTCGGCGAACCCACTCCCAAAAAGCCCAAACCTTTCTGAGGCTGTGGGTATCTTAGAGAATGGAAATCAAAGCCTAGATGTGGACGTCTAGAAGCTTTCGCGTCAGTCTAACACCAAACAAGATGCCAAAGACTACCTGTATGACATTCTCTCATCAATCATCGATCGTCTATCCAGTCTGGGCCTCACACTACACGAAATAGGTAACCATGAAATTGTATTAACCCTGCCATGAGTATTGTCTGGAAAATTACTTAGTTCTCAATTAAAATCATTGAACCCATCGTGCTTTGAAACATTATTGTGAGAAGTTCAACTTTTGTCTCAACCATTGCTTGAGCTTAAAGTGCCACTGATAGAGGTCTTCCCTTACTGCGGTTCCATGCCTGTGTAAGCCAAAAACATGACTATCATACCGGATAGCTCTGATTCGGATCTGTGGCGTTTTACAAACTCCGACGTGTTGTGCGGACTTTCAACTAAACCCTCGCTCAGCAAGGCTGAGATCTGAAGATGGCTGTGGCCGTCGTAATTGAGCCCAATTGTCACACAGAGTGTAGCGTGACTATAGAGTGGCGGACTTGGCGGACTTTGAGGGATTATGACTTCGGAACTTATTTTCCGCACATGCGCCTCCGAGTATTAGAATACCAACACTTGCCCTTGATTCTTTAGTGCGTTGAGAGCATTGTGTAAAAGTCAACCTGCACCTCTCTCTATTCACAAGCCTGCGTCTTGCAACCCTCTCTAAACATGACAGGTGCTGCTCTCTTCGTCGAAAGTGACGGAAAAGTCACTACTCGACGTGAACTCCCTCCAGTCACAGCACGAGACAACGAAATTCTTATTGACGTGCTCTACTCGGGAGTCAACCCTGCGGATCTCAAGATAGTACACTTCATCAACTACCGAAACTCTGTCCCTGGAACCGACTTCTGCGGAAAGGTCCTAGACTGCCCCGCGCTTGTCGACTCCGGGTTCAAAGTCGGCGGCATCGTGGCCGGGCAGACTGTTCCCCATGGAGAACAATCCAAGGAGTACGGCTCTCATAAGCCGCGCATCTCCACGCCCCAAATTGGCCTTTTCAAAGTCCCTGAGAATATGGCCCACTCCGACGCCGCAGCCATAACCACCGTCAGCCACACTGCTAGCGACGCATTGTACAACAACTTCAAACTTCCTCTCCCCGGGTCTAGTCCTGACGGTGCGGAGGGCACGCTGGTCGTATGGGGTGGAGGAACGGCCGTCGGCTTGTCTGCCATTCAGCTAGCTCGTGCCAGCGGTGTCACAAACATTATCACCACGGCATCTCCTTCCCGTCATGATCTTCTTCGAGGACTCGGTGCAACCGAATGTTTCGATTACAAGGACGCCAATGTCTCAGACAAGGTCAAACAATCAGTCATCAAAGCAAGCCGCTCTCGTATCTGGGGATTCGAGACGGCGGGGTCGCCCGAGTCAAGTCAGCTGCTCCTCGATGCCCTTTCCGGTATCGTCGGCGACGTTCATTATTCCTGGGTCAACGCAGCGGGTGCGCAGCGTCCCCCAACAGAAGCTGTCCTCGGAACACGAGACTACGAAATTGTCTTTGAGGTCCCTGGCGGTCGCCATGTTATCCCCGCAGAACCTGAAAAAGCCGCCAACTTGTGGGCTGCTCTCGACTGGGCAGTGAAGAATTACGGAAAGGGATTCGAACTCCCCGTCGTACGTGTGTTTGAGGGTACTGGAGAAGAGGCGCTGGAAGAGATGGAGACGGTGTCCAAACAAGGAGCTTTTGGGAAGCTCGTGCTGAAGCACCCCCTTCAGTGATCATGACGCTGGGGCTGATAACTTTCGGGTGGAGAATTTGAGCCGGTTGTGGAAGAAGCATTTCTTTCCAAAGAAGTAAGCAAAGTGGAATTCCTAGATGTGAGGTAAAATGCAAAAGGGGCAGCAGAGGACGCCGGAGGCAGGAATGAGATGCGCTGATTCTTAATCGAGATAGTCATGACGGAAAGGTCGTTCATACTTATATATCGAGACCAGGACATTATTTACAGACTTTGTACCTCATTTTATCACATGATGCTTGGAAAAAACATCTACTTCACTTGAACTCGGAGGTCGAATAGGGTGCCCACTTTCCTCCGCTGTCCATACGCCTTTCCTCCGCCGGTGCTCCGGAGCAACTCCGCCGTCTTGTGTGATATGCTTAGCGGCATTTTTAACAGTCTACCCCGACAAGAACCCCAAGGTCAGTCCATCTCATAAACTTACAACAATGCCGGGCGGAGAAACTACCAGCGCGCGCACATGAAACTAGATTTAGGGTATTGAAATCTACTTATTCAATTTGAATCCGGCAACTTCACCAGGAGGTATCAAGTATAAATGGCGATCAAAAACTCTCAGATTCGCCGTTATAGTTCCAATGCGTGACAAATTCAGGCCAATTTCAGTAGAACATTACGACTCTTCCAAGCTCCAAGCTCTCTCGACTACCGCCTTCCGTCAAGTAACATTCCCAACATCGTATCTTCAAAATGACCCAGCAGTGGAGCCCAATGAACAATGTGACCAGTCTGAAAGGAAAGATTGCCGTTGTTACGGGTGGGAAGTAGGTGAAGCAACTATCCTCGACTCATGTGATTATCTCGCCTTGGAGGCGGGTCTATAACTGCACACGGTCAATAGCAGCGATATAGGTCGCGAAATAGCAAGGCTTCTCGCACAGAAGAGCGCAAAAGTCTACTTTACCACACGCTCTGAAGCAAAAGCCATTGAGGCACGCAAGACGATTCTGGACGCTCACCCTGATATCGACTCCGAGAATCTGCAGTGGATGACGATGGATCTCACCGATATCCGGAGTGTGACGTCTGCTGCTGGAAAGCTGAAGGAGAAGGAGTCCAAGGTGGATATACTAGGTGAGTCCCACAACTAAAGCTTGTCCTCAATTCCGCTTTCTGCTCAAACGCACATCGCCCAGTCCATAATGCTGCCGCGGCAACAACCTCTACTGAACTTGTTGGGCCTGGTTGGGAGGTACACATGGCTACCAAGTATGTCTATCTGCTTCAACCAGTCAAGAACCATTATTAATACCTATACTGACTATTGCAGTTTCATCGGCCCCTTTCTCTTCACCAACCGCTTGCTTCCCCTGCTGAAGAACGCCCTCCAGGCCAAAGACGCCGACGTTCGAGTTATCACAATGAGCTCAAGTGCCCAAACAGCAATGGTCCCAAGCAGCTTCCAATTAAACTTCACTACTCCTGACTGTTTCCATAATCCAGTCCCGTCACCCCCATGGCAATGGCGCTATCTCGGCCGCTTCATTTTCGGTTTCGATACGACCCGCTACGGCGTATCCAAAGCAGCCAATCTAATCTTCGCCCAGGAACTACAGAACCGAATGGACGAACAGAATTTGCCGATTCTTTCCATTGCGGTACATCCGGTGAAGTTGCCACCGAGGGGGTGTTCTCGATCAATCCGAGCTTGGTAAAGACAATTGCGCGTTGGACTTTCATCTCCCCAGAGCAGGGCGCTGTTACGCCCGTCTTCGCAGCTGCCTCTAAGGAGATCCGTCAGGATCCCTCCAAGTATAAGGGTAGGTTCGTGTTCCCTGTTGGGAGAATTGGAAATCCGAATCCAGCCGCATCGAGTGAGGAGCAAGTCACGGGTTTATGGCGCAACGCCACTGAGGAAGTGAATGCGCAGCTTCGTGCTCGTGGATTGCCGAGTCTTCAACCATGGTACTAAGTAATCAGACGTCGGAGTCTCATGTATCACTATTCATACCTTTCCTAGAGCTCAAACACAAGTTCCATAGTCTACAGACACACAATCTCCAGTGCTCACAACCCAATGATCTACTTTTTCCAATCCCCATAGAAGAGTAAACATCAGCCGTGCAAACTCATCCACCTCGGCAACCCGAACCCCTCGTGCCACTAGAAACTGCCCTTTCAAGCTGTGAAGAAACAACGGATCCTCTTTCCGCGCGGCGGCTTCCCAGCGGGCAGGCGAGGAAGCCTCCCAGAGCTCCCCGCGTAGAGTAAGGCAGACGTCACCTGCACAATCATGGGTCCAAGTCTCCTTTAGGCTTGTATATACCCCGGTAGCCATACTCGTAAGCAGAAACGTGCGACGGATGGACTCGGAGAGGATGAAGGCTTGGTATAGACTGGTGACCACGTCCGTTTCGACGGTCTGACTTAGGCATGACCTCGACATCATTGGCGATGTTGTTGCGTCTAGCGCTGCGGACTCCCACAGTTGACGGGCCCAGAGACGCAGGGTATCTATCAAGTTCTCCGCTTTGCTTCTTCGAGGTATCGAAGGTGAGAAGAGACACAAGAGCAGGTGGATCAAAAGAGCCTGTTTGCGTCCTAGGTGTTCCCTCGTCGAGAGGAACGGGAGAAACGGCGCTTCCTCTGCGGAGTTGGCGGCTAAGAGCGTCATGATGTAATTAGCCGACACCGCGTCAACGACGTGCTCGTTATCTGGGGTGATGGTCTGCGCTATAGCAATGGCTGCATACGCATCTTGTACACACTGGGGCATGGTCGTCTCAGAGTAAAGGTGCTGATGGATGAAGGGATTATACCCCTTGTGGAGGAAGCGGACGAGCCACGATTGCAATCCGCGGACGAAATTCGTAAACACCGCGGCTGGCGGAATTGACACCGGGGCTTGACGCTGGTAGTCGATGGCCCAGGATGTTGATTGGAGGAACCAAGTCAACCCTTCTGCATTTGGATCCACCGTTCGCGAAGCGCCATCGGAGTCGGTCTGCGTTGCGGTGGAGGACGAAGACGCCGTGGCCGTCGTCGGCATTGCGGCGGTGCCTGCCGGCCCTGATGCGGATGTCGGAGCGAAAAGGGCTTCGTCCAACACGAGCCCGATATCGTCGATGCCGCTCCCCGGCCATGAGGCTTCGATGTCCCATCCCGATCCCAATCTCGAACTGACATGGCTCGGTATCGGCGCCTGTCTAGTTCGCCGGACGGAGGCATACGTGCAATTGACTTCCTTGTCCAGGCACCGCGAGCAGGCCGGAAGAGTCTGGTCACAGCGCCTTTTTGCCTCCACACAAGCGAAGCAGGACTTTTGTTTCGATCTGCGGGCCATGATGAGTTGACGGGTTTTCTTGGAACCAGACAGTATACTTGTTGCTGATGATTGATAGAAAGAGAGGTTTGAGAGTCCGAAAACAAGGTTTGGCTAAGGTACGAGAGGCAAGTCAGACGCGGAGAACTGGCGGAGTTGGCTGCGGAGATCCAACTCCTATTTCATTATACAGATCTGGAAAGCATTAAATCCGGAATTGAGTAGTAGCCATTTCCGTTAAGAAACATCATTCCGCCGAAAATATGCCTGTCCCGGATAGATAGAGGCGGCCAAAGTCACCAAATACCTAGTTGCTGGTACACCGTCAGATGGCGGGGACTAAGAACATTGCTCTTTCATCCAAAGTCGCCAGCTGTCACCCCAAACTTTTTCAGGTGATTTCAGGCTGGTGATTGCATCCGGATCTTTCGTGGCTCGAAGCAACTCTTAGGTAGTCACGTTTCATTCCTATCGCAGTAGTCTTCTCCTATCCACAGCTATTTATGCATAAGTAGGATCACCTGCCTCACAGCAGGGCTGAGCAGACGATCTGCTCACCATCCAAGGGGCTGAACTGTAAGCAGATTGGCAGATCAAATCCTACTATTTGTCTTGGTATATCTCGGTGCTTACTATTGGACCTCAGTAGAAACCCAAGAGACCGCAGCACCGCCATGCCTGGTGCGAATAGCGCACTCGCACTCGCTTAACGACTAATATGGGCCCCCATGAGCGGCCTCCCTGACGGTAGCCGGGGGACATCATGAATCTACGCCGAAGATCCATCCCGACGTGAGCTTACATGATCGTAGGCATCGTATTTACAAAAGAAAATTGACTAACGTGAATGATAAGCGAGTGAGACAGACAAGCGAGTGAGACACAAAACTGCGCCGATGATGCTTCAACACAAATGGAGACGTTTCTTCCACAACACATCATGGCGTCCAGAAGTAATGAGTCAGGCATACAGCTGGCCCTTCAAGCTATCAGAATCAATCCAGAGCTTAGTGCACGGGCTGCAGCTACGATCTACTCGGTCAGCCATGCAACATTGAGTCGACGATTGAAGGGCTCTACATCTCGAAGCGACAGGATACCGAACTCGAGGAATCTTACTTTGCTAGAAGAGCAGACGTTAGTTGATCACATTCTCGATCTAGATGCCCGATCATTCCCTCCCCGGATCCGTGGTGTGGAAGAAATGGCTGATCGACTGCTTGCTGATCGCGACGCGCCTCCGGTTGGGAAGCGCTGGGCCTTAAACTTCGTCAAACGACAACCACAATTGCGGACGCGGTTTTTTCGGAGGTACGACTACAAGAGGGCCCAATGCGAGGATGCAGAGGCTATTCGCGGCTGGTTCGCTCTTGTGAAGAACACAATCGCGAAGTATGGTATCGATGAGTTTGATATCTACAACTTTGATGAGACTGGCTTTATGATGGGCCAGATTGCATCTGGCATGGTTGTCACAAGTACTGAAAGGCGTTCAAACACAAAAATGGCGCAGCCTGGTAATCGAGAATGGGTTACAGTGATTCAAGCCATCAACTCGCAAGGCTATAACGTCCCGCCGTACATCATCGTTGCAGGCCAATATCACCTCTCAACCTGGTATACAGAGTCAGGTTTCCCGGACGACTGGGTCATTGCGACGTCAGAAAACGGATGGACAACAAATGAAAGAGGCCTAGATTGGATCCAGCACTATGATCGTCATACGAAACCACGTTTGAGAGGCCAATATCGCCTCCTCGTCGTCGACGGGCACGAAAGTCACCACTCAACAGACTTTGAGCTATATTGCAAGGCAAACAAGATCGTTACACTTTGTATGCCGCCTCATTCGTCTCATCTACTCCAGCCCCTTGACGTTGGGTGCTTTGGTCCGCTAAAGACGGCGTATGGGCAACAAATTGAGGATAAGATGCGGCGGGGCGTAACCCACATCTCAAAGGAGGACTTCTTTCCTGCATATCGCAGCGCATTTAGTCAAGCGATGACTGAAAAAAACATCCAAGGGGGTTTTAGAGGAGCTGGGATTGTTCCTCTGAGTGCAGAAAGCGTCCTATCAAAGCTGGATATCCGGCTACACACTCCAACGCCTCCAGCATCACTACCACAGACACCTCCGCCTTGGGTTTCAAGGACACCAAACAACCCAGTAGAGGCAAGCTCTCAATCCAACTTTATTAAGAGTCGGATCACTCGTCACCAAAGCAGCTCCCCAACCTCTATTTGCGAGGCTGTTGAACGACTTTCTAAAGGTACAAGAGGCATCATGCACCAAGTAGCCTTACTTAGATCTGAGGTACAGATTCTTAGAGACGAGAATAACCAACTCAGTCGACGACGGAGAACTAAGAAAACACGCCTACAACATGGAGGAAGTCTTACTGTAGCTGACGCAGCAGATATACAGTCACAGAAAGATGTGACTGCGCAGGTTCAGGAGGAAATGCGTCGTACTAGTGGTCGCAAACTGAGGGCCGAGACAGGTCAGCGACGGTGTGGCGTTTGTGGTCACCCGGGACACAATTCACGAACGTGCCAGTTTATTGAAGAGATGTCTGAAGATGAGGATTATGAGTAGTTTGAATTGAATTGATGCTGTTGATGTTGATATGGAAGCCAGTTTATCTCATCGGCGCAGTTTTGTGTCTCACTCACTTGTCTGTCTCACTCGCTTATCATTCACGTTAACTACTTCAAAATTAATAAACCTCTATTTGACTTTCTAAACTTTCGCATCGAACAGCATCACTGTTCTTCTCCTCCTTTTCCACAAAGTCAACCTCAGGGCGCCTCGATATCAACTAACACGAACAATGACACGACCCTTCCGCTACCGCGACGGCGTGGCAATCGCCCAAATCATCGTCTTCCTACTCTACCTGTCCTTCGGCATCCTCTTCCGCATCCAAAAGAAAATGGGCTGGTTCGGCATCTCCTTCATCTCCACCATCCGCATCGTCGGCGCCGGCTGCATGCTAGGCACAATCGCAAACTCCTCGCGGGGAGTCTGGGCCGCCATATTCGTCTGCGAGTCTCTGGGTCTCGTGCTCTTGACGTTTGTACTGCTTGATTTGCTCAAGAGGGTGTAAGTTCTTCTCTACGTCCACTGCCATATAGAAGAAAACACCGATGCTGATGTTTCCATCTTGGACAGCAACTCCTTCATCCAGGTCCTAACAAAATGGCACTTCCGCATCCCCGAACTCATCTGCTACGCCGGTCTCGGCATCTCCATCGCAGACTACATCCTCGCCGCCAAAAGAACATCCAACGCCATGGCCCCCGGCGCGCTCACAAAAGCAGGAGTAGGCCTCTTTGCGGCGCTCTATTTCTGGGGCGTCCTCCTCTTCGCCCTCTTAGCTAAAGGGTGGAAGCGGATACCCCAAACGGAGAGGCGCGCCATGGTTGGGTTCGCGGGGTGTTTCCCGTTCATGGTGGTTCGGATCTCGTATACGATTGCGTATGTTAGTACCGGGGAGAAGAGGTTTAGTGCGGTGAGTGGGGATACGACAACTTATTTGTTCATGACGGTGTTGATGGAGTTTGCGGTGTTGGGGTGGGTGGTGTGGACTATTTGGGGGTTGGATAGGGTGTATGAACCGGTGGAGGGGTCGTGTGGGAAAGATGCTGGTGAGATGGAGGATCTTGTTGAGTCTGGAGGGCAGAGATCTAGGCGGGCGGAGAGTCGATAGTCAGTAGCTTCATGCAGATTCAAATGTCCGAAGTCGTCAAATACAAAAGATTACAGTCAATGTATTGGAGGATAGCCAGTCGACCGTAAGCATGATGATATCGGATATTGCGACAGTATATTCACATGGGATGGCAATGGGCAAGCAGGCAACGTGCAAGATTACTAGCAAGTCAACTGTTCCTCTTGAATACCTAGCTACATCGAACGCCAGTTGCCAGTGATAAAGAAGTAAAAAACAAAGACCTCTTACCTAGGCCGAATTTTTGTGCAAATATGCTACCCTATATCAAGGGTCTTGATTCCTTTTTGTTTTGAAGCCACGCTCTTAGATTCATTGAAGATGCCTCACATCTTGACGCGGAACAGGTAGCGGAGGCGGACTTGGGCAAGATCATAGGCAATATACTCGTTGTACTGAAGGTATGCGCCTGGGACATCGGTCGGGCCTGGCTTGGTGCTCACATCGGGCTGCGAAATCGTTAGTAAAGGATCGTTGCGGAATTGGAGTGCTGTTTGTACTCACCATCTGGATACCCTTGAGGTCCGGGTTGACACAGCTAGCATCCTTCCACTTGCTCGGTCCGGTATTACCCTGACCCCAAGTGGACCACATACCGCCCGCCTTTGCATCATCGCCCGCGTTGTAGCTGGCATTGGTGAGCTTCTGCATCGGGTCTCCAAGCTCGGCCTCGCAAAGCAACAACAACGCTTGACCCCCTGAGTTATAGGAGGCGCAGTAGTTTGCTGACTTGCTCGACATGTCTGCAAGGTAAATTCCCTTGCCAAACATGTAGCCCGAAACGGGGGCTTCAGGAGGGGCGATTCGGAGACCCTGGCTGAGGATACCACCATAGTTGGTGACTCGGGAGCCATGCCACAGCAATCTGCGGTCGGACTTGATGGATGAGAACTCGCTCTTCTCGAAGCGTTCCAGCTCGCCCTGTCGTTCAATCCTGAAGATGTCCTCAACCTTGTAGGTGTGACCGTGGGTAGAGCCCTTGGATCCGTTCAGGTACTCGGCAAGGAGGGTGAACTCTGGGCTCTTGCGGTCAAGAGGAGTCATCTCCTCCATTCCGAGACCCTGGTACTGTCTGTCGGCTGCGTGGACATCGGCGTTCTTGCGATCAACCTTCATAAGATCCGCCGCGACCTTCATGTCGGACAAACTGTCGAGCAAGTCGACTTCCTTCTTCAGCATAGCACCTGAGCCGATGACGGGCGGACGGTTGCGACCAAAGGCGTGGGGAATCAGCGAGTAGTACGAGTTGGACAAGTGCTCGGTCGCAGCCGGCACCGACATGTGATATTCGGAGTCGGCGAGCGTGCTGTCGTTAAAAAGAGCGGCCAGGTCTTTGAGCACCTGGAAACCCTTGAGAATTGTATTCTTGCTGAGCTTTCCGAGGGGCAGCTTGTTGGCATCGTAGTTCATGGAGGTCATGGCCTCGCGGAAGTACTGCTGATTGAAGATGAGGCTCATGAGGTCCTGCACCGGTCGAGGGAGGGAGGATTTGACTGGATCAGCCATGTCGTCGTCGCTGTCGTCCTCTTCCTTCTTGACGTCGCCGGCCGCCCCCTCGTCGTCGTCTTCGTCGTCGTCCGAATCTGGCTCGTAGCTGCGCTCTACAAAGGCATACTTGCCAGGCTTAGGAGGATCTGCGCGCTTAGCCCAGGCAATGCCGCTCTTGTCTCTGAACTTTTTCTCGTAGTTCTTCAATGCGTCGTCGAGGCTACCGTTGCCGAGGACGGCAGACTGGCCAAATTCTCCGACTCTGCCCCAGCGGGTCCACGTTTTGAACGTTTTGCCATCTTGGACAAGCTGTGTGAATTGTCAGATGGCAGCTTCGACTCGAAACATCAATTGGCGTGCACACACCTGAACACGATAGAACTTGTTGTTGTTGTTCGAGGCATTTGTTTGGTTCAGAGATGCGTCGTAGATGACACCGTCAGGTGCAATGTAGACAGTTCCCTGGACTTTGCAGCCCTCGTCGAGAGGAACCACGATTCCTTTGGAGGCGGTCTGGGCGTAACCGCTTGCAGCCTTCTTTTTCACGTCGGTCTTGTCGTCAGCATCGTCGGCTGCGGCAGCAGAATCAGCAGTCTTCTTCTTGCCCTTGGCACCAGCGGCAGCCTTCTGCTTCTTCGTGTCGGGTTTGGCATCGACATCACTGTCATTGTCAGACTGAGCATCTGCCTTGGCGCGCTTCTTGCCGGCGCCACTGGCCTTGGTCGCAGTGCTGGCTTGAGACTGTGACTGCGAGCCGTTCTGCTGAGAGCCGTTGGACTGCGCTGAAGCTCCATTCTTCTTTGTGGATCCGTTAGTGGCTGCAGCCGGCGCGGCCTTTGCCTTGGTCGTTGCGGTTTTGCCGGGCTCAAAGTCGCTCTCTGCGGCCTTGGACCCCTGAGACTCACACTTCTCGGCCCAGTCAAGGGTCACGATGAAGATGCCATTCTTCTGGGCGGAAGCGACCTTTGTTGTGACAGCCTTGAATTCCTCGAGCGTTGTGATGAGATGGGTAGTTTTCTTGGTAATTGACTTGGCGATGCCTGCACCAAGGGAGGAGAGCCACGACTCAAGCTCCGCTCTCTTCTTGTCAAAGGTACCACTGATGGCGATGACAGTGCCAGCCAATGGCTGGGCCGCAGGGGTCGTCGGAGCAGCGCTTGCAGCTGTTCCAGCTGATCTCCCCGATCTCCTTGGAGCGGACATTGTGGGCGGGATGTGGAGGTTGTGCGGCTACGGATACAGGGAGCTTGAGTAAGGGAAACAAAGCTTCGAACGTACGACAGGGGGGGGGTCCGTGTTGAGTAACGGAGTTCAATTGATGGCGGTTAAGAGATGAAAAAGAAGTGAAGATGAAAGGCGAAAAGATGAAAGGGAGTCGAGATGATTTATTTCATCGTGTCTCCTTTGACTTTGGATCAGAAAAACATGTCAGCTCATTGCCAATTGGAGTTACCCTTGGGACCTTGGGTGTTAGCTGGGGGAAGGTGCCGCACGCTTTCAGCTCCTTCTGGTTGAACCAACATGGTCCTGCAGGCACCAACGCCGCTGGTGCCTGGCGCACGAGCCACCGCGACAGCTCGAGGGCCTCGCGAGTTCACGTGCCGTCTCAACATCAAGGTACCTATCTACTTACCCGTGGTACTGTGATCCGTACCTCACTGGTAGAACACCATACCAATTAAGGTCAGGTACTTGGGCAAGGTACTTGATGATGTAACCCCCTTGCGATGCTCTTCAGTTTTAGAGGAGCTCCTGCCTGGAGAAAGTGCTTGGCTTCAAATTGCAGTGTACCTCAAGTTTGCCATCTGAGGTATCCGAATCGCTTCATGCCCATTCATTTTTCAACCCTGATTGACTTCCTTGGGCGGGCCAGCTGCCTAGAGATGTACATGGTGGACCCTTCCAACTCAATTCCAGGCCCTACATCGGATCACGCCACGAGAAGCAGTTACATGGCCAACATCACCAGACGCAAAACCCCGAATCCTCGATTCAAGGGCTGGACGTCCCTTTTAGCCTCCAAATTTCACCAGTTGCCCCAACGATTGTAAATCATGGGAAGAGTCGGACTGGAATACGGCCCGGGCCTAATTGTGTTTCTATATCCCGCTTATCTACTGGAACACCATCTGATAAAAGCCTTGCTCGTGGGCTATCGCGTCTGCGTAGTCATCCAGCGTGTCCTCAATCTCGTCTGGTAAGTAGCCTTCTGCAAACATTTCTTCTGGTTCGGGTATCAAGTCGTTAGCTCTTATGTGGTGTTCGCTTCTCGCCAGCTCCATCGTCCTATGCCTCTGCCTCCGAAGTAGCTCCTACGTCGACTGGACAGCAGGGCTCGGATGAAGGCGCTTCCCATGGGCTGAAAAGGACCGCAGCAGGTATTCACTAACCTTGGATCGCGTCAAACATGTCTTCGTCCAAGTCGTCGTCGATGCCGTCGTCCATGTCTTCTTCATCTTCGTCGTCCGAGTCTGAGTTGCGCTCATACTCGGGAGGGATATTCACCATGACTTGCTTGGCCAAGTCTTCCACAAAATGCCTCCAGTCGATGCCTGTGTACTCGCGTTTGCTCACGGACTTATCAGGCACCCCGTCTGTGACTTGAACCCATACTCTGGCGCTCGTCATAGACATGCGCTGAGCAGGACAGCCGACCATGATGTGATTCAGATCGAGATTGGGAACGTCACGCAGACTCTGAAGGAATCGAGCCCACATGTTGATAATGGAGATGTCACTTCTCGTGTCATAGTCCCCAAAAACGGCTCCTGTACGGGATCGGAGCGTGACCTTCCACAGCTCTAGATTCCTGAGTGTCGGTGCAAACTTTTGCACGACTTGGAGAAGCCGCCGCGGTTCAACTTCTACGAAGCCCAAGTTGATCTCTTCAAGGTGAGGAAACGCCACCGGAGCTGGAGGCGTTGGTAGCTGGTTGTCGTCGGGCTCAGAGGCAGCGTTGGGGGCAGGTGTGCCCAGCCAGTCAATAAATTCATCGACGGCATCCGTGTTGTGGCCTGGGTGTGCGAAGTTTGTCCGCAAATGCTTCAGGTTAGGCATGTACCCTAAGAAGAGGCGCAGGAGATAGTCGTATCGACGCCGTTCGGGAGTGCCCGTGCTGCCTGTGAGTGAAGTGACTCGGAAAGGACCAGTTGCTACGTTTAAAACGCAGATGAAGGTCTCGAGACCCTCGAGAACGGGGACAACCTTGGGCTTGAGGTACTTGGTCAAGAGGTTGAAAGCATCGTCGGATGGCACGCCTTGCTGGTGGCGGAGCAGTTCGAAGGCACTGGGGCGGGCACCAGCATTGCCAAGTGCGGTGAAGAGGGTGACGAAGACTTTGTTGGTGTAGGTGACCATCTCATCAACAGGTATACGGAGAAGATTCACCCCAGTCTCCTGCTGGAGCGTGGTGGCGCCGTAACTCGCCCAGTCGACCCTGAAGCCATCCCGAAAGTTCCGTCCACTAGAGTGGTAGTCACGGATGCCAACAGTTTTGAGGTTTCTGAGGTTTCTGAAAGCTTCCGTCAGCATAGCGACATCTTGACCGCTGTTGACTAGGGTGTAGTGATCGGATTGGGCTTCGCGATAGCGAGTTTCCTTGGCTTCCTCTCCAGGGGAAAAATAGTGACGTGTGAATGTGTTGAGGCCGATGATGACATAGTGCAGACAATCACTGAGCCGTGACTTGCTGATGTCGATGAGGGTCTGTAGGCTGAATTCTGTGAGCATGAATTGGCGTTGAGTAAAGAACTCCCCCATGAATGTGTTGAACATGGACTGCTCTATAGACCTGCATGTCAGGCGGAGGCTTCCCAGGTCGGGAGTTGCCAGTTGATCGGATATTCGAATGAGAACCTCGAGAGGAACTCTGTTGAAAGGCGAGTTGGGCTGGGGGTTTGCCGGCGCATCCATCACCGATGTTGACGGCTCTGATGCCGATGGCGTAGGCTGTGACATCTTGGAAGGGCGACAGCAGTGTGCCGAGGTATTGATGCACCGTTTCTTTGAACGTGGGGAAATTCCAACGTGAATATGAGACTAACAAGAAGATTAGCCGAATTTTCTTGAAAGAGAATGAAAAGAATCAAGACTCGAGAAATATCAATGTCTGTTGGGTCGATGAACGTGATGATCAAGTCCAGCAAATCGAGGCAGGTGGGGCGAGCTTCATGATCCAGGCAGAAGCGGGGAACTTGAGCTCGAAGTTAGTTGGTCTTGCTTTTCGAGAGTGTCAGAAGGAAAGAGTAGTTGGGTGAGGTTGGAAGATTCTACCACAAAAAATTTGTGCACTCGAGATACCTACCAAGGTACGAGGGTAAGATACAACTTGTTGCAGATGATGGGCAGGAGCTGCTGCTTCAGCCTTGCCAAATCCGATCGTTGCCTGTCGCTACCCGTGAGTCGATACCCGTTCTGGGTCGTTCCTGTCTGATGGTTTCCAGATTCTGGAAGGTGACGTACAGTCTGAGAGGTTGCACAGCTGCTGGACTGCCTTGGTTTGCCCTTGCTGATTGGCTTGTAATTGCCCCAGTCCGCCGTTTTTAGAAGCTGCTGTAAACCATCCTAAGGTTTTGTCCAGTGGGGGCCGACCACAGTGATATTCAACATCGACAAGAAGCTCAGGCCATTTCCTGCCCTCCCGCCGGGAACACGGGAGCAACTCCAGGCTGCAACGCACCTTGATGACTCGGGCGATCTTCGGGTCACAGTCACCAGCCACAGACGCCATCTGAGCGTTTAGCCACATGATGAAGTGGCTTGCCCCAGGTGGTTCATGCTTTCGATTCATTTTAGGTTCAAACTCTATCGTCGGCCAACGCAGTCCTTTTTGCATAATCAAGGCAACTCAGCAATCAAGCAATCCTTGGGTAACCCGTCTGCCTGCTTAGATCACGTCAAACAGACTCTCGGGGGCGGCTATTTGACGCGATCTAAGCTTAATTCATCGTCGTCTTTCTGATAGTCCGCTGGTGCACTGACGACTGTCTTCAACCCGTCTGAATCAGTCTCACTTTCACCCACAGACAGCGTGACCAACACTCGACTCAAGACATGAACGTCTTATCTGCGCAGATCGGGTTCACTGGAGAGGGAACGGAAAAGCAAAGACCACCAATCCACCCACTCAGTCCCTTGGCAGAGATGGCGACTCGCAAGCTTCGCCACTACGCCTCACTCTGTCTGTTTATACTAATTGACACTGGGCAGTGAGTTCACTCTGAACGAGAGTGAATTACATCACTGCCACCGTGCCACGCAGAATACACACTGCACAGTATCCGCAGATTCCGTAAGGATACACACCGACCGAGTCCTTGTGCCCCTGAATGACATACCTAGGACCTCGCCTCTGAAGACTGGAGCCCCGATGGACCAGAACGTTTGCTCTGCTCTCTCTCGGAATCAACCGGTCAAAGTCACATTCGGCACGGGAGCCATGTTTGCTACGGGTGGCTGCTCTTCTTTCATCTTCTTCTTTGTTTTGTTTTTTCTGCCCTGGACTGGAGATCCGGTTCATCGCGCCGACGTTTGGCTCGGAACTATCGCAGATTTATCGCTACTGACATCTGTCCCTAGTAGGGTTACTTCAACACGTCGATGCGACAGTCTTGGCAGTGAAGCTAAAATGCTACGGCCAATTTCATCAACTCAACATCGTGCCGGCGTCAACAGCGCGAACAGACACGTTGGAAGTTTATCATAGTACGGGGAGATCAAGTAATTATCTGATTACTCACAAGACCACCCGGCAGAAACTCTCGAAAAGAAAGGAAAAAACGTGGCCGATCATGAAAGCTTGCGCAATACCAGGCATCTTTGCAGCCGGCCGAGAAAAGTTGATTTCTTGGGACTGTTGACATGAGTGTTGGACAGCAGTTGGAGGCTCACTCATGCGCCCATGCAGCGCATTTCGGCCAAAGTCCACACCATGTCGCCGACTCTCTCAGTCTCTCTCTCTCTCTGTTCTCATCTTGGGAGTTTGTCCGGCTGGGCGCTCCATCATCCATCAATCATCAGTCCGGGAGGCCAACCAAACAAGCCAAAAACATGCAAGACCAACACTCATCCCGAACTTACAGTCTTACATCGATAATGAGCGCGGGCTGAAGAGTCGCACCCGACGTGGGGCCATCCCGTTGAGCGAGCTTTGAGATGAAGGGGTACAGCGAATACGCAGCTTGGCAACGCAACGTCCAGGGCCCCCGACGGTGCCCACATCACGCGCAAAAATGTGCCAATTGTGGTCTGTGGTCTGTGGCTCCTCAAATTCCCTTTTCCACCATGCCAACTCCCAATGATCACCGGTCACTGTCAGTGTCGAGCATCCCGCCCGGGCTTGGCTCCAGCAGAAAAAGTCACAAGTGTCAAGGTCATCTCAATCGTCGCAATGCCCAAGAAAAGCCAATACTCGTTGGCCTTTATTTGCGGCGGCGGCCCCATAAGTTTAAACTGATAGAGAAGGTGAGCGTCCTGCAACTCCCGGGGCCGCTTATGACTGCGGACGGGTCTGCTCTTACGGCTTCTAGCTAGTAACTACGGATACCTACTCAGAATCTCAGATACTAGCACGACTAGCACAAAGCGGCGTAGCACTTGGAAGCGAAGCAGGCCCGCCGACTTTCATCTTCTCAAGACGTGCCAAGACGTTGCCAAGACGCGTGCGTGGGGAGCCTCAACCGTCGTTCTCGTCAACCACTGGATCCGGACCTTATTTCTCCATCCTCCGTCCAACATCCCATCCACCTTTTCGTCAGAATGGGCCAAGCAGGCGGAGATGAACCGTAGAGGGGGTGGGATGCAACAATACTTGGCTCATAAACAAGCTCCCACTATGCTAACGACGACCTAGAGATAGCCGCAGGCGTAGTCCGTCTCTGCAAGCCGCAGAAGCTCATCATATTCTTCTTCGACATGGTGGACTGGTGCGGGCGGTGCGGGATGAGAAACAAGATGACCATGATGGATCTCTAGTTCCTGTATATTTTCTGCTCTCCCCTTGGCTTCCACTTGGCAATCCTTTGCCTTCTCGACCACCCCTGATTCCCTGATCTCCCGGCCTCAAGCCCAGTGCTGCTCATTGCTCCAATCTGCAAACCCCTCGTCCTCGCAGTCGCCATGCTCTGCTTGGCTCCCCCCATCTGATCATTCTGGTGATGATCAATAAGCGCAACCCCCCCCCCCCCCCCCACTGTCGTCCCTAATCACCCCGACTCATCCAACTCATCCCAGAACCCCGTCGATGGATCCTTCGTTGCACCGTTGCACCGTTTCCCCCCCCTGTCGGGTGCTCTCCAGCAAACATGGAGCCTTGGAGGCGCCGAACCGGCTTGGATCCGATCTTGGATTAAAAAGAGGTCCATTCCCCCCAGCCTTAACCGTCTTTTGAGGATGCTTGGCGACTCAGATCTGGTTCCTTCACCCGCTTGCTTATCTCTCACCTGTCGTGATTCCCGAATCTCGACATAGTCATTCTTTTGAACCCCCCAAAGCACAGCCAAACCCCCCCATATCAAAGCCAATAATGAAGTCCGTTCTCTTCTTCGCGACCGCCGCGGCGGCCGCCGGTCCTTACCTCGCCTGGACCGCCGACTCGTTCACCAAGCACGAGATCGACAACAAGAAGCCGTACCACTACACCAAGGCCGTCCTCTACGACGGCTTCGAGGCCGCCATCGAGCTCACCAAGGACGACGCCCTCGTCGACTGGTACCGCAGCCGTATCGACGACCTCGTCGTCCAGTCCAACGGCAGCATCCTTAACTGGAAGCCGACCACCTACTCCCTGGACGAGTACCGCATCGGCAACAACATCCTCTGGTGGTACGAGCGTACCGGCGAGGAGAAGTACAAGACCGCCGCGAGAACCATCCGCGACCAGCTTGTCGAGCGCCACCCCCGTACCGACGAGGGCGGCTTCTTCCACCGCAGCCCCGACTACGACTACCAGATGTGGCTCGACGGCATCTTCATGGCCGACACTTTCTACGCAAAGTGGACCTCCCTCTTCGACAAGGACAACACCACCGCCTGGAACGACATTGTCAACCAGTTCGAGGTCATTGACAAGCACACCCGCAACTACACCACCGGTCTCCTCTACCACGGCTTCGACGAGAAGATGGAGGCCGTCTGGGCCAACCAGGTCACCGGCGCCTCCCCTCTCACCTGGTCCCGTGCCGTCGGCTGGTACGCCGTCGCCCTCCTCGAGGTCCTCGAGCTCCTTCCCCGCGGTCACCCCGGCGTCACCACCCTATCCAGATTCTTCGTCGCCCTCGCCGAGGGCCTGAAGAACGCCCAGGACAGCACCACCGGCGGCTGGTGGCTCATCATGGACAGCCCTTACGTCGGCCGCCCCAAGAACTACATCGAGTCCTCCGCCTCCGCCCTCTTCGTCTTCTCCTGGCTCAAGGGTATCCGCCTCGGCCTCCTCCCCGAGCGCCGCTTCTTCCCCGCCGCCGCCAAGGGCTACCAGGAGCTCACCACCTTTGTCGTTGAGAACGCCAATGGTACCGTCAACTGGAACGGCACCGTCGAGGTCGGCTCCCTCAAGAGCAACGCCAGCTTCGAGTACTACACCTCCGTCCCCATCGCCATGAACGACTACAAGGGCGTCGGCCCCTGGATGTTCGCCTCCTACGAGTGGGAGACCTTCAACCAGACCTCCGCCGGCGGCAGCCGTCCCCGCGGCCCCGGTCGTGGTGGTCCCCGTGGCCCCCGCGGTCCCCGCACCTTCAACCGCCGCTACCAGTTCTAAGAGAGTAGACTGAGTGTGTGTTTGTGAAATTTACGGGAGACTTATATAAACGTGACGGAAGCATACGGCCGATGAGATCAAAGAGTCATGGCCCTCAGCGTGTACATGAATTAAACTTAATTTCTTAATCCCTCCTCTGGGGGCGTCTGTACATTTTTTTTCTCCCTCATTTATATGAACATAGATTCGTTTCCCTCATGATATGTCGACCGTCTCCGTGATTTGTGATCTTCTGTCCCCTCCGTCCATATCCTTACTTTGACACTCGCCATGACAAGTTTCTCAAAGCATCATCGATTCTGCAGTCATGTTAGCCAAGTCACCACGTTCTACTCCATGTAAACATACCTTCTCAACCCCTCGGCCACGATATCCTCCTCCTGTGTATAGACCAACCGAAACCGTCCCGGCGCAAGACAATGCTCCTCCCCCGGATGCAGAAACACACCCCTCTCAACAAACCTCTCCGCCAATGCGAATTCCCTCTCCCGATCCGACTCGTACTCCTCTGACGGCGGCAACCAAGGCGACAGATCAACATACACAAACAACCCAGCATTCGCCTCCACAAACCCAACCCCCATCTCCCTCAACCTCGTCGTCACAAACTCATATGCACCAGCAATACTCCGCCTCGAACTCGCAATAAACTCATCATGCCACACCCGATCCTCAAACATGGCAGCCGCAATCGCAACAGACGGCCCAGCAGGACTATGAAACCTCACAACGCTTGAAAACGCCTCCTGCAGCGCCGCGTTCCTCGACACCAGCGCACCCAACCGCAGTCCCGACGACGCAAAGTCCTTGGCCAGGCCGTACTCCACGTGCACCAAATCCGGGTCGATAATCCCCTCCGGATCAACAGACAACACCGACGTGAACCCAGGCATCTCATCAGAAGACCTAAACACGGATAACCCATACACCTCATCACTAACAAGATGAATCTTGTGCTGTCCGCAAAACCGCATAATCGCCACAAGCGTCTCGCGGGGATAACACCGTCCCAGCGGATTACTCGGATTCACAATCATCACCGCCCTGACCCTCACACCCCTTTCCCTTTCCCTCCTTACCGCACCCTCAAACTCTTCGACAACTGCGTCAGGCAGGAAACATGTCTCGGGCGTGGTATCGGCATACACAACCTCCACACCCATCTCATTCCCAAAATCAAGCTCAAACCGCCCATACACCGGCCTCGGCACCAACACCCCTTCCCCCGGCGACGCAAGCGCAAAAGCAAGAATACACTGCACGGCCGTCGCCCCCGCCGCAACCCTCACATGCTCCACCTCCAACGACGCATACGGATGGAACGTGGCGTTCAGATGCCCCGCCATCGCGGCGCGGAGACGGACGCCGCCGGCGGTGCTGTAGCTGTATCCGAACACGTCGGGCGTAAGCTCGACCGTGGCGGCAAAGGCGGCGACGGAGGGCTGCATGAGGGCGTTGCTTGCGCTGCCAAAGGAGATAAGGCCGGATGAGTTGGTGGTTGGGGAGTAGGTTTGGACGGGGGCGAAGCGCCATGGCCGGTGGAGGGCCGATGCGGTTTTTGCGGCGCGGGGGGAGAGCATTGCGCCTTTGGGGGATGTGGTGCAAGTCATTTATGTGTGTTTGTGATGTTGACTTCAGTTGGATTTGTCGAGCAGCTTTGCTGTCATCTTGGGAGAGAATTGGAGAGACTTGAGGGTTTGCTGAGGTAGTAGTCGACAGGGCGCAGCGGAGGAACGAACCCCGGCCGATCGGCATCCGGCGCGGGGAAGAGGGCCATGTTTTGCGCACCTCTGCGGCCTCTTAGCGCCCATGATCGGCCGGGTCCTACTGTTGTGGAATTGCTAAAGTACGGAATTAGATTTAACCGGCAATACTCAGACCAGAATGAGCAATCTAGACATGTAATAATCTAGCTAAGGCTACTTTATAAGAGTATAGGATTCTAAATAGTAAAACGTATTAGGCCATTTGAATTGATAGTACATGATCAAACCTTCAGCCCTAAGTATGCGAGCTTTGAAAAGGGTCTCTGCAAGGGTCTTCGCGAGCGATAGACCGCGGTAGAAGTGCTAATCTAACACTTATGGCAATACTATAGGGGAATAGACTCGTAGGAGTCTTTTCGCACGACTGATAGGTGTTTCCGCCACCGTCCGAGTGAGTTCATGAGATGCCACAAGACAACAACCACAATCGTCAAAGCAGTCTTTACACATATCAAATTCCCCTCAGTAGCAGTCTGAATAGTGATAACATGTATCATTCTCAGGTATGCACAAAGTGCAGATGTCGCAGACCAGGTCCGATGGCGTTCTAGAGGTTATGGCGTGCTCGCATGACAGCTGAATGTCTGCGTCTCCTGAAAAGAAGTCATCTCGTGGCAAGTTGCCATTCTTTGTTGTTGCAAGTAGAAGCGAAACATCGGCAAGCCCCTGCCTTCTAGCCCACGATAAAGGTGTTCGGCCGAAACAATCTCGAGAGTCGATGTCTACTTCATAAGTGTCCAAGAGATTCCTCACGACCTCAACATGCCCTCCTCTGGCCGCAACAGAGAGGGCCGTTGAACCGTACCGGTTCTTCCAGTCTACCACCGATGGGTCCCGCTCAGCCAGAGTCGAGACGATCTCAGCATGTCTCTTTTGAGCGGCAAAGAACAACGGTGTCCGGCCCAAATGATCTTTCGAACATGGGCTCACATTCGGGCCGGCAAGAAGTAGCTGTACGATAGAGCTGTGACCGCTGCCTGCAGCGTATGACAGGGCGGTTCTACCGAATTGACTATTGCTGCAGTCCAGGCCGACGTTGTACTTTCCATGCAACATTGACACCGTCTCAGCATGCCCACCCGCCGAAGCGGCCTGCATGGAACCGCCGTAATAGCCGTTATCGCAACTGGCATCCGCACCATTCTCAAGAAGCAGCTCAGCAGTCTCATGATGGCCTTCGAATGAAGCCGCCTGAAGAGCATTGCCAAATCGGCCGCCCTGAGTATTGATGATCGCACTGTTTTGGAGAAGCATCTGGACAACTTTACGATGGCCCCCGAGTGAAGCGGCATATAGCGCGTTATTTTCCATACCTCCCTGGGCATGAACGTCTGCGCCGTTTTCCAGGAGCACTTTAACGACGTCCTCGTGACCATCCAACGAGGCGGCCTGGAGAGCAGTGTTGTAGGCGCCACCCTGAGCGTTAACGTCTGCCCCGTGTTGGAGGAGCGTGTCTATGATCTTCAGATGCCTGAAGCGTGAAGCGGCTTGAAGGACATAGCCATAGAAGCCTGACCATCCGTTAACCTATGCGCGATTTTGCAGGAGAATCTGGACAACCCTATGGTGCCCTTCAAACGAAGCGACCCGAAGGGCACTTCCAAACATGAATCCATTGGCATTAACATCTGTATTGTTATTCAGAAGCACCCCAACTGTCTCCTTGTGGCCTAGACAAGACGCCTCGTAGAGACACTCTTCGAGAGCTGTAGAGAGCTGGCGGTCCTTCTCATCCAATTTGCCGAAGGTGTCTATTATTGCCGCCATAACTCTGTGGCCGCACCTCCGATTTCTAGCTGCGGCCAAAAGAACTGCTCCGGTGATCGGGATGTTGTCTCGCTCCTTCAGAAGTAACGACATGATCTTATCACCGCACTGCTCGTTGCCAGCTGCGAGACTAATGATCTTCTCTGTGAGAGGGACACTGTCTGCGTATCTTTCTAGGAAAAGTTCCAGAATCTCTGTGCCGCCCCACGTGTCTTGAAAGGTTACGCTGACGGCCTCTTCGGTGATCTGAACGTGGTCTCCGCCCTTGTCGAGAAGGATTTGTATGACCCTAAAGGCAAAATGATTCGTACTTGCATGGGCTAGGACCTGTTCAGGGATCGGGATGCGATCGCCTCGCGCTGCGAAAAGCAATTCCATGACTTTGTGGCCTCTGAACGAGTTCTTGACCGCCGCTTCAACAACACTCTCCGTGATGTGAATGCTATCCCCATAGCGTTCTAGCAGAATTGCCATCACTCGATCGCCATGACGATGGTTCGTGGCTGCGGCCTGTAGAACCCTTTCAGTGATAACTAGTACGTCTTCGCACTTGTCAATGAGTAACGTGATAAAACGCACGCCATTCTCACCGTTGCTAGCCGCAGCCCTGACAACGTCTTCTGTAAGTCCATGTCGGACCTCCTCCAAACGCCACTCAAGAAGGAGCTGCAGCAGCAGATGGCCATCTCTGCTTGTCCTCCCGTCCGAACCCTGTTGAGCTGCTTGTATGAGCACATGTTCAGTGACCTGAAACTTATTCCCTTTCCGCTTTCTCATAATCGTCTGTATATCTGTGGCGCTGAAGCACGAGTCTATCAAGTCGTCCGTCAAGTAAACCTCGTCGCCGTACTGATCAAGAAGCAGCGCCAACATTCCTGGACGCAAAGAGGCCGCCATTCTGACGACCTTTTCGTTAATTCGAATCTTGTGTGGACGCTCAGCCAGAATGGCACGCATCATATCTTCGCCACAGTACTGGTTGTCTAATATTGCCTCCATAATGTCTTCGGTGATCTCAATCTCATCTCCGTACTCTTCCCATAGCACAGCCGCCACGTCCCAGCCATGGAAACGATTTTGGACGGCAGCTTTGACGATCTTGGTATCAACCTCCAGAGCATCGCCATATATCTGGATGAATTTGCGTACAATGGTACCATCGAATCTATTTACGACAGTTTCCATGAACTTGGCGGGAATCTGGGACTTGGTCCTAAATCTATCGAGCAAGAGCATCATTACTTTATTTTTGTGCCATGGATTATTTTCGACCGCGTCAAAGAGCTCCGCTGTTATCTCTACTTCGTCTTCACACACTTCAAGAAGCATTTTCATAAGATGTTCATGGCAGCCTTCCTTCGAGGCAATCGCCACTATGAAGTCCTCCGTTATGTGAACCTGGCCCCTGAGCGGGTCGAGGAGAAACGATAGAGCTGATTCGTCAATTGATTGTCCGTCAGTAGCCGCGGTTAAAATTAGATCTGCGGATAGTTTGATCTCGTCTCCCCGCTCGTCAAGTAAGAGCTTCACCACATCCGCGCCGTTCTCGATGGCAGCCAAGACAATTTCCGGAGTGATTTGATTCCTATAATGTTTGAGGAGTAGCGAAGTAATTTCCACGCCTTTGCTATCATTCCGGACTGCAGCTCTGATGATGTCTCTGGTGATATTGATTTCGTGACCCCGTTTCTCTAGAAGATGCGAAAGAATTATATCGCCGCACATTCTGTTCGAGGCTGCAATCGTGACAACTTTTTCAGTGATTTGGGTGTCTGACGCAAGCCTTTCTAGCAGGAGCGACATCACACGCACTCTGTTTTCTGCCCTGCTAGCCGCAATCTCCATATGCTTCATGGTCAAATTGAAGGAGACTCCAGCGTCGAAGTGCCACTGGAGGATTCGAATACTGTCGTAACGTATTATAAGTTCGCCGTGTGTGGCGCCATCCGAATTCCTGGGCCGAGCTCGGGCAAGCTGTGTCCAACGTTCCGGGCTCAAAACTCCCGACAAGTCAAACATACAGATAACCAGCATTGCAGATGGCTTACAGGATATAGCGGCATCGAACTTAGTTCTCACCACGTCCCAATGCCTATAGTATTCATCGCGTTTAACGCGGTCATGCCAACAAGAGAACGGCGAGGATGGGGGTTTTTCCCCGGAGAAGAATTTGGCCAAAATCGGGGATAAACGTGATAGCCTTTCTTCATGGTCTGCGTATTTTGCGTGGCCTGCCCAAAAGAAGAACGAGTATCGCAGAATCGGTGTCAATGGCTCGTATCCAGAAGGGATATAATCAAGGTTGAGAATACATTGCTCCGCCGCAAGTGCGTGTGCAGTTGTAATTCGGTATGCATGTTCACCCTCGAGGAACTCTCTGACGGATAAGTGGGAGAAGCGAAAGGCGTCCAGTGTCTCGTCAAAAAGAACCATATTGTTGCATAATTCCAGGAGTTGGTCTCTTGAATTGTTGGCGGTAGATACGTCTTTTGCTCCTGACACCATTGCGAGGAAGACGTCCGATTTGAATTGCTCTTGGGCACAAAGCAGCCATCTGAAGGCTTTCCTGGCCATTTCTCTGTCTGCAACGGCATCTCTGGTTTCAATATTTTCCAGGATCTCTTGGTAAAGCCCTTCCAACGTTCGCGGCATCTTGGCTAGTCTCTCTTCAATGGCAGCATCAGTGACCTGGCGACAAAGCTCTTGAACGTGTAGGCTGGCCCAACGGAACCTGCAAACTGTAAGTTTAATATCCAAGAGATTTGCCAGAAGTCATAACCTACATTCCATGCGCCTTAGCAGTTAGCTCGAAAACAATCTTGTTCCGGAGTTCCTTCTTTCTTGAGCTTCCTCGCAGCAAAGACCCTTTGCTGACAAGACGACGAGTCTCTGACCGCACAAAACGTTTGATGTCCCTCGAGTTGCGCTTTGATGAGAGGTACAGGTTTTCGTAGTTATCCAGCTTGTTTACAATGTCCCTATCGTCTCGGCTGGAGATGAAGACCTTCATAGTGGTCGGTGCTTTAATGAGAGATACGAGAAAGTCCAAAAGGTCTTGTCGAGTTTCTCTGTTGCACTCGTCCAGTGCATCAATGATCAAGGTGATTGTCTGATCTTGATAATTATCAAGAAGCTTCTGGATAAGCGCTTTGGTTTCGTCTAGTGTGAGAGACTGTGAGGCAAAAGCTTTATCTCCAAACCTTCTGTACGCCTCGACTGCGGCATCCAGAATATCCGCACCGGGCTGAGGCATCGCCAGTTGTCTTGCAAGACTTGCTGCTATGCTCGTGGGATTGGAACGGCCGGGCTCGGCCGGATTTCGGGAGCAGTAAAAGTACACCGTCGCTGTAGGAAATAACTTCAGAGCATCTTCAACAACAATTGACCTGTATTTTCAACATGAGATCAGGTTATCTGTTGAGTAATTGGCCTCAACTTACGTCAGCTTGCTCTTGCCAGAGCCTGGAATGCCGTGCAGCCATAAGATGGACGACGCCTCAGAGTTCCTCCAGGACTGAAAGACTTCGTCCTCGAGAAGCCACTTTCCTGTTCCTTGTAAAATCTCACTCTTATTTTGTGTGTGATGCTGTTCGTATGGTTCTTTCGAGATCCAAGTCAAAATCTCGTTGATACGCTGGGTTGAAACTTGATTCCATTAGCCTAAGCTAAAGGCTGTATCGTAAAAGGCTTACATACACTCAAGCGTAGAGTTTCCTGGCGCATCAGTTTGAATGTATAACTCGAGAAGGGCCTTCATTGAGGAGGCCGCTGTAGCAGCCGCGAACGTCTGCCATTTCTTGTTCTTGTGGCTGTCGGCGTAGTCGCAAACCCCCTTTACGACGACACATGGCACCTCGTCCCAAGCTCCGGCGGCCTCCATCTCGAAGGCAACGAGTTCGTACCTCTGAGCGATTTCGTCACGATGTACGCCCGAATTCATCACGGCATTCCCCGATCCGACACTACCAATGAGTATGTGCGGCTTTTGGGCCTCTGCGGTATTGCCCTCGCGCTCTAGTTCCTTTTTGATTCTGATACTCTCTCTGAGCACGAGATGATTTTCTTCGCATTCAAGTTCTATGCACGATACATCCGGGGCTTTGTCGCAAATCCACGTATCGTCGCAGCCACAGCCAGCATCATCTCGGTGTCTGTGCTCGTAGTTCGGACTGAAGAGTCCGTCATGGGCTGCTCCAGGGTAGAGGTACCAAGTCCGCTTTCGTTTCGGTCCGGCCTGTGCGGCGGTCTGTTGGATACCGGTGAGGATCTCAGCTGTACGACGCTCAAGACCTTCGAAAGTTCGTTCCGTCTCAAGGGAGGCCAGAAGTGAGCGGATGTCCTTGTTGGGTCGGCCGAGGCTATCATTGAGAGTATCCTTAGTTGCAAAACGGTGAGGATTCTGACGGCCAAAATCATATTGAACCACCGTCTTGCTGATAATGACGTCTCCGAGTACAACCTCCTTTTCGGTCCCGGGGCTGGGAACTCCGCCGCATATGCCCACCAGCAAGGCTAGCTTGAGCTCAGTGTAGCTCGAACGGAAGCTTGCCATGGCAGATGCCGAGCTTACTGTCCCCATGCTAGGAAGCAGAGCCATAACAACGTTATATTTGCCTATCCGGCCGGTAGTGTATGTGTTCGGATCTCCGCGAGCTCTGCCGAACTTGTCGCCGCCCTCGTCGAAAAATTCGTCAAAAGCCAGGGTGGCAGCATTGTACTCAAGGGGGAGCGCGCACAACACAGCAATTCGAAAATCTTCGCGACGTCGAGGTCGCTGATCGGCAGCCATTGTGATGACGACTAGGCCGCTAGCAACTCAAACCACTCAGTTGAAGATGTTGGAAGGATCTCAAAGTGATTACAGAACAGATTCTCGAGTGTGATGTTGGAGGAAAGTTGGGTTCGTGAACTCTCTCCAAGGCACGGAGGGGGTGCGGGGTTCGAGCACTTCCAAATCTGCCTTAGGGGCAGAACGTGATACACTTGTCTGATAAATTGCATAATTGATTGGTCGCTAGAGTGGGTGAGAATAAGCTGTGCCTTCTATATACAGGTATTCCTACAAGTTTACTGGCATACGACAAGTTACCGAGAGTCATGGTTCTTTGAAGACTCCTGATAGGTCACTTTACCTGTGCCAAGGAACATCTCATGCATCTATCAAGATGAGGAGGCCCCCAGCCTGCTTCTTCATGAGTACAGCCCAAGGGAGATCCAGTCTTATCTGCAGGCTGTATACAGCCTGCCGCGCGGCGGACAAAAAAGGGGCACACCTTAAGACAACCGCTACTAAGAACCTATTTGCACCCTTCTTTCTCACATTCTAGTTTAGTAAAGGTTTAACTACTGAAAAATATGTATTAAATATATGTACTAACTAATTTAATGAATAATTATAGCTGGGACTCTTACCTCTGCCGTCGACCTTTCCGGCCCGCGTGAGCAACCTACCCACCCGTATTACATCGTATCTCTTGGATTAAATCACTATATTAAGTTAAGCGCGTACTTGGGGCACATTGCGCGTATTGTATAATTGAATTACATACCGTGTTATGTGATTTCCCTTGAAAGCTGATCCCGTTGAGATTGATCTTTTGCGCCTGTAAAGCTGAAAAAAAATCATCACATAACTAGCTGGGACTCATTTTAGATTTATTTCGCTTTCATTGGGCGTTTCTTAGTATAAGGAAATTGGTGCAGCTGAAAGTCTATGTTAGGTGTATCCTTTTTTCTGTCCACCGCGTGCGTGCTGCTCAAATGTGTTTGCTACGGCCCACTAGTTTCCCGGCGTTGCTTGCCGTGATGTCTGACGATGCTATGTGTCAGACTGGTCAAGGCCACTATTGCTATCTTCAGTGATCGAGTCCGTGCTGGCTAGATTGCTCCAGTGAAATGAGAGATTCGAGGTTGGTATGGCACGGACCTTCGGCCCGGCCGGCTCCGGCGTTCGGTGGTCCAGCGTGCTACTGAAGGACCCCCCCATTTCCTATGGCTCTATCGCAGTCTTGGTTTTTGAGAAGCAGCTCTAGTCTCTTCCTTCAGCTATTGCCTCGAGATGACATCCCGCTTTTTCCCGAAATGAAGACTGAAAATGAAACAAAATGGAGTAGCCGTGCGAACAAATGGCAAACATACATGGGGTACTTCTGTCGGGCTGTGATCTTTTCCATCAAGTTAGAGTACAGATGAGTGTAATCTCTGATAACCGGGACCACTTTGAGACTCTACTTGCATCTTTGGAAGAACGTTCCAAGCATATCGTGCTCAATGTGAGAACTCGTTGGATTTCTGTACTTTTCGGTATCCAGAATTTAACTAGGTAATCAGGGCTTTTTGGTGTAAGAAAAAGATCACGCGGCAAATCAAGTTCCTCTCTCAACCTCCTTGTGGAATAACAAAGCTGCAGCCAATCCGATACTGTAGTAGCCAAGGACATTCGTGGTCTCTTTGTACCTCAGTGCCCGGAATATTCGTAATCATCAAGAACTAGGAGTCTACCACTGCGCTTCCAGACTCGTCGGTGTGTAGCCACCATGGAAAACTTGGAAAGCAATGCCAGCGCGGCGATTCAACATTCCTCACTGGCTTCTAGTCGGAGATGTCAGTGGCCAAGGAGGATCCGAGTGTATTCTCCTCAAGACACGTAAACACCACAGCCCCTGGATATGACCCCTTCGCTCTACCCAAGATGATAATGGTGGATTGTTGAACGCCGGTTCCATCCCGTAAGGGGTAAAGGGCGCCTATGCCGGTTAGTAGAAACTTTTTATTACTAGTTACGTTATACATAGTACGAATTACCGCCTTACGCCTGAGTAATCAGCGATTGGGTAAAAAAACGAAAAGATAAATATGGCACTATTTTATCAGAAAAGTAATATGATTTCGTAACTTAGCTTTGTATCATAAGTCGATCTTAGTAAAAACATAGAGTATTATAAGTAACTGATAGGGTAGGGGGTAGTCCATATACTCTTATAGTATAGGTAGGTTGGTAAGGGCTGAGACAACCAGTCATAATAGAACGGTGAGATGCCAGCAGTGCGTAACCGCTCGTGGCATCAATGGTCGGTCGCTCTACCCAAGACTCATAGTCGCCGACACCACCTCCGATATTCAAACCAAGTCCATCGACTATTAGACTAAGTACATCCCTATACAAGTAATACCTACCAATACTACCTATCCAGATCTTGCCCCAGGCCTCGTCTGTCATCACTATTTCCTGCTTAGCTTCATCCCCGTCGTCATCGGGGCACCCACTGAAACCCCTTTCGTTGCTAGTTTAGTAAATCTTACCTTTTAATGCTACGCCCTTTGATTGTTTAAGTAGGCGAGGCCCGTTAGCCCGTGGTCTAGAAAGGCCCCGTAGCTGGGGTCAGATGGACGTGCGATACTGACAGAAAGAAGACGTTGGAAGCAAGCCACCACCACCAAGAGTTCAATTGAGAAAGACTTCTTGCATGAGATCCTAGCCTCAATCTTAGAAGTCTCTCTTACACATCTACCAAGTAGCTTGGCATTCAAATACTTGAGAAATAAACAACCTTGAATACGTATGGTTGCCATGCGTACGGAGACACATGTCAATACAACTTTAACAACGGCCAAACGTCTGGAGAGACACTAAACAGGTCTGTCTCACAGATCAAGGATGTGGCCCCATGAACCCAAGAAGTGGAAGTGAATAAGCGTCTACGAAGTCAAGAAGCTGTCACCTTTCAGCTTCGTCCTAGAGCCATGGCTGAGAAGAGCCCAAACAACACAGCAAGTGGTCACACGGCGGCGAAGCGGCTAGAGGCCTCATATGGGAATGACAACAAACAGTCACACAACATGCTGACAACGGGGCCGTCAACTAGGCTTATGCCTGCGCACTAGTGTCGGGAGCGCAGATTGAGCCACGATGGCATATGCAGCCCTAATCCCAGTGGCCCATTAGCAGACGGCATTAATGGGAATCCGGCAGGATTGTATTCAAGGACCAAAGGTCGAGCGTTGGCTGACGGGTCCAACGTGTTTATTGTCACCAGCGCGCTGGTTGAACAGCTTTTCGGGCATGATATCTACCACGTGCTGGTACGACCTGGCCTGGGCAAATACCTGGCTGCTCTCACACAAGAATTACATTGTTTTATCCATCCAGCCGGATCCTTTCGGCCCAAGTACTCACCAGTTGTTGTCCTCCACCTCCACTAGCCCCAATTCCAAGGCACGATGCGAATAGCTGATCACAGGAGAAACCGGCTTGACCTCACGAGCTGAACCGGGAGCACGAAGGACATGCTGAAAAGGCAGCAGAGAGATGCTGCACATGAGTCGCAGGGACCGGTGACGGCTGGGGCTCAATAGGCGGACGGGAGGCGGGAGTGGATGCAAGATGGACATGGGGGGGCAGCGGAGCGAATGGGGGTCTGAGGTTGAGACGAACAAGAGTGACTGACTGGCGAATCTGACGTGCATGAGACGAGCGATCTGTGGGCGGCCAGAACCGGGATGGAGAGGTATTTTGGTATCATCGTCGGTGCCATCAAGGGGTTGGCAGGCGGCAGTGGTACGGGATCAACGTGATACCAGTCTGGCGGCGCGGAGTGGCTGGATCTACCCAGCTGCGCGGTAAAGGCCATTTTAGAGGCCCAAAATCCCGCTCTGGTCATTGTGGATGACAGAAAATGCGTGATGTTTGAAATGGGCGCTCCGGTCTTGTTGTCGAGGTGCACCTCGTGCGAAGCTGGTGAACTATAACTAGGGAAGCCTAGATACCAGCGCGACAGCCTTGGAGGGTTGTAGGATGGACTACCAGTAACATCAAGACCAAATAGCCCAGTCGTAGTAGTTGATACCTCGTACAGTGGGAACGAGGACGGCTACTTGCTGGGTAGCGGACGAACACAAGATCGTGAAGGTTTTCGTACGTTGCCGAATGGGTACGAGAAAGTTGTACACGATGCAGCGAAAGTAGCGAATGATGTGGACAGGAACATAGAATGCAACCCATCCGGCGCGCGGGTAGACGAGCTGACCGTTTTGCGGTGTGGAATTCGGGTGGCATTCGGGTGGCATTCGGGGGACGGTCTGCCGGCCTCCTCTAGACGGTTTTGGGGGGTAATTAACGGCTGGGCTGGCGGTCGGTACCTCAAAGGCTGCTGCAGGAGAGTGGCAGGAGAGAAACAGTCTGGTAGTTGACGATTGGCCCCCTGGAGGCGGAAATTGTGAATGGAGAAGGATGTGGTGTAGCAGACGGTGTGGGTTGATGCTGGTTGAAGCTCGCTGGGTTGGCCAAGGGGGCCGATTGGGGCCCTGTGATGCGTTGGCATGGCGTGCCAGCTCTCGTGGACGACGCAGATTGGACGGCGGACGAGCAGGGGGGCGCTGCGCTGTATGCCAGTGTCTCGAGCAACGGGCAAGCCGTGAGAGATTGAGGGAGGGGGAAAAGGCCGCTCTGTTGGTGTATTGGAGCATGTAAAACAACAGGGCCAAAGGCTATGCATGCCAACTCATCAAGGCGGCCAGAAGCAGATATGCCTTTTTTTTTTTGTCTTGTTGTTGCTTCCACTCTCCTTGCCTCTCCTCCCCCGTTGCTTGTACCGCTGTCGCTGCGTTCACTGGCCCGTCGGTGTGCGTGGTGATTTGTCCGACATTTGTTGGGGCGACACGAGAGACGCCGATGAGGTGGACGGCATGGCATAGGCAGTCGCTGTAACCGGACTCATGTTGCAGACCGCTTCTCTTCTTAGGTCTATCGTCGCCGACAGGACAGATATGCCGGGACGAAGGTCTCTCTAGGTGGGCATGAAGCAAATGTCGGCGGCAGGCCGTAAGTGTCCGGCGGCGGGCGGCGGTGTTCTCTGCAGGGCAATGCTCGATGCATGCTCGGTATCGCGAGCGAATGGTTGGGCAGTACGTATTCTTCAAGTGACAGCTGTGTCCGACGTGGTACGCCGAGCAACGACGCACAAGGGCGGCAGCTGGTGTCGTGGAACAGGCAATAAGGCGAACATCAACTCAATCGGGTCTTGTCTCGTTGCGGGTGCGCGTGCGCGAACCTGTGCCTGTGTACTATCGCAGGCCTCGAGAGCGAGGGTTGCCGACGCAGCCCGGCCAGAAGCTTGTGCTGAAGTGTTGGATACCTCGAGGTAGCGAGCGACTGACTAGTTGGAGCTGAGGCAGGGGGAGATGACGATGCCAAAGTCAATCAGGAGTAATGTCATGCAGTGGCCGTGGTTGGCTGTATCTGTTGGTCTGGCGATCCCGGTTCTGATTGAATTTTGGGCTCCAGCTCGATTTCATGACTTTTATTGGTATTCCTAGCAACATCAGCCGAAGCTGAGGATATCGGACTAGATGGCTAGGTAGTCCTAGATTCGTAGGTAGGCACTGGCCTGTTGCTTTTATTGGATGTGGCTCGCGTGGCAATAGAAAGAAACGAAAACAAAAGCAATGAATGATAGCGTAAAGCAGTAAACTAAAGTGGCGGCGAAAACGACAAAGGGGATGGCTTCAACCAACCTAAGACTCTGGGATGGGGGTGTGTGTGTGTTTGGATATGCGTTGGCGGGCAACGTCTTTTTTTCGTCCAATGTTTAAACCCTCTGAGTGGGCGCTGCACCTTCTCTACCAAAGGCAAGTGGTGCAGGGCAAGCTTGCCTCTGGTTCCCACTTCATGGATGGCATTTGCATTTTGTGTGAGGTGGCAGGTGGGAGAGGCGTGCCCCGTCCGTTCCTTCTAGCTTTGTTTGGTTTAGTTCCATCCCTCCTCCGTGTTTCCTTCCTTTCCTTCTTCCCCTCCAGCCTTTTACCCCACGCTTGCCCGCCTCGTCAGTTTCCATGCAACGAATAATGGAAAGAACGAGGCAGGTGGACGGTACTTGTACAGAGGCACGATGTTAGGCCAGGAACATGTTCCTTGAACCAACTGATCCGAGTGAACCGAGGACATGAGCCTATGAGTACGAAAACTTCACCACAAGACATGTATCCTCGACGCATATAAGTCATCATCTGACTGCAATGTTTCCGCTGCGTGTGTGTGTGTGTGTGTGAGCTGCCATGTCCACGGGTGCGAGTGTGGCCATCCTTGTCAGCAGTTCGCCCCCTCCTTGTCTGTTCTTGTTGCTGGAGGATCGTCCTGCGGTTCGCAGCTACAGGGAACCAGCAGCTGGAGCACAACTTTGAACCTTGGGTCTGCCCTGCTCCTTTTCTCTTGCCACGGATTACCTTACCTCTCTACGGAGTACGGAGTACCTTGAACAGACGAGACTGGACGCATCGCATCTCACGCACCAAACCCGGGTCTTTTTTGGGTTCCTAACCGCTGGCCGTTGGCCGCTGGATGCCCGGTCGGTCCTGTCTCCGGCCCCAGCGTCCCACCCCTGTCTTCCAGCTCACAGCTTCCATCTTCCTCCCGGTCTGTTGTTTGGGTATGAAGTATTATCTGGGTCGGTCCAGCGAGTCGGACGTGGCCGTAGACGTGGAGTCTCCCTGCCGGCATCTCAGGGCTCACCCACGCCCAGCTCCAGTGTCTGTTACTCGCAGCGGAAAGCGACAGCTCTCTCCCGCACACCTTGGGCAGCGTGACAAGTACCCGATACCCAAGCAATCGGGGAGCAACTGCATGCAATGGAACTTGCAACATGTCCGCGTTCACGTCTTGCTGTCCTCCTTCTTCTTGTAGGTTGTACACAGATACCTTCTCCCATCTTACCTGAGTAAGGTACGGATATACATGGTACAAAAGATGGGTATCTCTCTAGGTGGGAGGGAAAGAGCGAGGAGGCAGATGGGAGGTGAGGTGAGGTACCTTATAAAGTACGTACCTGACCCAACCAACCCACCCTCGTGTCGTGCCTGGTCTTGCCTTTCCTTGCCTTGCTGTGCCTTCCTCGCCTTGCGACCCTTGCCTTCCTTTCTTGTTCCGTCCCTTCCTCCCGCATTACCTTAAACCGCGGCCAAAACCTCCCATGACTTTCGTCTTGCTTGGGTTTCTGATTTGTTTTTCTTCCCTCTTTTTTGACAATAGAATTTCTTCCCATGTAAACATATCGACAAGGCAGTGAATACACTTCCTCCACCCGACGACGTCTACCTCACCTCTCGAGGCACTGGCATTGCGCCGACCTCTCTCCTCTTCTCCTCCCTCTTCCTCCGCCGTCCTTTATCGTTGAGTCTGCCCCGCTCCAGCAGATATCGTACCCACCCGCTTGCGCCCATCGTCAACGGCGCACACTCGACGACATCACGCGGTTGCGACAGCACAGCTACCAGCTTGTCCTAAAGCTGCTGCTGAAGCTGCCCGCTCGCTCTTCGACCCAAATCCTCATGATCGCATTATGATTTCCATGCAGCGTTCCCTCTCCTCGCCAGTTCGCGTAGTCTCTGCCCGTAGGTCCCACCAAAACCCTCACCATCACCCACAAAGCGCTCTATTCTGTCGTAGCCTCCCGTTTCTTCCCCTACCTTACCTGAAGGTACTGACTGTTGCTGTTTCTTCTGCGTCATAGCTGCCTCCCAAGATGACGCGAACCAGCCCCGATCCTCGAATCCTCCTGCCGAAACCTACAACACGTCCTTCAGATCCCGTCGCCAGAGGTCTCCAAGCCCGACCCGAAGCGTCGAGGCCGTAACCCTGCCTGTTCGTCGTAGCGAAGACACACCGAGGAGACCCGCCTCTCGGTCGCACCAGAAGCCCGTGATTGCCCAAGCGTCAACGCCCATTGCCACCTCTCCCGTAAAAGCCACCATGGATTCTTCGTCCGATGCGGCTCTCGCCTCCGCCGCGGGAACGGCTTCTTCGCCCGCCCTCCCCCAAGCTCTCCTCCCGGATCCATCCATGTACACGAACCCTCATATGGCGCCCGAACCTGATACAACGACCCTGGAGGAGCTCGCCCATTTGGTTAGATTGTCCAAGTACCAGGAGCGCAAGCGCGCAAACACACGCATACGCCTGCAGAGGAACCTCATCTCCACGGCCTTGTCAGCTCGTTTGAACCGCTGTGGTGAGATTGCCCGGAAGAACTTGGTAGATTGCTTTCGCTCCGATGACAAGAAGACCTTTGCTTCTCTGTTCAACGCCATTCACGATGTGCGCAAGAGCTGCGACGAACTGCGCCGCTATGCTCTGTTGGAACCCGAGATGGACTCTCTTCAGTCCCCTGCCCTGGCGTCGTCAGAAAGCCTGGACACGCCGCCGAAATCGACCTCGGGATCTAGTTCTCTCGGATCCATGACCCCCTTTCTTTCCGAGTTGCCCGCTTCTGTTCGGGAAATCTTTCTTAACTTTCTGCACCAGATCCGGACCAACCCGGACTACTTGGCTACAAGATTATGTTCTCTAACCCCTGCAGAACTGAATGTCTTTACTGGCGTACATCAGGGATTGGAACCTGTAGAATCCGTTCTACCCTACCACGGCCGCCCTACAGCCAGGAGTCATGCTGGTGGACCAAGTAGTCGAGCACCCGCTCATTCCCCAAACGCCATCGAGCGCTTGCTGTCGTTCCAGCGACACGATCCCCTGTCAGCCCTGGTCCACACATGCTTCGCCAACTCGGCTGGCCCTGATAGCGCCGAGGATCGACGTCGAACCGAGATATGGGGAACTGCTCTGGCAAGACTGATCACTGAATCGAAGGCAAGCAGCGAGCCCATGCTGATTTCCGTTCTCAATGTTTGGACGGCTATGCGCGACTGGTCCGGGAAGTCTAGCATGGAATGGTACCTGATGAAGATTCTCGAGGATGGTGCCTTCCTTTTGGACAAGGCCGAGGACCAGCATGGCACCAGGTTCAACCTTGCGGACTGGACAGCCAAGGACAGCATAGCGGCCGAGGAGTTCTACGACCGGGCTGTCAATGAGCTCTTCGAGATCATCGACGATGAGGATGCAACTGGAATTCCCGAAGGTCTCATCGAGCTCGGTAATGCCATTTTGAAGAAGCTGGATAACAAGCTCGTCGATGGCACCCGAAACTGGTTTGTTTACAAATGGCTCTTCTCTGTTTTCCTCCTTGGTGTTGTCATCCACCCAGAAAGCCATGGACTTATGGGCGATTACCACATCACCGAGTATGGCCGACAGAAGATTCTCAAGCAGGTCGCCATGCGAGCGCAACAACTTGTTGTCGAGATGACCTGGAACAAGAAGGGAACCGTCTCAACCCCGCCCAAAATCCAAGGACACGTGGAGAGCATCTTGAATCGATTCAAACGGAACCGATCCCAGAGACCTCCGGCGAAGTTACTACCGGCCCGCTCGATCACATCACTTCGAGAAACAGTCGAAGTTCATCCTTACCTCGTTGTGAGTCCGGCCGATCTAGTCACCCTTGTCAACGCCTTGTTTCCGGAGCGGCGGCCCATGTCGGCTCAGTCCAGCGGACTTCGATCCGGAGCGCCTTCTATCTCTGGATTCTCAGCCATCTCGCAGCCCATCTCGACGGGAGCTCCGCGGAGCAATTTTGACACGGCATCGATTCTAAGCACCAGTGCCTCATCTGTCCTCAGTGATGCCACGACGTCCAGAGAGACGAACCTGGATGATCCAAGGACCGGTTCACCTCAGCGATACTCGCCACCCGTGTTGGATCCACTGGCTCAGCGACGCCTTAGCAACTACGAGGATGATGGATATCGTCTTCGCTTCGCCCTCCGAGAGATGGGCGCTCAGGTCGGCATGGATGTTGTTCAAGGCTCGTGTCACCCATGTGCCGAACGATGGGCCGTGCTGTTCATCTCAGCAGACGGCAACAGCCTGTCAAGCCAGATGACTTATGATCCGGACGAAGATGTGGAAGATGAGGATCACTCCTCCACCAGCGAGACTGACGATGACGAGATTGACGAGAAGCCTGAGCTTGACAAGGATTACCACCAACTGCGAGATTCGATCCTGAAACTTGTCGAGGATTTCGAGATCCCAGCCAGCACTGAGCCAGAGGCAACAAGGGCACAATTCAGCAACCGGGCGACTGGCATCAAAAAGTACAGATCCAAGAACAAGATCATCACCGCTGAAAAGTCGTCTCCGAGCAGAAACCCCTACCGCAGACGCGATGCCGAGGCACAAGCCAGTGCCACAGCTGATGACCCGCAAGCCAAGGAAGATTCATCGGCGACGGCGGCAGAGAAGACACAGGACGCAGATCCGGAGCCGTCCTCAGTTCTCATTGCCATGCTTACCGCTGCTTCAGCTCAGTCGCGAGCGCAGGCGGACTTCGTGTCAGCCCACCTCTACTGGAAGACACTACAGCAACTCAATGCACTCAGCTCAGGATCGCTGAGACGAAATGGGTTTGCCATACTTCTCAACATTTTCTCCCGAGGGCCACGTGATTCAATTCGCCGCTGTGCTTCAGCTATTGAGGAGTACGACGCTTGGCTCGTCTGGCTTAAGCAGAGCCAAGAACGGCACGAGGGGCTTATCGACGCCATGATGAAACGACTCCGAGCTCTTCGCGACAAGATGTGGTATGTAACAGACGTGCGAAACTCTGCACCGTATGAACAGAGTCGCAACATCTGCGCTGCTCTCAAAACGATGGGCATGCAGAGGCGGTACAATTCTTACCAACGCAACCGCGCACACCTTGCACGGGGGCCAGCGTCAAGCTATCTGTATCGCACAGAAACTCAGATCATGGATCTTCTAGCAGCTTCAGAAGAGCAGGGCGGGCCCAACAAGCTGAGTGATGACCAGGCAGACAAGACCTCGCGTTGGCTTCAACAAGCTGGCGTTGAGAACTTTTGTTGTGGAGAGGAGCGAATTCACAGGTTCGGCTGCGAAGTGGACACCTGCATTTCGAAATTAGTTGGCGAGTCCATCATGGACAGCCCTGTACTGTGGTCAAGTGAGCTTTACCAACGAGACAGACGCAATCTGGAGACAGGCAGATCTCCCCGAGACAGAGACCATCCATTCGACGACACAGCGAGCGTCATGAGCGACCCAGATCGGAGGTTCATGTCTACTGGTCGGCCAAGCTCTGTTCGGGACCTGCGGGCAATGTCAGCTCACAATTCTAGCCAGCAGTCATTCGACTCTGGCAGCTACCGTTTTTCAAGGGCAAGCACAGTCTTGTCCGACATCATCGATGGACAGGACTATTTTGGCGTCTCATCGCCAGTTCACACCATCGACTCTAGTTCTACGTTTTGGTCGCCCTTCCAATCGGCGATATCCCCGAGCTCGACAACGTCCCGCGTCCAATCTCCCACGACAAGCATGACAAACCTATCCAGCGTGTTCCAGTCACCTCATTCCCATCTAGGCTCGCATGCGAGCCATTCTACCGGCAGACCTGGCACATCGGCATCGTCTAATGAGACAATTCACCAACAACGATTGTCGGAAGAAAAGTCTCGCTTCCTCAACGAGCTCCGCCAGACTCTGGTCAGCCTTCTGCTGTCTGACTTGGGCACATTGGTCTTTTCTCGCGGCTCAGAGACAGATGATTGGTTTTCCACATTGGGTCAGGAGTGCATCGACAGACGTGACTCCCTAGACCGACGTGCGCGTCGCTCCGCGAAGTCTGGCAAATTGTCACTGAGGCCCCGTGTCATCGAGAAGAAGAAGAGCTTTGGAAACCTGCGAGGTGCCGGCGAAACTGACAAAAACTCCGAGACCACGGAGACTGCTAGCGCTCCAGGAAACGACAGTTCAGCCACAAGCGACACGGTGTCTGCGCGAACCAAAGCCAGCCATAAAGAGTCAACTCCTGAATTTCCTTTCAAGAAGGCCTTCCAACGCTTGCTCCGCATGTTCAGCGTCCATCCCAATCCCCATGCCAAGCTGAACGCTCTGTACGAGCTGCAGCAACTCATCGTAGCATCTTTGGCGAGTGGCAAAAGGTCAAGGCTGGGCTGGAACCGACAAGAGTTTATGTCCGGCGCCGTCGATGACCCCACAGGCTCTAGCCGCGCGAATCCGTTGGAGGAGGCTATTGATAACGTGAGAGGAAGACGCTCGCATACCCTTTTGCAGGCACCTGCAACTTCGCCGCCGGCTAGTGGGCCCCGTCAAATGCGTCAGAATAATAATGATACTCGCTCTGGCGCCTCCGGCAACCCGACAACAACCGACGCCGTCACCAACGTCTTGCGAACCTTGTTCCGGGACGCGTCTATTCGGCCAAAGACACTCTTCCGTGACCTGCAGTTCATTGCGGCATTCGTCAACCCCACAATCCTTGACAGCACGGATAAAGGTACGGCGTTCTGGGACGCTGGCCTCGCCGCCTTGAACCTGAAGCAAGAGGTCTGCCGAACAATGATTGAAGTGGCGGACGAGGTCCAAGGGGTGTACACGAGTACACGCAAGACGACCAATGACGCGCCTGCTCCAGACGCCGAACGACTGGAGACAGAATCGCCCCCTCCTGTTACGACAGCCTACAGCTTGGCACAAGCAGGAAAGATGTGGACCATCACCGCCAAAGAGGGTCTGCCCACGGCCCAGCGAGAGCTCGCAATTTTCTACTTGTCGAACCCTGAGCTTGTGGAGCGGACCACCTTGCCCCTCTCGAAGCCGCGCGAGGTGTTTAAACAGGCTGTCATGGACAAATATGCTGGTCCTTCCGGCCGCACAGGTCCAGGTGCGAGACTCTACCCCGGGGACAGAAGTCGCACATCGGCAGGTGCATCAGGCCTCGGTGGCTCTGCTGGCTCCCAACATCCCGGCCAAGATCCAGGCTCCAAGGACGGTGATGTTCGCAGTGATCCCGCGTTGATGTGCGTTGCAGTCCATTTCTTCCAGGCGGCAGAACAAGGCGGCGATGAGCTCGCCACGTCCTTCCTCCGACAGAATGAGTTCAACGCCATGAGCTGAGGCGTTGAGAGTATGATTCACACAGCGCGATAATATTTCTTTTCAATTACGGACGCCGGGGGCGCTCTTTCCCATATTTTCTTTGATATTTTTGCGTTTCATGAGTACGATGCGGGCATATCCAGTTGGCATTTACATGGGCTTCCTCATACTGGGAAGCTGCGGGGGGATCATTTCTAGTTATCCCCCTTTTTAGATGATGACTGCAGTAGAAAGGGAGGGACATTATGGTAGCGGGCACTCGGCCTTTTATGGAGGATATACCACTTTTCTACATACGATTATGACTTGGGTATGGGTTACAGGCTTGAGCCAATCTAGATGACATTTATTTGCAATCATACCCCGTACATTATTCCCCGTGTGTATAGTGTTTCAAATTCCCATGATGGTTGTGAGCTGCCTTTTCCGGCGCCAACATTTCTGAAAATACACCTGTCACGCACTCGGCTGCTAACGTCATCTGCCAGCAACTCACGAGAACAATAAAACAGGCTTGTGACGGGACGCAAAACGGGAACATTCAAATGGTTGAAACGATAATGTATTCGCATTGAGCCTTGTTCAAAGGTCTCGATCAGAATGCGTACTACTTGAGACAGTCCGGCCCCATTGGCTTAGGTCGATGCACCGAAACTAGATAGCCTCCCCCCTTACTCTCTCCTCCGATGAGCAAGCTTTCAAATAGCATCCTCATGTGTAGCCCTACCTTCCTAGAAGTTTGGGTGTAAATATCAAAATAGTGTCTCCAAGGACCCCAAACGCCGCCTCCCAATTTTTCAAGTGCTCATGTCGACATCAACCGTGTCTTACAACTCAAATGTGTGAGACCAAACAGAGCTTTTAGATGACCGTCCCAGATTCATAAAAGAAATATGCATGCCCGCCCTCAAACCATGGCGAAGGAAAACTTGGTACATTGTTTACTGGCCTCTGCCAAAGCGAATGTCAAAGTCCTTGAGCACGCTCATGATACTCGCTGCCTCGACCTCGATGGGCAGACGAGAGGGCGACGGCAGCGTCTGGCCCGGCTTCGGCGCGGCGCGAAGCTTGGGAAGCCAAGAGCCAATGTCGTCGGCTGCCTTTTCAAAGTTGCGGTGGCTGGAGAGGGTCTGGTAGGCTTCGGCGCAGCTCAGGCTCAAGCCGAGGCGTCCCTTTGCCGGGAGACGTGGCGGCGGCGCGGACTCGGACTTGCAGCATCCGCCTCCGGCACCGGCACCGCCGCAGCACCCACCGCCTCCGGAGCTGTTTCCTCCGCTTCGCTCAAAGTTGGCGGACAGGGCGCGGCAGAAGAGACCCGACTTGGGGTCAGCAAGACACTGGGCGCAGGATCCGGGGCCCTTGGGGCCGCAGCCGCGGGAGACGGGAGCGACGGGCTGGACGGTCTGGGGACGGGGGCGGAGCTTGACGGCGCCGTCGGCGTCGATCTCCATGGGCATGGGGGGAGGGACGGCATCGTTCTCTGAGGGAGGGGGAGTCTGAACCTGCTGGGAATAGGCGGGAGGAGGTCCGTAAGGGGTAGTGGCGGGCGGGCCGAGCGACATGGAAGTGTCGGCGCAGAGGCAGTAGCTTCCGTCCTTACAAAACCCACACGAGTCCTTGAAGGCCACGGAAGGGAGCTGGGGCTGAGGCTGCACGATGGCGAGGTTCGCCTGCTGTTGCTGCTGCTGCACCTGTTGCACCTGCTGCACGGGTGCCTTCTTGGAGAACATGGCGGTGAAGTCAATCTCCGTCTCCTCCGCGGGTGGAGTGGGCTCGACACGGGCACGCTTCTCGGTGGACGTCGGCGCCGAGGGCGAGTGGCTCCTCTTTAGGTCCGAGATGATGGCGCTTTTGATAGTGTCTTCAAGGCACTGGCATCGACCTCCGAGAGTGCAGCCGCCACATCCTGTGACGGTATCGGCAAGAATTTCGTTGGCGCAAGAGCAGCCTTCAGGGCCGCATGACCCGCATCCAAACGGGGCAGGCGAGTCTTCCATGTGGGTTGAGTCTTGGGGGGAGACGATCTGTGAGATGGAAAAGGGCTGGTTTGAGTAGCCAGCCGATGGGGTGGGGGGGGGATGCTCGTGGTGAGCGATTTGGGAGCCTCGGCGTTGGGGAGATGGCAGACGCCTCGGGGCCGCGGCCTGCTGCTCATTCCAACGTCTCTTCTGGCTTTCGAGTTCAGACTCGGCCTTGACGCGGTCCTTTCTCTCGCGATCCAACATGTTTTCGAGCACGAGGCACCGGGATTTGAAAGATTGCAGCTCCATCTCGAGACCGTGGACCTTGTCCTTGAGGTCTTTTTCGACCTTTTCGTGACCATCACGGATTTCGTCGAGCTGCTCCTCGAGCTCGCCAACTCTGGCGGCCCTACGCTCGCGGAATGCCCTCTGGGCGGCACGGTTCTGGGCCTTGCGCTTGGTGGGTGGCGTATCGGTAGCAGGCTTGCGGCCGGGCTTCGGCCTGGGAGGGATGACCCATTCCTTGGTGGTCATGGACATCTTGGGCGCCTCGGTGACGGGCGGGGGACTGATTACGGAGGCCATGGACATTTTGTTCACGACCTGAGGCGGCCTGGCTGAGATGGGTTGTTGTGCAGCGTTCTGTCTGATGGCAGGTAGTTGGTGCGGGGCGTGGGAGGCATTTGTCGGTCCGCTCGGATTTGGTGTGGGAGCACCGCCGGGTGTGCTCGCGGCAGGCGATGCTGCGGAAATGGGCGTCGAGACGACCGAGTTGGAGCGAGATGCGGCAGAATAAACGCTTCGGGCGTCGGTTGCGGGAGGTGAGGCGACGGGAGAAAAGGTCGACGACGAGTGTTGCTGCTGCGACGTCTGGTTGTGGGAGGAGGGAGAGGCGGCGGATGAGGAGGGAACAGTGGTGGAAACACCCGAGGCGGCCATCATGGTGGAAGAGACGAACGAGCAGGGTTCCGCAGGCGGGGTCCGTTATGGCCGCTCATTCGCTGGCGGGTGGTGGGATATCGCCGCTGACAGCTGGTCGACGGTTGGCGGGGGTGTAGGTTGCAGATGTTTTGCCAGCTGGTAAATCCGAGGGTGCGGTTCGGCGTAGAGCTGGTGACGCTCGGCTCTTAAGATCTGATAAGAAAAAAGGATGAAAAAAGGTGGTGCGATGGAAGCGCTAATGATGTGTTGTGGAAGACCGGGTGGTTTTGTGTACGGAGTTTGGTGGTTGGTATTTGGCCTCTCTTTTGGAGTGGTTTTTTTTTTTTCTCGCTCGTCTTTTATTGTGATGATGATTGATTGACCTTTTGTTCGGAGGAGCAATCGGTGCTGTACAAGTTGATATGATGCTCCTGTTTGGCGATCTGGGCTGATGCCGAGCAGAATCGAGCAGATACCCCTACAGCAAAATGCACACAGCTGATAGGTCTGTTTGGGCTGTTATGCAGACGAGCGTGGTGGTGCGCGTTTTGCCGAGTGGGTGACAGGCACCTATCCGGAAGACAATGTCGGCAACGGGGTGAGTTGTCGCTACAGTGTTGTAATTGCTGGTGTAAGTGATTTCGAGGATTAAAGGCAGAAAAGTCTTGAGATCAGTTTGTGTAAGTGAGAGAGTCGGTGTTGAAGAGTTGAAGAAATCTTTGGTTTGCGGGATTGTTCCTCTTTCTTCCGACACTTCGGAGGATGGTGGGGAGGAGGGAGGGGATTGGAGGGACAGCGCGGACTAAACAGTGGAGGGGGGGAGAGGGGGAGGGCGACATTCAAAAAGGAATTTTTGATCTGATTGATAAGATTATCTTGCTCGCAAGGCCCACCCCCACCAGGGCCTACGCTAGTCTTTTTTTTTTCTGTCTGTTTTTTCCACCGGGCACAGCCTGTCTAAGGTACGTCGTCTTCTCTCACTCACTCGGTCGGTCTCATTGCCTCACTCAATCCACTCACCACTGTGTACTCCGTACCCATCTCACTCACGCACTTGGTACCGAGCGATCACTCGGAAAATGACCCTGACTTCCACACAGTGAAAGCACTGCTCTCACTCTCACTCTCACTCCATCGCTCACCCTCAGTACGGATGGATACACTCACACACCAGGCCACACTGGGTGGAATCGTTCGATGGCTGGCTCCTGTGGCTTTCCGGCTTCCAGCTCCATTCCTGCCCTGCGATCTCGGACCTTGTTTCTTAATCTTGGCTAAGCGGAACACGCTATGAATGCTACCATGTAGGGACTTTCAGGGCTACACAGCCCGACTTCTCCCACGGATCACCGCCCTGATTGACCGCGCGATCCACCCTCAATGGGCTTTGATCCCCTTGATGGCTGAGTTTCCATGTCGTAACACCCATCCATGGACCATGACCTTATGGATGATGGAGAATCCCAGCCTTCTCACGCACTCTCTTCCGTCACCACCAGTTCTCTGAGTCTGTGCCTCTTACTCTGTATCCGTACTTTGTGTGGATAGTCGACGATGCGTGGATGCCAAGCTTCACCACATCCCGACTCAGGGTCGGCCGATGTCGCTGCCCTTGCCCACCGGGCGAGTGCATGATGTGTGTGACCAGTGATGACCGTGGGATAAAGTTGCATCTAATTACCCAGAGGTCTATGTTACCTTACAGTAAAGGCCTGGCAGTCCGTCAACAAATGAGAGCGAGTCTTTGTCCGATGACTTGCTCGTATGCCGAGACGTCCGTGGTCCTACTCTAAATCTACCTTTCCAGTAATAAGGGGTGAGTAAACAACCGTAAAGACAGAAACCAGCGGGTGAATCAATTTGACACATAGTTTGATGAGGCTTTTCGGCAGTGTCTATTGTCTAAAAACCAACGAGTCAGGATCACCGAGGTGTAAACGCGCTTTGCACAATTGCTCTATGATATGGCATAAATCAATGGCTGAGCACAAGATCTGTATCCGCCCAGTGAGCAAGATGCTCGGAGAAAGGTACCTGATAATCGGGGATTTATGACTCAATGGAACCTGCTTCGGGTGTCACCGCCAGTCGTCCAATGGCCTTGGAGCAGTTCATCCGGGCGATCAAGAGGTACTTGATAAGATGTCACCACCCTCCATCGCCTCCAGCTCCAATCCGTATTACGGTTTTACACGACCGAGCGTGCATGCCTTCATCCCACACACACCTCGTGTTGCCGTCTGTCATTGGGCCATTTGATCTTTGACCAAATTTACCCCCCAGCCGCCGCTTCCTTTCTGCAGGCTCACATGAGACGCTCATTTTTCTCAGTCCTCTTTGGAAGTTTGGGTGAATCGCTTGAAACGTCTGCTTTCGGGATCGTCTAAACCCAGTCTCCAGTGCTGTACGGATACTATCGACGAGCCAACCACCAAGTGACCCAACACTTCTCTCGCCGTGACTGTGCGTAAACAGATCGGCCCTTCATCCCACATAGCTTGATCCCAGGTGGAGGCCCCGGGTGTGGGAGAGTGGGAGCCACGCGAGAAAGCAGAGCAAAATTTACGTACATCGTGGAGTGCTCACAACGAAGTAGGTACTACGATGCTACCTTACTGGATCCGTTCCTCTATGGCACTTTGCTGTGGTACCTACCTCGCATCTCACGAGGTTTGACGGCGGCAATTGTCGGCGCACTAATCACACAAACTGTCTTTGCCTGACAGGCTGGCCCAAGGGTGGCTCCGAGAACGCTTTGGCTTCACAAGGGACCCCCTTCTTGCGAGGCAAAGCCAACCGCCGTCGGGCACTTTGGCCTCCGCATGTTTGGCCGGATATCTTCAAGCCAGATGTGGCCGGCTCTTCATAACGGTAGACGGGCGTGATGTAGCCGCTTACTTGAGATGATTGGCTCTTTTTTTTTCCCCCATCCATCTAGCTCTGCATTGATGAATGCGTCTTTGGCGATGACTTTACTGATTTCTCTCGCCAATGACCGCATCAGAGATGACGATGTGCGGTCATGGTCGTAAGAGCCGAGCAGATTGATCGCCGCATCGTCACTGCCAGCGACATGGCAGGGTTTGGAATTATCCAATCCTAGCTCTGACTCCAAATCTCCAACCAACTCTCCTCCGTGACCCTCTCTCACAAAATCCTCACTCACAAGTGGCTGAACTGATTGAGTAGCCACTTGAGATGTTTGAAGGTTGCGCAACCGTGTCCACATGCGCTGAAAGCTGTGGGAATCCAGCGGGGGCTACTTTGTGGGCTCACGCACAGTCTACACCTCCAATTCCCACAGTGATCCCCGCGAAACCCCAATCTGTGGACCTCTGAGAAAGCTGCATTAAGCTATCCGTACCTATCCAACTCCATCCCGTCCAAATCGGCCAACAGCTGCAATTCAAACCATCCACCTACGTGCCACCTCTCGAAGGCAAAGCTCCCAACAATTCCCGATCCCGGTCTTTCTAGCTTCGAGATAGCTACCTTGCCTGAAATTGACGTCCCTGCTCCGAGCTCCAACATCTTTGCGCCGAACCTCAACCACCGAGCCACCGCCGCCCTCGTCTCTGAAAGGCCGAAAGCAACAACCAACCTAACCAAAAGCAACCGGGCAAAACCACACAACAAAAACCATGGCCAATCTCGGCATCCAATCGCCAACACGGCAACAACCCGCCCTCCACCTCCCCTCCTCCTCCTCCTCCGTCGCCTCCGGCACCGGTTCCGGCTACGAAGACGACGACGCCCCGCTCCCCTTCCCCGCCGCCCTCCCCCGATCCGACTTCCTCGCCCCCAACTTCCACCCGGCAAACTACCTCTCCGCCCTCCCGCACCGGCACCAGACCCTCGACGACCTCAAAGCCGAGCTCCGCGACCGCAGCGCCGCCATCAGTGCCGAGCTGCTGGAGCTCGTGAACGGGAACTATACTGCGTTTTTGTCTCTTGGCAACGAGCTGCGCGGCGGCGATGAGAGGGTTGAGAATGTGCGTGTTGCTATGCTTGGGTTCCGCAGGGCCGTGGAGGAGATTAAGGGCAAAGTGAGGACGCGCGGGGAGGAGGTTCAGGGGTTGAGTGGGGAGTTGAGGGAGGTGAGGAGGGGGATTGAGGTTGGGAGGAAGATGCTTGAGTTGGATGAGCGGGTGTCTTCGCTTGAAGAGCGGCTTGCGCTTGCGAGTTTGCCGGGGAAGAGGAAGACTGGTGACGGTGGGGAAGAGGAGGAGGATGATGATGATTGGGATGCGGATGATAGCGAAGAGTCTGATGAGGAAGAGGATGATGATGTGGGCGGGCTGGTGGGCAGCAGCCCTGCGAAGCTGGCAGGCTTCGCGCAAGACTTCTGTATCGTCGAAGCTCTGGCCGACGCGGTTGGACGGGATGCCCAGTTTGTGGTCAAGGCAGAGGCTCGGATGGTGAGGTGTCGGAACACGATCCTTCTCGACCTCGGCACGGCGATGAAGGAAGCACGGAAGGCGGGTAAGAAGGGCCAGGCGAGGACGGTCAAGTACTTGGGTTTGTACGGGCTGCTTGATGCGCAGGCGGAGGCGATCAGGACTCTCAAGAGCAGTTGAGTCGGGTTGCAGCACACGACGAACAGAAAACAAAAGGCCAGCTGTCACATAGTAGCGATGCATATGATACCCAAATCTCCAACATGTTCTAGAGCGCTATGCCACTTTGATACACGTGTAATAAAAACACCTATGATACAATTCATCTAAACATCCGCCCCTTTTTCTTTTCTTCTCCTCTCTCCCCCTTTTCTCATCTGGATTTTGTACATTTTTACATGACGTTGGACAGGTGGGCCGGCGTGACCTCCTCATCTGTAGAGTCAAAGTTTCCGTTCAAGCTGAAGCCCGGAGCCTGGGAAGAGCTCAGCACAACCTCGTGAACCTCCTTGTGCGTCTCGAGCTCCGCGAGGTCAGACTTGATGCTAGCCACAAACGCTTTGACGTTGGCAGACAACATCTTGGGCGTGAAACCGAGCTGTCCAATAGCCATGCGGATGACACCGGTACGCTCGCGGTAGTTGTCGGCGCCCATCGTCTCACGGATGGAGCTGGCAATGTTGTCGGTGATGGTCTTCATGCGACGGTTGGGCATGAGACCCTTGGGACCGAGGATACGGCCCAACGCCGCCTTGTTGAGCGCCGCCTCGCTGTCGGTGTGGCAGATGAGCCGGTTGAAGACAATGTTGTCGTTCTTGATGGCCTCGAAGACGGACTCCTGGCCCGCGACGATGGCGCCGGCTTGCAGGGCCTGCTGCGCGATGGGGCTTCCTTCGGGGCAGATTACACCGACGCGGATGTCGGATTTGACGGGGTTGGGGAGGCGGATGCGGTTCTTGACGACGGCGCCGTTTCGGGGCGTCTTGAGGTGGACGTGGATCTCGTACTTGATGGACTGGGGAGGGCGGCCGACTTCGAATGCGCGGAGGTAGCTAGTTAAAGGTCAGTTGAGATCGCACATGGATTTCCTCGTACAGATTATACATACCGCATAGCATCGCAGAGAGAGAATTGAGGGCAGTTCTTGACGTTGTAGGTCTTGAAGTCCTTGGAGAGCTTCTTTTTCTTCTTGTCCGTCTTCTTGTTACCCCCCTGGTAGCTCGCGCATCGTGTCTGCTGGGCGACGGAAGGGATGAGGAACCGCGGTATCGTGGAGGCTGTCGGTCTTGCTGAAGCTGCGAGGCTGAGCCGGGCCATTGAGGCCATGCATTGGTTCGTTGACGCCATCACGGGGCTTTGGGTATATGTGATCTTTTTCTGGAGTTGCAACACCAGAGCTGGCCCTCGGGTCGTCTCGCGTGCGAAGCTCTGGCCAAAGAATGCAGAAAAAATGATGTGGCCTCATGGTTCAGGCAAGACGTTTCTATCTTATCACTATCTTATCGAGCTGGGGCCCAGGCAAGGTACGTATCTACCTTAGGTAGGACCGGTCCGGTCCCGGTGTACAGGTACGTACACTTTGCCTCGAAACACACCACTGTCACCAGAGCTTGACCTTGGACGAAGAGTCATAACTATTGCCATCAGTTGAAAAGTTCTGCAAAATTTTCAGAAGAAGTGTATATAGCTTGAGAATCAACCGAATATTTTGCCCAAGTACAATTATTGCGTAGTGATTGAAAAAGACACCAGATGTATTACCAAGAACGACTTACAGCACGCCGCAAGCAACTCCCTCGCTGTGCCACCAATCAGACCCTCCTGTTCCTGTCCCGGCCGAGTGCTCTCGGTGAGTGCGCCGTCATGTTACCCCTCCATGATTTTTAACCCCACCACGAAATATCAGCCACTCCAAACATTTGACTCACGAGACACCAGGACCGTCCTGACCGCCGAATCCCTCCGATAGTTTCATCGCCTCAATTGGACCAAACACCGCCATCATGAAGGCCGAGGAGCTCCAGACCCTCCCCACCGCCCTGGCCGGCGACTTCAAGTCGATCGAGCCTCACCTCCGCGCCCTCGACAAGCACTTGACGCTGCGCACCTTTGTCGAGGGCTACTCGCTGGGAGAGACCGAGACCAAGATCTGGCAGACCCTGAAGCTGAACAAGGTCGCCATGGGTTTCATTCGCAAGGGAACTATGGCCAACCTCACTCGTTGGTGCGTCATTCGTGTCCCTAACTTCAATCATTGTCCATTCGACGCTAACTCGCGTTGCTAGGTTCACCTTTGTCGAAGTCACCTACCCCGAGATCCAGGCTGAGACGAACGCTGTCGATGCGGAGCGCAAGGCCAAGGTCGTGGCCGCCAGCAAGAAGGGTGCTAGCTACTCTCTTGCTCTCCAGAACGCCGAGGCTGGAGTTGTCACCAGATTCCTTCCCGAGCCTTCGTTAGTACTCCTAAACACCACTTATCGAGACCATCCCCTAATCATGTAACAGAGGATACCTTCACATCGGTCACGCCAAGGCCGCCCTTCTCAGCGACTACTTCGCCCACGAGGCTTACAAGGGCAAGCTTCTGCTGCGTCTCGACGACACCAACCCCGCCAAGGAGAGCGAGGAGTTCCAGGATGCCATTGTTGAGGACCTGAAGATGATGGGCATCACCCCCGACTCTCTTTCCTACACCTCCGACTACTTCGACTACCTATACGAGACTTGCATCCGCCTAATAAAGGAGGGCCACGCCTACGCCGACGACACCGAGCAGGAGACGATGCGCAACGAGCGAACCGACGGAATCGAGTCCAAGTGCCGCAACCGCTCCGTCGAGGAGAACCTGCGCATCTTCGAGGCCATGAAGGAGGGCACCCCCGAGGGCTTGAACAACTGCATCCGCGCCAAGATCTCAGTCGACAACGTCAACAAGGCTCTGAGAGATCCCGTCATCTACCGTTGCAACGTTGAGAACAAGCACCACCGCACCGGCGACAAGTGGAAGATCTACCCCATGTACGATCTCGCCTGCCCCGTTGTCGACTCTCACGAGGGTGTCACCCATGCCCTGAGATCGACCGAGTACACTGACCGCAACCCCCTTTACCAATGGTTCATCGACACCCTGAAGCTGCGCCAGGTCTACATGCACGACTTCAGCCGTATCAACCTTGTCCGCACCTTCCTGTCCAAGAGAAAGCTCGCCGTGATCGTCAACCAGGGCACCGTTTGGGGTTGGGACGACCCCCGTATGCCCACCATCCGTGGTGTGCGCAGACGCGGTATGACCATCCCCGCCCTCCGCGAGTTCATCATCAAGCAGGGCCCTAGCAGAAACGTCGTCAACATGGACTGGGCGTCGTTCTGGAACATCAACAAGAAGGTCATTGACCCCATCGCCCCCCGCCACACTGCCATCCTGGAGAAGGACGCCGTCAAGGTCACCGTCACCGGCGCCGACGCCCCCGCCACCCCTCGCACCGAGGACAAGCCCAAGCACCCCAAGAACCCCGACGTTGGCACCAAGAAGGTCGTCTTCTCCAACGAGCTCATCCTCGACCAGGCCGACGTCAAGAGCTTCAAGAAGGACGAGGAGTTTACCCTCATGGGCTGGGGCAATGCCTTTGCCCGCGAGATCGGCGCCACCGACCCCATCACCGACCTCAGCGTCGAGCTCAACCTCAAGGGCGACTTCAAGACGACCGAGAAGAAGGTCACGTGGCTGTCGACGGCCGGCACCAAGCTCGTCAAGGCTGAGCTCTGGGACTTTGACTACCTCATCAACAAGGACAAGCTCGAGGAGGACGACGTGCTTGAGAAGGTGCTCAACCCCAACACGTCGAGCATGGAGACGGCGTTGTGCGATGCTGGCGTTGGTGAGCTGAAGAAGGACGATATTATTCAGCTCGAGAGACGGGGTTTCTACCGTGTGGACAAGGGTCTGGATGAGGGTGACGTGGTTGTTCTGTTCAACATTCCCACTGGCAAGGCCAAATAAGTTATTTCGCTGTTTCATTTGTAGGAAGATTCAGGCCATGAAAGACATGAAGAATTGAAGTATGAAGTAAAAGCTTGATCTGGCCATGTTGACTCTTGAAGCTGATAAGCGACACTTGCCGATCCATGTGCGCTCTCGGGACTAAAGAGACTCAACTTTTGTATGATGAGCAAAATAACCGAGATATCAATCATCTAAAGAAAGTATATTCATCTCACGAAAGAGCTATATGATGCCAGTTAAATATCGCTCCATGATTAGAAATAACAAGAGCAAGGAAGTACAAGAAAAATGCACAGTTTGCTAACATAAACAGCCATAGAGGATAGAATGAGATTTTGATACCGCAGCGTCTAATGTTGAACATGGATTCCAAGCTGTAGACCATCAACTCTCAGTCCTTCAGCAGAATATCTCAAGTACCTTAGGCACCACGGTTGTATGGACGGACTATCTGTACCCGAGAAACAAAAGTGCGCGTTTCCAGTATACCCCTGAGCGGTGAATGACGGGCATGGAAAGATGATCAGACCATTCGCCTTCATCAGCTAACTTTAACCCCAGACTTCCATCCCCGCGATTGAGGCGGCCTAGACCGGCCATCGTTCTCACCCCACTGAAAGTATGAGGCTTATCCGGCCAAAGGTGTTTTAACTCATTACTTTGCTTGAAAAAAAAAAAAGCAATGTTGCGTCCTCTGCATTCAGCCGGACCGGAAGCGTGGGGAGACGCAGGCCGGCCAAGATCGGGCGAAGCTCCCATCGTGCCACGAAGCGTACCTGATCTCGTCTCATCCACACACCGACATTTTTGAATGAGATTCCACCAATCCTCCGCAATTATGGATCGTCAGTTCAAATAGAAGTTACTCGCTCTGTTTCCCTCGATTCCCTCTAATCTCGATACCAGAGCCACTTCTCGATAGCCTTATCAGACCCCGAGTTACACACATGTTGGAATCTTGCATAATCTCCTGCAGCTAAAGAGCTACCCTAGTCCGACCACCGCTTTATCAAGGTCGTTTCCGCCTCAACCCAAGCTCTTTGAAGTCGACATCCTCTCTACACCACCTTCAGGAATTGATACCCAAAGATTCAGTCAAAATGGCCGAACCCAACAATACACCATGGCCCCCAGCAACACCACAATCTCAAACCCCTCGCTCCGCCTCGCCCGTCCTCCACGCCCATCCCAACAGCCAAGTAGAACCCATCGCGGCAACACCGCAAACAGCATCCACAAACGGCACCCATAAGCCTCGCGTCCTACACATCGGCGACCCGATCAAGTACAACCCGGAAACCTACGCCGCCTTCTCGGCGCAATGCGACATCATCCGCCCCTCAACGCCCGAACGCCAGCGCCCCGCATTCGCCGCTGCCCTACGGGACGGCAAGTGGGGCGACTTTTCCGCCGTCTTCCGCCCGTTCTGGGGCACGGGCGGCGAGATGGGCACGTGGGACGCCGAGCTGGCTCCGCTGCTGCCGGCGAGCTGTCGGGTGTTTGCCAGCGCCGGCGCCGGGTTCGATTGGGCTGATACACAGCTTCTCGGTGAACGAGGTGAGTCTTTGCCCCTCTCAAATCGCTCTGTGTTGAGTGAATGTATGAGGCATCTAGAAACACTAACACACAGAAAGGCATCATATACTGTAATTCAGGCCTCGCCGCCGCCGAAGCAGTCGCAGACTTCGCCGTCGCCCTCGTCATCTCAACCTTCCGCCACCTCCCCTGGTGCATGACATCCGTCTCCGACCCGTCCGCCTTCCAAGACTGCCACGCCCGCGCCACGGCCGCCTCGCACACTCTCCGCGGCCACGTCCTCGGCCTCGTGGGCATGGGCAATATCGGCCAGCAGATCGCGCAGCGTCTCGGCGTCGGGTTCGGTATGGAAGTACACTACTTTGACGTCGTCCGCAAAGACCCCGTTGCCGTGGAGGCCAGATTTGGCGCGACATTCCACGAGACGATGGAGAGCTTGCTTCGCGTCTCGGACTGTGTTGTGCTATGTACGCCTGCTGGTGGTAAGGTTATCACGGCAGAGTCACTGACATGGTTCAAGCCTGGGTCGAGGTTTGTGAATATTGCGAGGGGGAGTTTGGTTGATGAGGAGGCTTTGGCGGGTGCGTTGGAGTCTGGGCAGATTGGGACCGTTGCGTTGGATGTGCATGCTGATGAGCCGAAGCCGCATCCGAGGTTGCTCAAGATGGCGGGGACGAAGGCCATGTTGACATGTCATAATGCTGGAGGGACGGTTGAGACGCACAAGGGGTTCGAGGAGTTGAGTATGAGGAATATCATGGCGGTGTTGGGTGGAGGGAAGCCGATTACGCCGGTTAATCTGCACTATTTGAAGCAGTGATGAGCCAAGTAGAATATGCCTTTGCTCACCATTCCTCGGAGTCAAATGAGCTGTAAGAGGGGTTTGTTCTTTGCAGGAGGAAGAAGCTACTTGTTCGACTTAGACGGTTATACATACGACTTGGCACCCACAAATCATCGCCGCCCTGCAAAACGACTGGAGTAATAGAATCCAACCGTGGATGTTGAATACCGATGTGAAGCAACTGATGTTGAGGTACATTTACCGAAAGGGTTTTGTTCACATGTCCAGAACCCTTGAATCAAGACCTCGCATATGCGCTAGATAGGCGCTATCATGGTAAGACATCAATCCCAAGCATCTTGTTCAGCTGAATTGGTCCAAGGTTCCGCCCGTTCAGCTCGCTCAGCCACTCATACTAGCCTGCTCAGCCCAACGAGACTGCCCTTGCGTGTCCGCCGGGAAGATTGTGAACAGAAGACTCTGCTTCAGACTTCAAAAGATACCCTGTTCCATGACCTGAACACGAACCTACATGATACAGCATGTAATGCTTGTTCGATGGGGAGAATACGACAGATCCTGCGACATACCATGGCACTTATCCAGAGACGCACTGAGGATATTGGTGCGCGGAACAACCCAACCGATTGGAGCGCAATGTTGCCTAATCCGAAAACCCACATCCGCCTGCTCACGATTCTCCCAGGTCGACAGACAGAAGAAGTACGTTGTACCTGCAGCACTATCAGCAGCACTATCAGCCTTGATAGCAGGCCGAGATACAATGCCCTATCATATGCCTGGGGCAACCCCGACGAAAAGGCTCAAGTCATCGTCAATGGCGTCCAAGTCACGGTCAACAGAAGTCTGGCTGAAGCCTTGAGCCGTATTCGCCGTCAACAAGAACCGGTTGTCATCTGGGCAGATGCCCTTTGCATCAACCAGAATGACGCAGACGAGAAAAAGTACCGAATCGATCTCATGCACCGCATCTATGGCGAGTGCGAGAATTGTTCTGTCTGGCTGGGGGGCATCGTCGTGAAAGGAGATAGCGGTACGGCCGCAAAGCGATCTGCAGCAGCAGCCCTTAACGCTCTGCGCATCATTGCGGAGGAGCCACACGATGAAGAGCTTGGCTGGCCCGGGGAGGATCCAGTTGCTAAGAGCCCTGCTGGTAATGGGCTTACCGCCGGGGCAGCCTTACAGTCGATGATGGACTGTGAGTGGTGGCAGCGCATCTGTACTGTCCAGGAGGTCTGTCTGCCCTCGAAAGCCACGGTTCTCTGGGGGCCACTCGAGATCAGCTTTCAAACGATCATGGACGCGGCGAGCTATATGGTGCAACCGGATGAGCACCCGCAACACAATAACATTTTTGATCTTTTCCAAGAGGGCACCGCCATTTACCCAAAGCTTCATACAAGTCCGTTCACAATACCCGTCCTCAGCATTGCTCACGCCAACGGACTATGTCCTCGATATTGTGGTTCTATTTTCCAGAGTTATGGTCAGTTTACTGACATCTCTGAATAACCTCAAGCCTCTTATCGGCTGGAGAGGGGAGAGAGAAACGGCCGGTCTGCCTACCTGGGTCCTGGATCTGGCCCAGCCGGAGGAATCCAAGTGCACCAGCGATTTCTGGACACACGATATTGCTTGGAGGCAATTCTATGCTGGCCGCGGTCTACCACGATTCAGGCCGCCAGTCACCGAAGCAGGAAATCCCGTATTGCTCACTTTAAACGGCATCCGCGTTGACAAGGTGGCTACAGTGTTGATGGACCTAAGGCATACGCGAAGGTCCCTTTGGAGACATGCATGTGAAAGCGTTCTCAGGAACCACGCCGGTAAAGACAACATCATGTGCCAATATAACAACCTTGTCCAGGGGAAATTCGGCGAGCATCATGCGCCCGTCACGGATGAGAGTTGGCGCGGGGGTCCGTGGTGGGAGGACAGGATGCTCTCTTACCAAGTTCTCTTTAGGGCAATCGGCTTGGCCTTGGCCCGCCTAACCTGAAGTCGGGAGACAACGTTTGGATTCTTTCGGGCGGGAACCATCCCTTTTTACTCCGTCCGGTAAGAGAGAGAAATCGAGATAGGAACTTGTGGGAGTTCGTGGGAGATTGCTTCGTTTACGGCATCATGTACGGAGAAGCGTCTTCTGGCGGGTTCCAGTTGTCATCCGTAACCATCCGTAACCTTGTGTTGACGCTGCTGTCATGATTACTAGTCTCACATTCGGTGGCTGGAAAGCTGTGTTATCGTGTTTCTTCAATCCTAGCCTTGGGACATAGTAGTAAGAATGAAAAAGAGAACTCACAACACAATATTACACGGCGTTGACGCGTAACTTTCAATCCAGAAGCTGTGTCGAACAACAGGCGCCATTGTGCAGCATCAACGTCAGTGTAATCTTTGCGTTCCATCTTCTGAACACTGTATTGTGAGCGATCGCCTCCCAACGTCTTCCCAAGAATCACGGACGATCAAGTTCGCCGTAGACTTATTTACATCGAAGCTTCGCCAGAGCATCCGATAACTTGATATCAACCATCATCCATAATCATCATGCGAAAATTCGATGGGTTTCAGTGAGGTGCATCTCACTCATCTCATGAGAGACATCTCAAGTGTAAGTGCACCAGAGGCGCAGGCAGATGACTGAGAATGAGGGGCACTGGGCGGCACGTGCGCCAATGTTGTCACGAGCCTCAGCTGAAGTGCGGTGAACTGAGCTGGGCTGAGCTGGGCTGAGCTGAAGATGAAAGTTGGAACGAACATGTCGGGAACCGGACAGGAGACGGCATCACCCTGCGACTCTACGCACTCATCCGTAACATACTGACTACCTCGTACCATAGGCGGTACTGTCGCTCGTCATCATCATGGCCTCCTCAAAGCGTTGGCCCGCGCCCATCCACGTCTTCTCTTACCGCGCCCTGCTCGTGGTGCCCATCATCCTCGCCATCGCGACCTTCGCGTCGCTCTTCATCCACTCCGATGTCAACGTCGCCCTCCTCTACTCACAATGCGATGCCCGGGCACGCCTGCCGGCCGTCAGCAAGGTCCCTGTTTTCGGCCCGCCCGTCTGCTTCGCCGTAAGCTTCTTCCAGAGCGCGCTCGACTCCATGCGGACCTTCGCCAGCATGTCCGCCATCCTGTCCTTCATCGCCGGTCTTATGACCGTCACCACCATCGAGGCCGCACGCGTTTGTAACGCGCCCAACGTCGTGATTGCAAATCCCACGGGGCCATGGCTGGTTTTCAACCTCATCGGTGGAGCTGTGGTCTGGCAACTCGTCATCCTGCCCGCCTTCTTCCACCGCTCGCGATCCATCCTGCTTGCTCGGAAGAAGGCCGGACAAGAGGCTGTTGAGAGCGCCGCATCCAAGGATCCCGACTTTGGCAAGGACTCGCGCCATCTCGTTGTCGATGCGGAGATTATCGCTATCCCTGTCAGCGTCGCGTGGGGCTTCATTCTGCCGTCCCTCCTGATGCTCATCTACAACTCCCCCGTCATCATTGTCATCTGGCTCTTCTTCCCCGTCTGGGTGTCACTCATCCGCCAAGCCGTCCGATGGGCCGTCTTGCGCGTGCAGAAGCGCCAGCACCGCAGTTTCCACCTCGAGTCTCACACGACCTCACTTCTGCTCGTCTACCTCACCCCCATCCTGTGCTCCGCAGTTTCTCACGTCTACTTCATCTGGAGTCTGTTCCAGTGGGACGACAGGAAGGAGATGACACGTGCTACTGTCAAGTTTGTTGAGATTGACATGTTCTTCATCAGTTTGACTGTCCTGTATTGGCTCTTCGTCGAGACTGGCTGGAAGGTCCCCTTGGTCGCAATTCTTGGCACCATCCCACTCGGACCGGGTGCCGGTATTTGCATCGCATGGATATACCGAGATACCGAGATCCGTGAGAGTCTGAAGCAGTGGCTTTCTGATGTTGTTGGGAATCAAGAAGAGGCCAACGAAGAGGGCAGAGCTTCGGACAACGAGGAGACACCTCTGTTGCATTGAGAATGTGACGAGATAGCAGCAAGCAAATACAAGCTGGCACTCATTCATCGCTGTGGTAGCATTCATCCTTACGATACTCGCCCTCATATCTTGTTCTTGCGTGTAGATAGCTTCTTTCCGAGAACTCTCATCAATGCCGAAGAGTCCGCCTCAGCCAAGTATTTCGGCATCTTGATCTACATCAACACCTCGGAATCACGACTCAACGAAAGACATACAAGACGCAGGCCCCCCCAACTCCTGATCTTCCCCGTTCGATCCTCAAGGAACGCCTTTCGTCCGGTTTGTGACCGTCGGTATCTTTGTCTTGGCTAACCTTACATGCACGATACCGTTAAGGTAGAGGGCAGTACAGCCAGTCTTCGAATTCTTCGTACGCAAAACAGATTCCTGCGGGGGAAAGCTCACAAGGTACATGTAATGTCTCCGCACGATGCCCCGCGGGGACCCCAGATCTTTCCCCGGATCCTCATTCAAGCTTAATTGGCTAGTGTCGTTTGAATACCAGGTCTAGATGTCCTATCCTGGTATCTGCCAGCTCTATAAATACGGATCAGCCATCGCAAAGAGACGTCTTTGTTATCTGATATCTATAGCCTGCAAACGACGCAAAAAGACAGCTTGACAGAAACCTGCGTTGGCATCTAAGAAACGCTCCTTCATCGCCATGGGTCTCGCTTCAGCAAAGGGGACGAATGACCCCCCTGAGGTCCGCAACTGGAGAATCCACTTCATTGCTCTTGTAGCGTCTATGGCTGCCTTGTCAAGTAAGTGAGATGTGCTTGGAAAACCCCAGACCTTTGTTCAAGGCCCTCTCCTAACGCAGCAGAAATCTTTAGTGGGCTACGATACGGCCGTCATAGGGGGCACAATGTCCCTCGACTCCTTCGTCCGCGACTTTGGCATCGACAAGATGACCACCCAAGAAAAGAACAACTCCCTAGCCAACATCGCCTCCATGTTCCAAGTCGGGGCCTTCTTCGGTGCTCTTCTCACATTCCCCGTTGCCGAGAGGTACGGCCGTAAGAAGGCCATCATGATGGCGGCCCTCATCTTCTGCGTCGGCGGAGCCATGATGTCCGGAGCCAATGGCGTCCTCAACCTCGTCATCGCCGGCCGCGCCATTGGCGGTCTCGGGATCGGTATGGCTACCATGACGGTTCCAGTCTATATCGCTGAGACGTCGCCGCCGAGTATCCGCGGACGCCTCGTGGGCATCTTTGAGATCTTCTCCCAGGGCGGCGGGATGCTCGGATTCTGGATCAACTATGGCACGAGCCGCACCATCGACGTCGAAAACGAGGCGCAATGGGTCGTGCCGCTGGCTTTACAACTCCTTCCAGCCTTTCTTCTGTTTGGTGGCATCATGTTCTGTCCCGAATCACCCCGCTGGCTGGCCCGAGGCGATAAATTTGAGGCTGCGGAAAAGGTTCTGGTCTACGTGCGAGGACTTCCTGCCGATCATCCCTATATCCAAAACGAGATGAGCGAAATAAGGCAACAAGTTGAGGAGCGAAGTACCGTTCGACTCAGCAAGAAACAACAACTACAGAAGCTCCTTGCTCCTAGCACGAGAAATCGTGTTGGCACTGGAACGTTTCTAATGTTTCTCCAAAGTTTTACAGGTACTGTTGGATCTCTGCCCACAACCTCCTCCTTCCACCTCCATGCGCAGCAATAATAGACCATTATTGACCCTTCGTTCCGACCGTACGGTTGCCCTGCTGACGTGTATACCGAAAGGCACAAATGTAATGACATACTACAGCCCTCAAGTTTTCGAGACCCTAGGAATCACCGGAACCAGCAACAAGCTCTTCAGCACTGGGATCTATGGCATCGCAAAGATGTTGGGTATGATTCTATTTGCAGTATGGGTCATCGAGGGCCTCGGACGTCGCAGCGGACTTCTATGGGGTGCTTTCGTTGGTAGTATTCCCCTCTGGTACGTGGGCGGGTACGTTATGGTCGCCAATCCGACCGCCAAGGCGGCGGGAGGTGTCATTCAGCAAGATGCGTGGGGGTATCTTGCCATGGTCTGCATTTACCTCAACGCCTTCATCATCTGTTCCACTATCCAGGGTATCACGTGGACATACGCGTCCGAGATCTTCCCATTGGATATCAGGATGCTCTGTGTTGCAATGTCCACCGCGTGTACTTGGTTGGGCTCTTTCATTGTCGCGAGAGCTACGCCTTTCATGATCACTGACCTTGGGTACGGCACGTTCTTCATGTTTGGCGGGTTCTTGCTCTTCATCGGGGTTTGGTCATTCTTCTTTATTCCTGAGACAAAAGGTCAGTTCTATTCAAAAAACCGCCTTTCCCGGCATGCATTTTTCTGACAATTTGGTCATAGGTCGCTCGCTCGAGGATATGGATATTCTGTTTTCGCGGCCGACACACGTGGTTGTTTGGGCACAGCTCAGAGGGAGGCCTATTGTTTCGACAGATCATCCAAGGTCGCCCAGAGGATCTATGGACAAGGGCGAGGTCAAGGTGGTTGACATTGCCTAGCGCAACTTCGACCCCGGATTTCTCTGGTATTCATGAATCATGTTGTCGTCGATCTATGTGAAGGATTTGTGGATGACATGGCGGAAAACGAAGCTATCAAGATGACCTTCTCCACAGCTCCGTCAATTTCCTTGTCCTCATAATTATGGATTCTGAATACTGAGACGTCTGCTTTCAACTAGTCTGTAGGCTAATTGCCTCTCTCAAAAAGTCATTCAAATACAGCTACCAATGAGTTACACGTAGATACAAGCAACTAGCTTTCTTCTTGGTCTACGACTGACTTAGACCTTGCATTCATAGTCGCAGGTCTTGTCTCAAGATCGCTGCTCACAAGAAGGAATGACAATGCTTCAGATAGGGTGACAAAATCTTGGTATCTGACGGCACTTTCATGGCACGGTCACCCAAGCCTTCATATGCCTAGACTACAAAATAGCCACTGCCGAGGGCGGACTAGCGATACCGCCAGGAATATCCAAATGTACACTAACCATCATGAATGACCATCTCTGTAGTTCTTTACACCTAACAGCGAGCCTCTCCAAGTCGAAGCTCTCTCCAATTGGCATGCCCCAACCACTCAAGAAAACCTCATGCATGCTGACGCCCCATGGTTTTGGGCTCGGCCAGGCCTCGTAGGCCACAGTATCCGAGGCCACCGCAGCAAATGCGTGATCCCAGTGCCAGCGAATCGCCTCTTCGCTCGCTTCAACGCCACAACTTGCTCGAATTTCCCGCTGCGGCAACGCTAGCTGCTCTTCTGTGGTGAGCGCGCGGTAGGCCGGCAGCCAGCCTGTTCGGACGAGGAGAATGTCGCCCTGTTGGAACTCGGTTTTCTGGGCGTTTGCTACGGCTTGGAGTTGAGACAGGGGAATGCCAAAGGTTGAAAAGGGGTCAAAGGTGATGTTCTTCTCGGTTGCCCAGGAGTACCAGTCAAGTAGAACACCACGGCCAGTGATGGACTTCCTCGCCATATCTATTGAGCGAAGCGTCAGAACATGGCACGGGAAACAAGCAAGTGGGGCTTCAGTGTTGTTTTTCTCGCTTTGAATGCCGAGTTTGGTGTTGTTATCGGGTCCCGAGATATCATCTTGAGTCACCCGTTGTAATACTGAATATGCTCCTGGTAAGGATAATGCCGCGGCCCATCCCAATGGGTTGCGCCTTGTGTATTGATAGAGATCTGGCCCCGACCGGTTGTCAGTGACTCATATAAGCAAGTGATAGCTTCGAAGACTTACCTCATCATCATTGGCGTTTCCTTTAGGAATAATGCGGTGCTCGCATGGCTTGCGAACCGGATTCATTGGTTGTATGAAGAAGACTGATGTATAAAAGCTCGCTTTAGCGTTGATTCTCAAGGGGGTTCCACCTGTATTGTTACATGTCGCAGCGCCACACGTGGCGCTGCCGGTTACTGCCGTACGATACCGCTTTCCACAAGCCGATTACCCGTCTTGTACGGTATATAGATAGGACCCTCATACGGGTCTTCCACTTAGAGGAATCAAGCCACTTTCTACCATACAAGTCTTCCACTTGCTACCTCGCTTTGTGATATTACATGTACCCACTTCAACGGTATCGTCTCGCCTATGAACACCTCACTTGTGGCATTCTTGACCAAAGCTGGGTTCAAAAGGTTGAGAGACCCGAGTTCATCTTCATCGCCCCATAGTCCCCACGCCGATGCCTTCGGATCCCCGACGTGGAGCGGCAAAGAGTCAAAGCTCGGCCGGGTGCTCACTTCGGTTGAATTAAAGTTGCCCATGGCTGAGTTAGCTGGAAATGATTGTGAATTCCTTCGTGTTTCAAAAATCATTGTATCTATTCCAAAGAAGCCTTTAATAATGCTTGAGACTGAGCCTGCTCAAAGCTAGGCCGAGATCACCGGCCGAGGGTCAGCTGGAGATCGGTTCGGGTAGACCCACTGGCCGTGAGTCGTGAGGAGTGACGGTGATCTCGGCAAGATCGGTATTCTTTCCGACTGACACCAACGCATTCGGCATGTTATCAATTGCAGTCGGATGCTCCGCAGATGCAAACTAGACTTCTCAACACCTTCGGGCATCCTCCGCCGTGTCCCTATTTCCCGGAGCCATGGAGACCGGCAGGCCTACTGGTGTCCCACCGGCTCATACCCCTCTCCGTGGACTATGGATTCAATGTTGCATCACCAATTATATTACCTAACACCGCTACATGGATTTAGTTCAAAAGCCGTCGAGGTGGGAACCTGATGGCCATACGAGATTTGTGCCGGAGAATGCCATGCCGGAATTGCCCAAGATATGATCTGCAACTCCCCATGGGAATGCATCCGGTTGAAATCCGGCCCCCGTATTCGTTCCACCGTAACTAATATCATTATTCCAGCCAGTCCCCTCTGTGAAGAACGCATCATCATCCACTTCCGGATTGACGGCAGAAGAAAGCTGTGAGGCGTTGTGTACCGTTGCATGATTTCTAGTTGAAATCATGTGACGACCCAGGTTACCTCTTTGTGCACCACCAATATCCGGGTTCAGCGACCTCGTCTGACGCGGATCAAGTTGATGGGAACTATCAGCGGGATTCGAGACAGAATTCTGTCCTCGCTCAAGGCTACTACTAACGCCTACAACTCGCGGCTGCCCATTGCTCAATAGTCGGCGAATGGTGTCGAGACTCCGTCCGCTCCCTGGGTTCGCAGCGATGAGGGGCAGCCATACAGAGTCCATCAGAGCATACTGAGACTGTAGAACTTCGACTTGTGCTCGCTTGGGGTCGCTATCCTGATGCCCGCCGGTCAAGTGGGTTTCCTCGAGGGAGCCAGCATGGAAGCGACTTGTCGGGCCATTGTAGATGACAGTACCATCCTCTCCGAGGCCGACCTGGAACCAAAGTGACCCCTCGGTGTCTGTATTGGCTTCAGCAGAGCGACTGCCATCATGAGATAACGGGTGGCTGCGAGCTGTGCCAGCATTCGTAGCGTCGGTATCAGGCGTTTCGAGTTCTGGCTGAGGCTCATTCGAAGACTGATTCGGACTCCTGATTGAGGCCTCTAGGTTTCGGATACGGGCATTTGCTTCTCGAAGTCGAGACTCCGTCGAGGTCTGCATCGGCCAGCTTCATGTCTCCCCGGACCGACGGCATCCCGTACAGATGGGCCGATTTCCACTGCACTTGACCTTGCGAGCTTTGCAGCTTGAGCACGCAAATCCGCAGCGGCGAGCTTTCCGGGCAGCAGAAGATGCCGAGCCTTGGTTATCCGTCACCCACGTAAAGGTGATGGCAACCGCCGGGAACACTCCCGCACAAACGAGGAAAGTTGCAAAGTAGCGAACGCCAGTGGTGTGAATTGTTGCTGACAAGACGTAGCCAATGGCACCCACAGAGCAGAACATGGCGATAAAGATACCCCGGCTCCTGAGACGATCCGAAAGAAAGCTAGCCGAGACGCAATCGACATACGCGGTCAGGTAGGGGCAAGCCGAGAGACCCTGAGCACGGAGGGAAGTAAAGCCCATGGCCTCAAGAATGGTGGGAAGGTATGCTGGAAGTGATCCAAACGCAGTGTTGAGGCTGAAAATGATGATGGCTTGCAAGTAGTTTTTGTAGTCAAAGAAGGCAGCGAAGGCCTGCTTGCCATTGAGCTTTCCACTTCTTTTCTCGCCTCGGCCTTTGATGGCGCGATGGCTGATGATCTCGTTCTCGCGGGGGCTGAGGAAACGGCACTCGGCTGGGGAGGCAGGGAGGTAAAAGTACGCCACGCATGCGAGTATAATCGTAGGAGCGCTCTCTGTAGGGTCTTTGAGTTAGTCAAGCAGATGAGTAGAAGGACCGTGTAGCTGTACTTACCCACGAGGAAGAGGAGCTGCCAACTGTGGATAGAAGCCTTCACATGCAAAAGGGCGTATGCTATCGCAGAGGCAACGCAACTCGCAAGCGGTGCAAATGATATGAAGAGCCCATAGCGGAGACCCATCTCACCGCGATGGTAAAAGAAGGTCAAGTATAGTGCGACAGCTGGGATGAATCCAGCCTCGAAAACTCCAATCAAAAAACGCAAAGCCATCATGCCTGAGAGATTGGTGGTGACTGCTTCGAGCATGCTCATGGCACCCCACCCAGACACCATCATTGCCGTCCATAACGGCAAAGGAACGAAAGTCCAGACTATAATCAGCTGCGGAATGGCGAGGTCAGCCACAAGAAGTCAAAGACTCAAGCGTGTGTAGAGAGAGCCTTACCCAGTGAAACAAGATGTAGTCAATGTAGAGAACGGTCACGATCCAAGAGTAGTCGTCCGAAGTGGTGTCCCAGTCCTTTCCCATTCCGGCTGTGTATGCATTTCCGACATTGCCGCGATCAATATAGGAGCAGAAGTCTAGAGCGCCGAGCCTATGTAGAAAGGTTGTCAGCAAATGGAAGCTGTGGTACGAGCAAGGGGTACTCACAGAGGTATCAAGCTCCAATCGAGTTTTCTTAGAGCAGAGCCTTCTTCCTCACTGGTCCAAGTGACCGCGGCTGCGCCATCTGCCGACTTCAGGTCTTCGACAATATCGATCTCTTCCATTTGACCGCCGGAAGGAGGCTTGGCGTTCTCGACATGGGTTGGATCCTGCTTCGCTTCTTGGCGCATAGCCGACATGGTAACGGCGAAGTCTTTGCAAGAGCCTTAAACAAAACTCTCGGGCGAATTGGCAAGAATCGATACAACCGAGGGACGAGTTCTTCAAAGATACAACACGAGCTTCCTAGGGATGGATTTTTGCAACCATCGACTGGGAACCATAATGGACTTATGTTTAACTTAATCTAGTCATGGTGAACTTGTTTCAATGACCAAAATATCAGTTAGACATCTGGAGGACAGGTTTGCCTACCCCACGGGCAACCCTCCCCACCGAACGCTCAAGCCAACTCATAATTACTAGGTGGATGGACTAAGAAAGCCATCACACTAGGTCTCGGTATCAATACCGAGCGATCTGGGATAAATCAGGAGGCGTGAATCGTTGGTGATACAATTCTGGTCAAAGAAATGTGTTCAAGAAAGATGCCGACCAACCAAGACATGTCAGATTCCGAAAGATGGAGGGGGAGATGCCGAGGAGAACCCCGCAGATCGGACTGACTTGCCGAGCTCGCTGTGTAAGATCCCGAACGAACTTGTGACACTGACTTTCCAGCACAACCTGACCCATCGGGCGGGCAAACGGAAAGTCAAGAAAGGACGTCATATTCTCCATGAGACCGGCCGAGAGCATCGGAGAGCTTCCGAAAGACGGCATTTGTTCGAATTGACCGTGTTCGCTCCGTTGGTCTCCAAGTCGCGATTCCAAACACAATCAATCAAAAGGGACGCGTCCAGCCTCACTTTTACCAACCTTACTGAGTGACTGGGATCTCAACATTTTTCAATTGCTTGTCGAGCGCATACCACAAGCTTTCATAATGGCGACTTCAAACTCATCAGATGAGTTCACCATACTCACCCCGAACGCCATGCTTGGCTACGGGTATGACTCGAATCATTTCTGGTACGGCATCAACAAGTACAAGCCAAGGGCCATCATAGTCGACAGCGGCTCCACCGATGGCGGACCGTATAAGCTCGGCATGGGCAAGATGACGTGCGGCCGCGGCTCCTACACGCGAGACCTCGAACCCATTCTCGCAGCATGCTATCACCACAAGATCAAGGTCCTGATTGGTTCCGCTGGAGGCGACGGCAGCAACAAGCACGTTGCCGAGATGCTCGATCTCGTCAAGGAGATCACGGAGAGCAAGGGTTATTCGTTCAAAATAGCGACGATTCAGGCGGGTATGGATCGCGAATGGATCAAGTCGAGGATATCCCAAAATCGAGTCGGTCCGTGTGGCCCTGTGGAGCCTTTGGTATCCGAGGTTGTTGATGGTGCTGTGGATGTTGTTGCGCAAATGGGATCTGAGCCGTAAGTAGTCTTCTGGAACTTGGGATTTGATACTCTTGACTAATATGGAGATAAAAGATATATCGAGGCACTAAAGGGAGACCCGGACATCATCATAGGAGGAAGATCCTATGACCCTGCCCCCTTCGCTGCCTTCTCAATCTCTCGAGGAGTACTGCCTGATGTTGCGTGGCACATGGGCAAGATCATGGAATGCGGCGGCATTTGCGCCGTACCCAAGGGACGATCAATGGTCGCAACCATGAGAAAGGAGTCTTTTGACCTCACACCCTTGTCACCATCAGAACGATGCACCCCTCTCTCCGTAGCAGCGCATACCCTCTACGAAAAGACGAGACCAGACCGTCTGCCCGGCCCAGGCGGCGTCCTCAACCTCGACAACGCCAAATACGAACAGGTCACCCCAAAGACGTGTCGTGTGTCCGGGGCCCGTTTCGAGACGACGCCCTATCAGGTCAAACTCGAGGGCGTCACCCATCTCGGGTATCGCACAATCTTCATCGGCGGCATCCGAGACCCTATCCTGATTGACCAGATTGACGACTTCTTGGAGAGAGTCCGCAAGTATTCCCAGAAACTATTCCCCGAGCTCGACAAGACGGAACAGTGTCGGCTATTGTACCACGTCTACGGGAAGAATGGCGTGATGGGCCCTCTGGAGCCAGTCCAGGGCCGCCCCCACGAGATTGCGGTGCTGGGAGAGGTCGTTGCACCCACGTCTGAGTTATCACACACAATTGCCAACAATGTTCGGGCGTCGATCCTGCATTTTGCGTATCCCGATCAAGTCGCAACGACAGGAAACTTTGCCAGCCCCTTGTCGCCGCACGAACAGAATGCCGGGGCTGTGTTTAAGTTCAGCCTGTATCATCTGGTTGACTTGGATGGCGGCGAGGAGTCATCAATCTTCCCTGTCCAGCAAACATCCATCAGCTCTTCCAAGTCATCAATAACCCCTGAGCCGAGTCTCTCCGAGGAGAAGTTTAGGGAACTTGACAACGGCACCCTCACACCTTTGACGAAGAAGACGGTGCCAACAGGGGAGACCACGCTCAACGAAGTTGCGCGCATCATCCGGTCCAAGAACTCTGGACCATTTGAAATGACGTTTGATGTCATGTTTGACGACCCTGCCGTCTACACGCGCGTCAAAGACTCCAACATCTTCACCAACGATACGATCAAGAAGTTGTACCGAGTCGACGACAGTGATATCCTAACCAACATGTACTTTGATCCCGCCCTTGCTTGGAAATGCACTATCAAGCGACCATGGCCCCAAGGCAGCGTTGGCGAGCGCGATACCCTCGGGACACAGCAGCACGCACCTCTTCTCAGTATCAGAGTTCCTGCGGCAAAGCCGGTGAATGGAGCAATAACGAATGGGGGTTCCAAGGTCGCTGTCAAAGGAACGAACAAATCCGTTTCGCGAGGAGACCTTACGGCGCAAGGTGTTGTGGAGGAGATCTGGACAGGCCTCGGACTCCCTTCTGAGTCCTTGAGCGCAGTAAACCTCGAGAACAGTGGTGCCCCGACCTTTCCATCATCTTTCAAGATTGGCATCCTCGCACAGAGCTCCATCGCGTTAACAGCTCTGGCGGCATCACAGGTTCACGCTTTGCGAAACGCCGTTGCCGTGCCCAAGGTTGAAGTCCCTCTTCAGCACGCCACGGTGGAGTTCAAGTCAGAGAGACTCTATACTCTCGACAGCAAGCCGACGCCATCACCCTGGGGTCCCATCGGCGGACTGCACAAGACCTCAGACGGCCATGTTCGGATCCACGATTCTTTTCCTAACCATGCCAACGGGATCCTCGAGATGGTGGGCTTGCCTGTCGGATCAGACAGACAACAACTATCAGACAAGGTTGCCAATTGGGCCAGTATCGACCTCGAGACGGCCGCCACGGTGGAGGGAAAGATGGCGGCGTATGCTCTGAGATCCTACCGCCAATGGGACGTTCTCCCACAGTCAAAAGCTATCAGCGACTTCCCTATTGACATTGCTCAACTCTCACCAGCCGGGCCCAAGGGTCTTCCGGAGAGAATGGCAGGGGGTAGTTCAAAGTGCCTCCAAGGTCTCCGCGTCGTCGAGATGAGTCGAGTCATTGCCGCCCCCTTGTGCGGAAAGACGCTCGCAGCTCACGGCGCAGACGTTATCTGGGTCACATCACCGAACCTGCCCGACCTCCCAACCATGGATCGTGACTTTGGCAGAGGAAAGAGAACGGTTCAGCTGGACATCCACAACCCTTCCGAAAAGGCCCAGCTAATTGAGCTGATCAAGACCTGCGACGTCTTCGTCCAGGGGTTCCGCCCCGGCAGCCTGGCCAGCTACGACTTGTCACCCGAAGAGCTGGTGAAGATCAATCGGTCCATCATCATCGCCAACATGTCTGCATTCGGGCCCCAAGGCCCCTGGTCTAACCGTCGGGGCTACGATTCCTTGGTGCAGACGTGTTCGGGCATGAACGTCTCCGAAGCAGAGCACGCTGGGAAGGGAGAAGCCGCCCGACCGACTCCCTGTCAAGCTCTCGACCACGCTGGAGGGTACTTCCTCGCAACGGGAGTCACTGCAGCTCTATACAAGAGAGCGACGCAAGGCGGGTCGTACAAGGTTGATGTTTCCCTCGCTGGCGTAATGAAATACCTGCGAAGCCTGGGGCAATACCCTGAAGCTAGCGGATTTGAAGGAGTTGGTGACTACGAAAAGCCCGAAGACGTCCCCAGCGAATTCTTCGAGACTCGCAAGACGGGATTCGGTCCCATGACGGCAGTCCGACATAGTGCCCGGATCGAAGGTTGCGAGGTTGGCTGGGAAGTGATGCCGAAGCCGTTGGGGTCAGATGCTGCATAATGGTTAAACGAGTGAGAGCGCAATGTTCCGAGCGTATCAAGACCAATTCGTGTTCAATTGAAGATCTACACATGTGGTAAACTTCCTGCCTCAATACGGCGTCCTAATCAATTTGGGGTTAACGAAGTAATATGCCTTGACGTCCTGTCCTCATGAGGCTTCCCAAAGCCGATCCCTGTTACCTGGTATTCCCAATCCAACGCCTTGCTAGTACTGATAAGATGCCTGACTCCTCCACCTTCGAAATCATGCATCACGCTTCTTACGAACAAGACCAGCTCCAAGCACGTTGACTTGCGGAGCTTCCCCACCGTTCGCCGTTGAGGCCTTGGCAGTGTCTGCGGTTGCAGATTCGTCTTTGGACTTCTTTCGGATGAGCCCCGTGCTGAGGACGTTGACCTTGCTCGCCGGCTCATCCGAACTAGGAGTCGCGGAGTCATCGGGGCGCTTGCGCTTAATAAGGCCTGAGATGACATTCACGGCATTCGCTGAAGAGTCATTTGACGCCGGCGTCTGAGTCTCCTTCCTGCCCACGACCTGCATGCCCCAGTCGTCTCCCATGCCGACCTCGCTAATCCATCGCCGCGTGCCGCTAGCTGCAATCTCTGGCTTTGCAAAGTCCAGGCGCAGGAGGAGCTCATTGACTCTCTTGTAGTCATTATCGTCGACAATCTTGCGGCCTCTACCTTCGGCTGGCCAGTAATAGTAGGCAGTTGAGATGGGCTTGTCGAGCAGGTAGTTGCGCTGTTGGGTCTTGATGCGTGGCTGTCTTGGCTTGACGACTCCCGTCAACTTGGACTTGTTCTTCTTATGTTTGTTCTTGCTCTCGGGCTTCTCGGGCTTAGTCTTCGTCTTGGTCGGTGTGCCAGAAGGTGACACGGGGAATAGCTTCCGAGGGGTGGACATGGGTGTGACGGGCCGCACCGCCTTCTGCTTGCTAGGCGTGACTGGCGGGTTTGATGCATCGAAAGAAGGGTTCGGTGTTGGGAGAGCTGCGGAAGCGCTGTCGTTCTGCACTCGCTCGGCTTCCTCGTCAAAGACAACCCAGATGAAGCCCGTAAGCCGCCCGCTCGAGCATTCCTGTCTGTATGCCATCATTTCCCAGAACGTATCCAAAGTCTTGACGCTCTTCCAATGCCCTGTGGTTTTGATTTGCTTCGACTTGCCCGCCTCTTCGTCCAGCTCATCTCGGAAACGGGATTTCGGATCGTCTGGGAATCGGGGGATGAGGCATCGTGCGGGCACCCAATCGTATTCCTTGGTGTAGTGAGATATCTTCTCGAGAGCGTGTCCGATAACCCAATTAGCAGCGCTCTTTGGGGTCTTGGGAAGGAAGGCCTTGGTCTCGTAGTTGTCGAGTCCAGGGATGACGAGGTAGCCTTTCACACTTCCCCATGGAGCCCCCTTTCCTACAGGAGGGTTCTCCAAGAGAGGGTCCAGGACTTTGCACCACCATTTCACTAGTCCTCTGTCGTCGAGCACATGCTTGCCACTGTATTCGACAGAACCAGGGAAAAGGTATTGATCTTGAGCCCGGGCGAAGAGACTGACGATGGACTGAATGCCCTTGCGCCTGCGCTGCTCGACCAGGTACGAGACAAAGGCACTACTGATTTCCTTGATAGGCGAGGGCGTGCCTTTGGGAAGGTTGTGTAGCTTCAAATAGCCAGTTGAATCGGCCTTGGCGACGAAGAAAGTGCTCGAGTATGTCGTCGTGTAGATGAAGACCTCTAGCGCGAGGACAAGAACTTGCTTCGAGGCAGTCTCCTTTGCTCCTTCTTGCGTAGCGTCGGTAGTGCTTGATGGAATATCGATGGAGATTGCAAGGAAATGTTTTTCGCAAAAGGTCTTGTCTTCTCGCTCTTCGGGAGGAGCTGAATAGAGGGCGTCCGTCTTGGTCGGGGGAGTTGAGAGGTGGTAGATACCAAAGCGGTAGCCTTTGGGCAGAACAGCCGACAGCTTCTCGAGGAGAAGTGCGCTGCTCTGGGCGGTGGTCTTGGTTCGGCTAGGAGTCGCCATGGTGACTGAGATGGAAGCTTTTTAATTTGGGATCAATTCTCCCGGAGAGATTGTCATGTCATGGTTGTCAATTGGCGAGAAAGCTGAAAGAGACTTGACTTGAGGAGTTGGTCAGGCAGGCTGAGCAAGCTGCAGGACCGTCCCTTCCTTTCCTTTGAGGGACGCGTCGCAGCTCTTCACATGCGTGTCAGGAATAAGTGGGGAAACGCGCTGGGTTTAATTGAAAAGGAAGCTGCGCCTATTCAGCAGGTACGTGCCTTGCTCGGTAGAGGCACTAGATCACACTAGGACTAGCGCCGGTCACTGCATGATCCGCCTTCCGCGCGGTGCCACGTGACGTCGAGAAATTGTTCCGAGCGCCCATCGCGAAAAAGTTCCCAGCATCAGGAGCTCTAGCTATACAACGGTACAGCCCACACCAAAATCCGCATCATACCGTCGTCTCTCCCTCGCCGAGCGCCCCCAATGGCAACTAACGGCTCCCGGTCAGCATATAGCCTCACGAGGCATGCCGCTAGGCATTGCCAATCGACGGCAAACTCCCGAGTCGTCTCCCCTATCCAATGTCTCTCCCGAACCTTTGCGACGACCAGCTCCCGAATGGATGTCGAATTTGAGAGCAAGTTTGACCAATTGTCACGGAAAACCGAAGAGGCTGAGCGGCCCGACGAGATTAGGCAGCGCCCGAGATGGTCATACACTCCCGAGGGGATGAAGGCGCCCTTCTCGCCTCACATCACCAAGAACCCGGCGCGCAGCGTCTGGAAGGTCAACGAGGATCCCAAGAAGCTGGATCAGATGTACGTGAAGCTTTTGGGCAGAGACGGAGACAAAATGCTGCCGGATGAGACCAAGTGGCTGGCGGTCACGCACAAGAGCTTCGACCAGGGTCGTCGGGGGTTCAACGACAAGCTGGCATACTTGGGTAAGGACAAACCCCTTTGCTTTCCAACAAAGCTTCACTTGCGACAATTGCATGCGCAAAAAAAAGGGTCCATGAAGCTGACTCGGGCCATTCGGCAAACTTATTACAGGTAGACAGGCGGTTATTCTCGAGACCACGAACCGCATAGTGACGGGGACCGACCCATTGAATAAGGCAATCGTCCCGGACAAGACGTACCAGCGAACACATTTTGAGCACCCGGCTCTCACGAGAATCGACAACCTCAACGTCCAGCAACCCCAGAAATTTGTTGCGAAAGAAAAGGTCGAGGCGCTGGCGCTCGCTGCCGGTCTCGACAAGGTTTTGCGATGGAAGCCGGCAAAGGTAAGCCCAAAACTCACGAGCCCCTCAGGAGGCGACGACACCCTCTTCTTCTGCTTTTCTAACATTGTCGTTTCTAGCCTGAAAACCTTTCTGGCTCGGGCCAGCAAATCGTTCTCAACTCGGCACTCTTTGCTATCGTAGGAGCCATCACCCTGCAGCACGGCGCTGATGTGGCAGGTAGAGTGATCAGGGACAGAATATTGAGGCCGCTCTCGGCCAAGCGGTAACCGCCGGTAAAGAGAGACGTTTGTTGTATCATAGGTGTAAAACATTTGATAAAAAGGACATCAATCCCAGCTGCAGCCCAAGAGAGAGGCAGCGAAAGCAATTTTTTCCTCATTTCCCATAGTCATGACGCTGTGCTGTCGCCGGGCCGCGCATAACAGTTGTAGCAACAGGACCAGAGATCAGAGATGAACGAATATAGAAGCATAGCCCAATGTGGAAGGAAGATGCTTTGCCACTCAACTTACTTTGAGTTCCTTAATGGGACCCGTGGTAAGGTGCATGATATGGGAGATGGCGCAGTCCGGGGGTTGCCAGGCGAGCCTGATGACCCATCCGTCGGTCGTCGAGTGGAGGTCCCAGGCGAGGTCCCCATCGCGGATACGGGTAGTCATTTCGATGGTGACGAGGTTATTCACAACGGAGTGATGAACGCCTTTGCCAAAAACCAGCGCCTTGCGAACCATGCTGTTGTTTGGCGTCTTTGCGGCCATCCCGGATGAGGCACGATGCCAGTCAAATGCGTGGGAACCAGAGCCAGAGCCAGAGCCAGAGTCACGCAAGTCGGCCAGGCCAACATGGCCAGCCACAGCATGTACATAGCCCTCGCCAAGTGGACGAATTATCTCGGAGGTAGATCTCGTGCAGAGTACAAAGCTTTTGAGGAAGGCGAACGATTCATTCAGGGTAGCCATGCCGAAGCCAGGATCCGGATTAACATGCCAGATGCTCTGCGGCCAGTCATTCGATCCGTAGTGCGCGACCCCTCTGCCCAATGGGTCGTGGGCAAGCAGGTCGCTGGCAAGGATGGGCATAGTGAGAGACCTAGTGGCGCCCTGGTAGAGGACGAGGTCCCAGTCAGGGTTGATGTAGATCCGGTCCCACGCCGGGTTTCGCTGCTTCAGATCCGGGAACCTGTGGCTGTCGGGCGCCGATGACCTCATGGGCAGCTGGATCCTGAAGAAAGACGTTGCCTCGCGCCGCGACTCGTCGCACACGCGAAAGAGTGCCGGGCTCCTGTTCTCGCAGTACCAGTTTGCGTTGCACGCCATGTTGCCCAGGTCATTGCCGGAGGCCTGGATGCCTGAGCCGTCTGGTACGCCTCTGATCACGACTATGCGCGGCCGTTCTAGGTGCATGCGCCAGATCTTGCGTCGTAGCTCATAGGGCAGATCCGGGAAGCGATGAAAGACTGCATAGCTGCTGCTGTGAATGCTATTGGGTTTTGGCGATGCTGTAGTTGACGTTGTAGTCGTCGTCGGCTGGCTTCCCGAAGCGGCAACCCAGGTCCGCAAGTCGAAACCTTCACACGCCTCTAAATTCCTCCAGGGTGTTGGGGCAATTTTCCGGACGGCGGGCGGAGCATGGATGTCCGTGGTTCGGAGGCCCCCATCTTGGTGCTCGTGCTCAAACACCTCGGCGTCATGCTCGTCTTCAGCCTGGGGAGGCGGAGACTGGCGTGATGTTGACTGAACGGGTAAATCCATCGCCTGATGTGACGGGGCAGACGCCGTTGGGCTTGATAGGTTGCCAGCGTCAACGACGTTGAGAGTCGACCTTATTGGGTCCGCAGGATCAAAGTGTCAGACAACCGCTGAGTTTCTGACAAGTTCGGGAGACGACGCTAGCGATGGCTCGGACGACTCTGAACTGAGCTAGGTAACGTGCTGCAACCGCGAAATGGAAGATGCCGATGGACGATAGGATCAACTGTATCAAGATGAGAATGAGGTGTATCCGTACAGCCTCAGTCTCTGTGTGTTGTGGTGTAGGCTCAAGTGTGGGGTGGGAGGCTAGTGACACTGGAAGTGGAAATAAGGGACGACGTGTGTCTGACAGTTGGAGAAGGTTCCACGACAGTGAAATGCGTGATGCGGTCAGGCTTCACAATACGAACGCGGACACGATGAGGTGGTTCCCCTTTTGAGTTGAAGAGACGGGGATGATGGGAGTTGTCGACGACTTAATAATCACTGCCACCTCGTTCTAGAAGGGAACCTCTGCGGTCAACAGGATGACTAAGACGTCCGTACTCGGCTCCGTCTGTGTGGGAAAAGACCCCTTTGCAGGGAGTTACCGTTCTTGGTAATGGTTTGCGGGCAGTTTGCGAGAACTGATCGTAGAGATTCTACCAAGAGCCGGGGGGACCAGGAAGAGGCCCGGCTGGCATGTCTAGCATTTGCATCCTAGCGTCTGAATGACGCTGTGACCCCGCTGAATGTAAGCCCATGCTCAACTTATTCCTTGTTGTTCATGAGTTGTGTCTATTGGTTTCCCCTGTCAGATTGTGTCAGATCCCGTCAAGCACTCACAGTCTCGACACACAAGCATGTGTCTTCCCGGCACCATTCTCATCGCCACGGCGAGAACCGTTATGATGTGCCACAGAGGTCTCTTGTCTTGGCCTCTCTGCTCTCTTGGTCGTCTTGTAACGACTGTAAATAGCCTTAATCGCCATTAGGTCCGTTCAGCCGGGCTACAGCTACAGTCTACAGATGATGGGCATCGTCATGAGCCAATCACTGCAGAGTCTTCGCAACTTCACACAACCGTCTGAAACTTGCAAACTCCAGCATTTTCAACTGACAACCTGCTTCTCCATTGTCTGTGGCTCCCATCTCAAACTCTGCCCATCCCCTTTTTGCCCTTCCCGGCGCCACGCTACTACCGTTTACTTACACAGTAGTATCCTTATGAACAACTTGCCGTATTGAGCCCGTATCTCGTATACGCATTCCCTCTCTTGCTCGCATCGCGCCGAACTACTCTGTTCAAGTTCCAAGCTTCCAGCCTCTTGTGTCCTCCACGCGGCCCTTCTCGGTACTCGGACTCGTCGAAACCATGTTACAACGACATAGCCCTCGAATGGTGGTCCAACCGAACACGACTCTCTATTTGACTTCGTTTGACACAATTGTATGGCTTACTGTAACTTTGTGGAAACGCTCTTGGCTTCGACCTGTGCGCTCTTAAGCCTGTAAATGACAGAACTCTCGCGGCTGTAAGCTATACCCCAACCTCTCCCCGCCGATGTAATCCCACAGATGACTCTGTCACTTGGACGATGCATCAAAGAAAAGGAAAAGGCCTGACTGATGTCGTGAGACCCGGGCCTGTGGCTGCCACTCTGCCACTCCATTCAATGATTCGGCCCCGGCTAGACATGTCTGGGTCTGAGTGGAGCGGAATCCCGCCGCAAATGGCAACTGGCATCTCGACTTACCCTGGAGAGAGATCGACGGTCCATGTTTTAGGCTCGAGGGGATCATGGCTATCGGGGCTTCTTGTATAGATACGTCCCCGTTCGTCTCTGGATGTTTCCACTAGGACTCCTTTGTTCCTCCATCCATCTGGCCATAGTCCATCCAGGTGTTGGTTCAAGAAACAAATCTTCGTTTCCCTCATCACGACTGCTGGCAGCCCTTTTTTGTTTTCAGTCAACTGCCTTTGATACCCAAATCTGTTTCTCTTAACGTCACGATAGATCCTTCTTAAGACCTTCAAGTAACCTCCACTACTTCACATCATCATGGACATGTACGACAAAATATCACCACAGGAGGACGCTCTGGAGAGACCAGAGACTCCTCCACATCCACCAGTCCAAAGGCATCAGAAGTTGACGACCTTCTGTATTGGGTTCTTGATGGTATTTTCCATCTTCAGCGTCGACCGAGAGATCAAAGATTATTTCTACCAAGAACCTAGACTAAGCAGCCGATCGATAGCAAAACGAGAGCTGGGTTCCTGGGGCCAAGCCATTGATGTTATCGTGACTCCAGACACCGTCGAAGCTATCGGTAACGACCCAAGGCTCAGGAGGACCTTGATGTCTATGGTCGACTACACTTTTGATCTCACAGATCAACTAGTCGCCCGCTACGAGTCACCTCAACTCCAGGAAACAAAAGAGGCCCTGCAAGAGTACAAAGAGCAGATCAGGAGGAGCCTCGAAGGGTTGAGGGATGACGAAGAAAGCTCGAGTCAACTCCATAAGCGACAGTTCCCTAGTCTCGGAGAACTCTTCGGAGCGGCGGACGCTGGAGGTGGCGGCGATGGTGGCGGTGGTGGCCCCAGTGGACTTCCTAACCCCTTCAACCTTCCACTCCCCGGAGCACCCGCTGCCTCTCCGAGCGGTGCTCCTGGAGGCGGTACCGGCCCTCTAGGTCTTCCTGGCCTGCCTGGTCTCCCGACTCCAGGCGGCGGCGGTGCCGATGGAGGTGGAATGTCAGCTGGCATACTCAGTGGTCTCCTTCAACCCCTGAAAGACGGACTGAGCAACGTCGGAAACCAACTTGTCGCCAACCTCAACGGTCCGGGCATGTTCCTGGGCATCGGCGTCGGAGCCGGAGCGGCCCAGGGGCTCAACCTGTCTACAGAAGCAAAGACAATGGAAGTAGCAGCAAAGGTCGCAGCAGACAACAAAATGGAAGCCACGGGTCTCAACCCAGCCATCCAGAACCTGGGCGTCGGACTTACATCCACACTACTCGGCGCCATCGACTTCAACAGCCTGGGCGGCAACATCACAAACCAGCTGCAGCCCATTGCCCTCTCTCTCGCAACAGGTCTCGGAAACGGCACAGTCGCAGGCCTGAAGCTGAACGCCAACGCCGCAAACCTCGAACCCGTAAACGACTCGTCCATCCCCAACGTCATCGGCACCTTTGGCTTCGGTCTGACGAAGACGGTAGCGGCCAACATTGACATCAACCAGCTGTTCAACTCGGTCAACAACCCCAACACTACGAAGCAAATCATGCGTATCCTCCCTGCCGCGGCTTCGGGCTTCGGCAAGGGCCTTGGCCAAGGTGCCACCGTCGGATTGGGACTACAGCCTGACTCCGCGGTGCCGATGCAGCAGATGCCCGACGACCAGATCGACTTTGGTGGTATCTCGCAGACGTTCGCCAAGGGTCTAACGAGCAGCTTCCTACAGAACGGTACCGCGACCGAGCTGCTCAATAAAGTAGGCGGGTCGATGAACACAAACCAGAATGGCGGAGGTATCCCGGCAACCATCAAGTTCAATGGCATGGACATCCAGGTCAGCAAAGTCGCGCAGGGCTTCGCTCGCGGGTTCCTCCAGGGCGCGGGAGATGCGATCCAGGGTATGGGCGGTGTGCAGTCTCTCTTCGAGGGTAACGCCACCATGCCCACCGGCGCGATGCCCGATGCCAAGGTCCAGTTCGACGACTCGCTCGGCGGAGCTGCCAGCGGGTTCGGAGCCGGATTTGGTGGGCAAGGCGTTCTCGTCGCATACGGACTGGCTAGCAACCCACGAGGAAACCCTCTTCCCGCTGCGAATACGCCGGCAGCCCCGGCTGCTAACACGCCCGCCCAACGCCGAGACGTCGAACTCGTATCGAGACAGGATCCCCCGCCGGTGGTCTCCGTCAATACTACCGAAGGCTTCAAATTGTCTGTCGTGATCAATGCGCAGACCATCTCCATGGCTGCTCAAGCCGGTGTCAATGCCCTCACCTGCCAAGGCGTAGGCGGCTTGGGCCTCATTGGCTTCGGACTGATCCGCAGCAAGACCATTGCACTGGATTCCTTTAACAACGGAAACGTTACCAAGACTGCGAAGCAAGTGATCCCGACTGGGACTATCAAGATTTCAAATGAGGGGCATTCGTACGCCATTGATGGACAGGTGATCCAAGACTCTCTTGGAAACTCGATTATCAACGCTGCAAATGGCATCGAAGTCAACGGATTCAAGCTACCAGGCTGGATCGCCTTCCTGGTTCTTCATGGTACGTCTGATTCTACTCATTAAACCTCCGTTGCTCGTCTAACATTCAATCTCATTAGTCCTCTTCGCCATCGTTGCCTACATCAATATCCTGCCCCTGGCCATCGGGCTCGAGCACATGCGCAACCTCCTCCTCCGCATCAACGCACCTCAAATTCTCCCAAACGTTCAAAAGTGGAACAATATCATGTGGCTCTTCATCATGGGCCCTTCAGTGGTTGTCGTCCTTATCTTTGGTATCCTCGTAACTGCGAAGTCTTCCCACTTTCGCACTGCCCATGGTGTAAGTCTTTCCCCAAGTCTTCCTGGGTCCGGGGCCATCGTTTACTAACCAGTAACCAACAGATCATCAGCCTCTTCACGACTCTTGTCGGATTGGCAGCCTTCTTGATGCACCTCGCCATCAAAGCCCGCGCCCCTCCTCAACTCCCAAACACCTCCCGCTCCGGCCCCACACCCCCGGCGTTGCTCCTCAGTCTCCCCAACATCCGCGTCATGGTCAACCAGCTCCTCCTGATTCTCTCATTCGCCTCGGTCATCACAGGCTTTGCCGACCTGAGCTCCGTGGCCCTGTGTTTTACGCAAATTGTTCCTTTTGATCTAGCTCTGGTCATTGGCTTTAGTCTTTCAACAGTCTTCGTCTCGGGATCCACCGTTTCAGGACTTGACATTGCACTCACTGTCCAGGACTTCTTGAGGCACAGGAAGGGCCTCAAGGGAGGCGATAAGACTAACGCCGCTGAGAGAGGCGCGGAGAGAGGCGGTGTCATGCAGGGCAAGATTTCGCAGCCAACGATGGTGGACGAGAAGGGCGCGTTTGCATAGCTTGCCCAGCTTATGTTCGTGCGAGCTTGAAGGACTTTGAGCTGTGCTCAGTCTTTCTAATGATGTTTTTTGTACCGTTATTTGTCCTCATTTGTACTGTACATGTCGGCGCACATGGTCTTGTGGATGGGCAAAATCAGGGAATTTGGGCGGATCACAGGTGGGAGTATGGACAAAGATGGACCAAGACTGCATGAGGAACACACGTACTCTGACATGACGGATATGACTACAGCGGAGATACTCCTGATGATTCTAGTGCTGCGGAAAACGGGGCGGCCTTGACTCTCATTGTACCCAAGCTTGCTTCAGGAGGCAGGCTTTGAATTTCATACCCAATTGGCCGATTCGGCATCTTCATTTCTCTTTTGCTTGGTGAAGGAACACAAATATATTGCGATAAATGTTTTCGAATCTCTAAACTCATCTCTTCTGGCATTTAGACAACCGTCCTTTTGTCGCATCTTACCGTTGCACGGTACTTTTGATACAGCTCTCGTTCCACTTCAACACTCCTCTGTAAAAGAGACAATCTCCAGACTCTCGCTCACAACTCGTCAAGTCAGTCATCATCCCAAAGATGCCAGCTGCTGCTAGGTCTCACATCAAGCACCGACCTCATCTTCTTCCGCGGCCCCGCAACTTCCCGGCCGTTACTCAGAAAGAACTCCTCCGTCTCACAGCCAGGAATCTGTCTCACCATTCCCAGCCCAGCAAGATCGGTTTTCGTACACTTCATCCTCAAGTGCCGGAAATACTTGCGGTAAAACATCCTCTGCATTACCAGATTCTCAGCAACGTTCTTGGGCAGGTACTCTCCAAGCTGCGTCCGCAAAGCCTCCAGCGCCGTGCGCTGGTTAATCGCATCGGGAGGCTCGTAGTCGTTACTAAGAAGCAGCCGCGGAACGTCGCGGTAGAATGCGTTCTTGGCCGGGATGCCGCTGGTAAGATAGCCCTCGTGAATCATCCACACCGGGAACCGGGCCGCCGCGCGATCGTCCATCAGCTGGATCGCTTCCGTGTAGGACTCCAAATTCGCCAAGCTCTCTGCGAGCGGCGCGCATCCAGGTACGGGCGTTAGGTCCCACGTCTCGGGTCCGCCCCTGTCGCGGGTGCCGAAATGGCGGATCCCTACGCCGAGCGGGTCGAATGCGAGGCAGTCGCTCAGGAAGATGTCAAGGGGAATCTCGCTGCTCCAGGGGAACGTGAATATGACGGTGTCGAAATCCGGGTTGATGATGACGGGCCAGGCGATCTTGTTGGTCGGGTGCATCGGTAGCTGAACGCGGTAGAATGCGCGTGTCTCGGCGCGGCATTCCCTGTTCACCCACATCAGGGCCGGGAGAGTGTTGTCTGCGCTCCAGGCGATGTTGGAGGCAAGATTTCCGAGCGCGTTTGGTGCGAAATGGATCTTTTTCAAGTCGTTCATGCATCGGATTTCTACGATGCGCGGGCGTTCGAGATAGAACCGCAGGATCTTGGACCGAAGCTCTGGTGGTAGGCGGGCGAAGGGGTGGAATGCAGTGAGCGGACCAGGGGTCTCGGCAGCGCAGCAGGGGGCCACTTGCTGCTGCTGCTGGGAGACGGGAAGCTCAAAGGAAATCTGCGATGGTGCAGCTGTCGACGGTGGAGGATGTGTGATTGTCCAAGGACCATACGGGACCCCGGACCGGAACTGGAACCGATCCTCGGGCTTGACCGGCGTCGGAGGCCGGTGGAGTTCGACATGGCGGCGCTGTCCGCAAGTGGGACACGGCGCGGAGGATGACGGGAAGTTTCCGATGGAAGCACCGACGCTCACGCTGAGAGAAGTGGACGAGGATGACGATGAGCTCGAGGGGACGGTGGTGGTCTGAGCGGTGGTTGATGTTGCGGGCGAGTGTGAGGCGGAGGTGGCAACGGTCGACGAGAGGCCGGAGTCCGTTACGGCGTCTGACTCGCTTGGGTGCGCAAGCGTTTCTGAATGCCGTAGCGTGCGACTCTGGCTGCTGCGAACATGTTGGCTGTGGTTGTGGGTGTGGTTGCGTGTCGCGGTCTGGGTGCCTCTCTCAACGCTGTGGTCTGTCTCTCCTCCGGTTGATGGTGGTGGTGGTACTGCCGATGTTGTTGCTGCTGCTGCTCGCGGCGAGTCCTTGCGAGCCCGGATACGAACAGACAGACCTTTGAGCCAGATCTTTTTCCACTTCTTGAGCTGCTTCTGCTGGTCCTGGTCCTGGTCCTTGGTCCGGGACTGGGATGTGACTCCGTTCAAGTTGCTGTTTGCGTCGGGCGCCATGGCGGGGTTAGTCGGGCGAGGAGCCCTCGTCCCGGTTGAAGCGTCCTCCCGTCGGTGTCCCTTCGTATCCCCGATCTGCCAAAAATGACCCTCCTTTGATGCTGCGAGAAAGGCGATAAAGCGTATTAGCTTCACCGGCGATGAAGTGAGATTCTGCCCTTCAGTGAGTCGTCGGGAACCCTGGCGTTGAGTGCAAAGGTCGCGACTTATGCGCCGTGCTGCCGGCTGCTGCTGTGAGGCTGGACGAGAGAAGTGGGGTTGCTCTGGGTAAGTCGAGGGGGAAGAAGAGCTAGAAAGTGAGAGCCGGGTAGTAAGAGGATGATGGGGAGGAGACGCGGTAGTAGTGCGGGTGGGAGACGCGGGGGAGGAGGACATGTTGGTCAAGTTAAGGTTCATTCATGGGCCACGGCCGCGTCTGGAAAGGTCAATGTTCAGTCAGGTCGTAAGGTGGTGTCGGTGTGTAGCCGATGTAGTGGTCAATGTTCGTCTTCGGAACAGTTCGCTCGCATGCTCTCAGGCACAGAACATGTTCATCGGCTACAGCATTCAACAGCTTCGGTGCTCACGGCTCACAGGAACAGGCTGGGCGGCCAGGTACGAAGAGTCAGGCTGACGGGAATGTGACAGAAGAACTGGGCAGGATTCCAAGAAGGAAGACGAGCACAGCAAGGAATTGGCTTTGCGACATGCAGGCATGACCGTCCGAGTTGCGGTGCACTCACTGCAGTCCCGGTTCGTTCTGTGGTCTATTCCCACATTGTGGTTCCTTGGCCTGACGGTGGTTTGGTTTGGTTGCAGACCGTGACCAGCTGAGGGGAAAGGACGGGGAACGCACACTGAGACAAGCTTTCGTTGGAAACGGAGAAGGGGGATGTTTGGGACTGCAACCAACCGGAGGCGCATTGTCAGCTCTTCCCAGCCTCCCCTCAGCTTAATCGATCATTGATGACAATCTCCAAGTCTTGATCCTTCAACTGCCACTCCATCTGTCAAGCCTTGTTAGCACACTCTTGTCAAACGAAGCCCTTTCCGTAGCGTCCTGCATCTGCCGCAGACTGCTGCTTCTATTGGATCTCCTTGGGCTTCTCCGGAGGAATCGAGAGAGTACGGACCATCTGTGCCCGATCTCATCCTTGGAACGCCGTTGCAGCGCCCGCCTGGACCTCCCACGTGCTGAAACGTGCAAAAGGGGCGGATGCGACGTTTGGCGGGAAGAATGACGCCGACGCCTAAATCTCTCTGCCGTGATACTTTGCGATGTTGTTGAGGATTATATCTATACTGGTAGTTATCCGTACATAAAATGGATAAATGGCTAGTATGCGTACTTACGCTTCAAGCACAAGGCGATACACACAGATTGTGAGCGGCATCTTACCTGCAAGATACTGATTTGACATACAATGCCGTGATATGGACTGGCAACATTCAGTCCAATCCCGTCAAAGGAAGGGAGTGTTTGATCTTCTTGCCTTTTTCTTGCCGAATCGAGCCCCGAGCGACCGAACACTCGGGCCCGGGTGGATCCCGGATGATGCACCCGGAAGTGGGCCCGGGCTACCGGAGTAGACCACCCAGGGGGCCTGAGCCTCTTCATCGGAGGACGAGCGACTTGCACACGCACCCAAAAGAAGGGTTCATCAAACATAACATTTCACGAGCATGACAACGAGAAATCCTTTTCAAAAGCAAGTATAGCCCGCCCTTAAAAGGGGGTTTGAGCAACCCTGTAGTCTTTAAAACCCTAGTACAGTACCCATTTCTGCCCATCCATAGCAGTAACCCAGAAACTGTAACTCTAGCTTTTCATCGACCTTGGTGGACGATGGTTTCCAACTATCCAGTTACCTATCCAGGCCGAAAGCATTTTCTCAGGGTCGAAGTAAACTATCCCCCATAACCTATCTCCAGCGAGACAAGGGGGTCAAATGTTCTCAACCACCATTGAAATCCCGAGCATCGAAGGCAAAGTCACGGAAGAGGGCAAGATGTTGTATGTGGCGAAACACACGCTTTATTATCTATATCGTCAAATCGTTTGTCAAAGGTCCATCCATAGCCGAGCAGAGAGATCCGAAGATGCTCCCAAAAACCGCTAGGCCACTATCGAAGAAAACCACTACTCCTACCACAAACCACCAGCTGATAACCATTAACAGACCCATAGTAGAGTCAAGAGAAGAGAATATCCATCCATGCTCAGACGAGTCCCTTACAGAAGGACAGCGGCAGCAAGAACGCTGAAGGCAAGAGCGCCGAAGCTGGCAGCGAACTTGCTGGTGCCGGCCGTGACGACGGGGGGCTTGGCAGTCGCAGTGCCGGTGGGGCTGCCGCCAGCAGGAGGGGCGGCAGAGTTAGCCGGGGGAACACCAGCCGGGGGAGCTCCAGCAGGAGGAGCACCGGCAGGAGGAGCACCGGCAGGAGGAGCACCGGCGGGAGGGGCACCGGCGGGAGGGGCACCAGCGGGAGGGGCACCAGCGGGAGGGGCACCAGCGGGAGGGGCACCAGCGGGAGGAGTGCCAGCAGGGGGAGCACCGGCAGGAGGGGCTCCAGCGGGAGGGGTGCCAGCGGGAGGAGCTCCAGCGGGAGGGGTGCCGGCGGGGGGAGCACCAGCCGGGGGAGAACCAGCGGGGGGAGCGCCGGTAGGGGGAGCGCCGGCGGGCATGGTGTTGGTGGCCGGGACGAAGGGAGTCTTGGTGACGGGAGGCTGGGGGATGACAACGGTGCTGCAGGTGGTGCCGTCGCAAGCAACAGTGGTGACGGGAGGAACGGGGATGACAACCTTGCAAGAGTCGCCAGAGCAGGGAGGCTGGGGAACAGGGCAGGAGCCGTTGCAGCCCTTGACCTCGATGTACTTGTCGTTCTTGTACTCATACTTCTTGTTGGCATCGGCGTACGGGCAGGACTCGAAGACGCAGGAGTCGTCCTTGCAGACGTACTTCTTGTTGCACTCATCACCGGAGCAGGTCTCGACCTTGCAGACGTTGCCGTAGCAGACAATCTTCTCGGAGTCGAAGTCGGAGCCCTTGACGACGTAGTCGCACTTTCCGGAGACACACTTGATCTTGCGGCCGCAGTCGTATCCGGAGCAGACCTCAGGGTGCCAGGTGCCATCGGTCCAGACGAGACGGCGCTGGCAGTCGGCACCGTAGCAGGGGTAGTCGTATCCGCAGTAGTCGCCGTAGGACACAATCTTCTTGTAGCAGTCATCACCGTAGCAAGGAACGCCGAAGCACTTGCCGTTGGAGCACGGGTTGGGAGCAGGCTTGTAGCAGAAGGGACCCTGGCAGTCCTGGCACAGAGGGCAGTAGGTGGTGGTGACGGTGGTGACGCCAGTGGAAGCAGTGCCGTCAACGGTGACAGTGGTCGCAGAGGTGAAAGTGGTGGTGACGGTGGCAGTGGTGGTGGCATCGATACCACCATCAATACGGACGTAGATGGTCAACAAGATCTCGGCAGAGATGAGCTGGCGCTTGAGGGTACCGCCAACGTTGCGGCCACCACAACGCTGGCCAGAGTTGCCCGGGCAGGAGATGGAGCACTTGTCCTCAGAGACGCGGGTAGCAGTGGCATCGCTGACGATGTCACCGCAGAAGCAGTCGGAGCCGAAGAGACCGGCGTAGCGCTTGCCGGCAGGGCAGGAAGCGACGCAAAGGTCAAGAGTCATGGAAGCGGCAGACAGGACGAGCTCGAAGGTAGGGAAACCGGCGGTGGAGCCGAAGCAGCCAAGCAGAGAGAAGTTGCCAACGCTGCCGGGGTTGGGGATGACGGTGGCCGACGGGGTCGCAGACGACGAGGTTGAGGAGGTGTCGGTTCCAGTGGTGGTGGGAGAGGTGTCAATCGTGGTCGTCAAAGACCCTTCAGTGGTGATGGGAGGCTCATCGGAGCTGAAGGTGGTGTCAATGGTCGTGACCTCATCGGAAGTCGTGATGGGGACCTCAGTCGTCACAGTGGTGCTCAGACCGGTGGAAGTGGTCAAGCTGCTGATTGTCGTCTGGCCAGTTGAGGTGGTCTGAAGAGTGCTCAACGAGGTGGAACCAGAGATGGTTGTGGAGAAGGAGGAGCTAACCACGACAGAGGAAGACGAGGTGCGCGTGGATGAGGTCGTGGTGGTGTTCTGGAACGGAGCGGTGCTCTGTCCCAGGGCGACCTTGCCCAGGAGGAAGACGAGAGCCGTGCGACGCATGACTAAACGAGTGACGAAAGCAAGTAAAAGAATGACTAGACCTCGGGTCGTAAACGAGTGAAACGAGGTAAAGAGAGAGAGGAAGAGAGGACCTAAGGATGCGGAGTGTAATGATGATGAGGGTGAGGAGGGAAAGGAAAGTTGGACAGAAGCCGGAGAATCTTCTCTTTCTTATACCTTCTGGAAACTCCCTCTCTTTCCCTCATGTCAGGCAAAGATCCATCGAAACGATGTCTCTGGCGTCTCTGGCAGCTCTGCCCATGCCTCTCTCCCTTGCCGTGAGCATTGTCTCCTGAGTGACAAGATGAGTTTGCATGCCTGAGACCAGTACAGAGTTTCCTACAGCAAGCGCCACTAAGCCAGGTCTCCGTGTCTCGTTTTTCCATTCTTCCGCTATCGTGTCTCGTTCCTCGTCGTTCGTGTTAAGTTTAGTCAGGAGGTTAGGAATGGATCACCTCGGTCAAGAACTCATCAGTTGGCAATGTCTCACCTTCTCCGCAATCCAACGAGGGAGACCGCCTCAACAAGGGACCAATCAATAGGCCCGACGAAGGAAGGAAAAAAACAAACCCCAACGTCGCTAAATCTCAATAAGCGTGCATTCCCGTCCGCTAAGCTTGGAAATTGGGTCTTGTCTGTGGCGTTCCGCCCGGCGCCCTCCCGAGCTTGTCGTTGACGACAATGAGCATTTTCGGTATCCCTGGGCCAGATCTTACACCTGGAATTCGCCAAATTGCCCATATCCATTCTCGGTTCCGGACGCCCGACCTCCTTTCGTCGCCCCCCCCGGCGTCTCCAGTCATCTCCCGAAAACCGATATAGCCCTGTCTATCACTATGCGGCTCTCGATCTTCCGATCCTTTGGATCCAACCGCCGGTCAGCGAGTCATACATTGGAGTTTGATGGTCTCGGCCTGTTGAGTGTATCAAGTGGAGACGGAACCCGCAGCGGCAAAATGCACGACATCATCCCTCGCAGACGCATTCTTTCTTATTCTCTGCGCTAAATGGGGACAGCGAGGGAACATGACGGCATTAGTTCTCCCCAAACAGACTTAAACTTACGAGATGAGTGAAGTCTTTTGTTGTCCTTGCATAATTGAGCTATTCTAGAGGTTGATTGCCCTCGTGACTACCCCACACTCTTTCACTCGTTGGGCCAACCTCAGATTCCGAATGCAGGCCAATGAATGCACAGATTATTATGAGTATCGCAAGTGACATATTCGAAATTCCAGGAAAGCCAAGTTCCTTCGTATTCATTGTAAGTCTCCAGTGTTTGCACAGGATTGTGGATGCCTTTACATCAACATTGTCAGCATCTCAACGGATTCGATGCAAGGCATTGGCCGAGAATATCTTCCGGCCTTGCATCGTGCAGTTGGAGTATGCTTGAGCGACCCCTTTTTAATCAAGGGGAAGCATTGCGGCTTCATGATTTGATCGCCACAAAATATCAGTGAGGTGTGAAATCTTGGTGATCCACGTCCAGACCTTGTGGTGCATGCCCTTAACGTTTGGCACTTCCACACTCGGCCAGGATAACAGTAATACCCACTCAAAACATGACTCCTGTCAGAGCTACAAGTTGAGAAATTCGATTCTACGAAGGCTGGGTGGTTGAATAGTGGGTTCGTCGCATAAGATCACGATCCTGATAGTTGTATTTCTCTTGACTCTTGGTCCTCATGTTGTTTTCCCCGGCTTACTTCGTTCTATGCAGCGTCTATCTTGAGCTGCCACCAACTTTATGGGAATTTGATGTTGGAAATAAAACTCATGCGGGAGAATGGGATTGAGTTTGTCTTATCATCAAGGTATGGGAAGGGTTTCACGAATAATACTCGGAGGAGTAGATTTAAAGAGGAAATAGTGAGTTAGTGAAAGCCCGAGCACTGAGTCTAATGGCTGCCAGTTTTCTCCCGGGATCGTTCGTCAGGAACCGGCTGAAATCAATCTCTGTGAAGATTATCGGTCCAGAGAATGCCTGTCTCTCGATTGGAGTATCTAAATCCGTTCATGACTTGCGTATAATGGGGTCTGGGAGGCTCTGATTTCTCGCACGTAGGTATGCATATATTGGCAGTGAAGTAAAGAAAGCTGCGCTGTATCAATCAGAGACTTCGAGAATGCCAAAAATATTTGACTTTTCGTCGAGCGTTGGTAGCATGATTTCATTTGAGAATTTCGCTCGTGTGTATTATTGATAAGAAAACGGGAATAGTGACAGAATTCGGAATTGTACCGTTGCGCCATATACAAAAGAGAGATCCCTCTACTGCATTTAGGTAGTTGTGGGTACATATAGTTTCCGTCAAATAGCTTGTTTTAAGGTAGGTGATGATGTTGCTGACAATTTAGCAGGATTACCTGTGACTATATATACACTAATGTGAATTCAGGCGTAGCATTTGGACTCATTGACGAGACTATGATTATGAAGCTGTCGCAGCGCCATACGTGGCGCTGCCGGTTACTGCCGTACGATACCGCTTTCCACAAGCCGATTACCCGTCTTGTATGGTATATACATATGGCCCTCATACGGATCTTCCACTTAGAGGAATCAAGCCACTTTCTACTATACATGTCTTCCACTTGCTACCTCGCTTTGTGATAGAAGCCTTCGGCTAGAGTTCAACTCTAAATCCAATTTTGCGTGACAGAACATAGAAGGAATGATTTCTACCTTATCCTGCATCAGAATAAAGATTGAGCCTCATATGTTGGGATCCGAGAAGCAATAATTTCAATCTTGAAGAGACTACACATATACAATGAAGTTACTGCGTTTTAAAACAAAGAAAAACCTCTTATTTTATTTTTCTAGATGCAGTTTGTTGAATAGCACTTAATTAAGCTTCATATGGTTCAACGCGTCAAGTGGAAGGGAAACATAACTTATTTGCAAGTTTTATCCTTATGTGTTATCTGAAGAATACGAAATCACCACTGGAGTTGACTTGCGTGAAGTAAAAGTTTTCGCGATCGACTTCTACGGCGTGTTATATAAACAACATCACGCAGAATCTGAGTATCTTCGTAATGTTGCAGATGGCAACATATAGTGAGTGGAAGACCGTTTATACTGGCATATTCTTGGCAAACTTAGTCATGCTTGTGTAAGACCATATTGTTTCATAGGCATAGTGTGACAATCGTTGTAACGAGTGTACTGGGATGGGCCTGACACCTCCCTTGCTTCTAGCCGACGCCACCACCTCATACATGGGAATGCCTGAAGGATCACCGCGATTCAAGGGATACTCTTAGTACTTGAACATAAATATCCGCTCTCTTCTCCCTGACCAACCTGCCCAAGTGCATGGTCGTCGCCTTCGTTCTCACGCGTTCCGCCATATTGGCGTTGTCGGGTCGATTTGTGGAAGTGCTCCGATATCTGATATGGTTTATGTGTCAAAGTTCCAGCATCCCTTGGTATTCAAATCCAGCCGCAGCCAGACCATCTCCAAAGTACTCGCAACGATCAATTTCGGCCTCCAATGAGCGACAAAGAGAATTCGGGAGATCTCCTTGCACCCGGAGCTTGAATGACGTTCACCTACGCCGGGATGCATAGGTTACTTAGTTATATTTCGGTTGCGATGCCAGTCGCCTCAGCGCAGACAACCGTTCGTTTCGACGTCCAGTCCTCCAATGGGTTCTTTTTTACTAAAGAGAGAGGGGCGTTCATCTTCAATATTTGTGAGAAGTCTCCGCGGGGTTTGGTACCTCCGACACCTCAACATAGACGCAGCAACACAAATCCACGATCACTAATCGATTCTCGAGCCAACGCAGTGATTATTTATGAGATATTTCAGTTTCCGTAAAGCCCATTTCAATCATTCTAAATGTCATCTTCATACCGTGGAGTTTTTGAATAATATTCTGGATGTCTCTTACTTGATCAGAGGCATTCATAGGTAAATGGCCCCTAGTACGCCATTGCCATAGATTGGTAAAGAGGTCTGATATTGAGGAAGGTCTTTTCCAACCACTTGTTGTCAATTTAAAATCTGTGGAATTGTTGTCTCATATCTACTACCTCGGTCTTGCAGAAAGGCCAAGTGGGTAACTATCAACGCCGTTCGATGGTGAGCTCATCATTGTCAGATCACGGATCGTGCTGAACAATCTTTCTCCGACTCAATGCCAACTTGAGCCCCGCAACATTCCTAATCCATGTAAGGTATACTTCTGTATAGCAGGATTTCGAATAATTTCGCTACCTCTGTCATAGTCTATAACTGGGCCCGGGCTCAGCTCCAAGTCACCAGAGAAAGAAGTCGAGATGGGTCAAGGGTGCGAATGGGCATCGTGCCAGGGTGACGATAGACACTGGGTGGCGGGCAGAATAGAGAAATGAGCTTGAACGCCGATTCGGACGAGCAGGTTTCCACGTTTGGGACGTCTTTGTGCCTGGTGCCTGGTGCCTGATTTCTAGGGGAACGTGACTGAGCTCCGCATTCCTAAAAGTGAGGCAAGGGGTGGGTTTGGGAATCCGAATGGAGACTTCGCGTAACGGAAAGGTACTGCAAGGGAGGAAAGCTGGGATTTCGGTCGACTCCCTCAGTTCCAATCGGAAGCTAGGTTCTGGTCCAAAGACACTAGTCCCATGGCATCAGCCCCCTGAACTTTGGCACAAGTTGTCAATCTTCTCCAACAGCCTCCGTAGCATAGGTATATTAAACTCACTTGCCGTGGAAGAAAGAAGCGTAAATCAATGAATCATCTGCCGGTGTTTAAGCATGAATCAGCCAGCCAGCCAGCCGTTTTCTTCCTTTGATATGGAAATTACACATTCATCCACTTCTCACGATATATCGCTCTTTTCATGACAGTATATGAAACCTCCCAGTTCTATACAGTATGATCAACCATCTAATGCCTGAACAACCTGAACCCAGTCGCCATCCCCATACGCTCCTGGCACGCTGTCCCCATCGAAAAGTGTTGGTATTCCTTTCACAGGGAAGTTGGTTCGAACCGTAGGGTCCTCGGGGTGACGAAGTATCAATATCTCTGTATTGATTGATTCTGCGTAAAGAGTAGAAGGGAGATTCCAACCGGAGGTTGGGTGGGTAGTCGAGGTCTAAGTGTACCCCCTCGAGGTGGCCCATGCTCTGCCCCTACTCGCGGCCGAATTGGACTTCCAATCCGACAAAAAGACTAGCAAGCACCACTCGATCTGATTGTTCGCCTTCCCAGGGCTGTCTACCATGCTGAGCAATGACATTGTCGAACACGAGAACATCTCCTTGTTGCCAATTGTGGAGTACTCGGATCTCATCTGTGATCTTCGCCAAGTGTTCGAGATACTTGTCCGGAATTGGCGTGCCGTCGCCGTAGAGCTGTTTGGTGACCTCCTTCCTGGCTCCATTGCCCCCTTGAGAGTTCTTCCAGTAGGCAGCTAGTCCAGTGAAGAGTGTCGGAAGTCCCGTGCCTGGCTGACCTCGAATTGCGGGTAACCTATGTGTCAGCACCACGCCGTCATCTATCCATTCCCATGTCGTATGTTTCCCTCTTCCATATCTAGCAATCTGCGCCTCGATCTTAGTGCGCTTTGTGGCCACACTGTCGCCTTCCAAAAAATCTTTCCCACACGCTTGTTGCAGAGTTGAACCACCCGTGTACTGCTTGTCGAATTTGTAGGTGACCCTGCTCAAAATACCTTCGCCGGTCAACTCCTGGATGGACTCCGGGATCTCATTCTTGGCCCTATGGAATAGCTCTAGTGATGAAGAAATGGGGGACTCGCCCCCTTTCGAAAGTGCCTTGTGATTATAGAAGAAAACGTATTCGGGAGCGTGCGGGACCTGGGGTGACTCGTTGTGGTTGTAGATGAGAACTTCTTTGGGACTTTCATTTGCAGGCGCCACTTTTGGCGCTAACAACGGTCTATCGACTACAATGCCGATGATCTCATGTAGTTTGTATCCGAAAGCGTGTGCGAACTTGCCAAAATCCTCGGCGCCGTGAATGGGCAAGTCTCTGAACAGAAATGGCGAGTTTCTTGGTAAGTACACCTTGTCTCTGGAGAGATTCTAGAGTATGGACGACCACATGCAACTGAATATCTTCGAGTTGGCTGGAAGGCCTCAAAGCCAAGGGTGTCACAGTACCGCTGGGATGGTGCTCGCCAAGAAGTCGTTGATTCGTCTCGGGTAAATCATGAAATTGTTCAAATGCAATTGGGAAATCGATGTGGTTGCTGGTTTGATGGCCTTTCGCAACATGCGTTACGAGAGAAGCCGCCATTGTGACTTGGCGCTTTGAGGTGGCTATGGGAAAAAGTGATTGCTCGGATTATGAAGGGTCAGGCTCCGACAACAGATAACGGATATAGGCTGGATTTGTCGGGAGCGCTCGAGGTGTGGTTCTCGGCGAATATTGACAGCTTACATACACGGGGGAAATGCTGGCATGTGCTCTTGATGCGTTTGAAGCTAAAACCACGTTATTTTGGGCTTTCTGTTCATTGGCGAGAATCGCATCAATAATCCTGCCCCGGTTATCATTACCCGTATCCTCCGCTAGGATAGGCTTATCAATGTAGTGATATAAAGTGTGATGTATAGATAAGCCCAAGATATGCCTAAAGTACCTACTTGAACCAATGTTCCACTCTTGTTCCAACGTGTGTTCTGATGGCATATTTGCTTGGAAAGGAATCGGGCTATTTGACATGGCCTAGAGTACTATGAAGCACGAGAGAAGAGGATTCTTTTATATGATGAAGTCATAGCAATCACTCTACTAAGGTAGCTAGCTACCTATGTTGCAATTGCGCGACTCATCGGCGGCAATACGGTCACATCCTAGCCGTTGCATAGAGATATGTGAACAATCAATAGCGTCAATAGCTGTAGGCACAAATTTATTACTCCCGGCTGTCTCCGATGCGGGGTCTGGGTCATTTTTCGCATCATTCGAGAGATTGGCGGAGGACTGTCGATCGGTGCGACGTTGGGACGAAGTTGGAGCACGTAATCTGTAACCCTGTAAGCGAAACCCGTACATTAAGAATTCATAGAGGTGACTTTTGAATCCTATCTAGGGTTCTTAGGTCAAGTCAAGAGTAACCATGGGACGTCATGGTTTTACACCAGCCCATAAAGGTCGGTCATCCAACTGCAGCCATCAGGGTCTTCGAAGAGGGTGCCTCGTCTCTTTGCTGCTGTGAAACCTCTCAACCTGTTTCAAAAGATTTCACGGCGACAACAAATCACAGCATCAGGCAATATCTCAGCCCATAATGTCCCTCGAACCATCAGTTGATCAAAAGGGAGCGGTGGAGGTCGACGTTAGTAGGGAAACTCCTCGCCAGTCTTCACCAATCGGGCCCGGCAACGTGCCGCCTTCGGCGTGGAATCCCACACCATTTTTCAGGAGTACTCTCTTCCAGATACTCGTTGTTGGTCTCTGCGCTTTCTGTGCGCCGGGAATATGGAGCGCCATGAACGGACTTGGGGTCGGCGGCTCGCAAAGTCCAGATCTGGTCAACGCAGCGAATGCCCTCCTTTACGCCTTCATGACGTTGACTTGCTTCGCTGGTCCGTTTCTTACCAACCTGATTGGATTCCGCTGGACTTTGGCAGTTGGTGCTCTCGGGTATCCCCTCTATGCAGCCGGCCTCTACGTCAACAATCGGACAGGCGGAACATGGCTCGTCTACTTCGGCTCGGTTGCCTGCGGCATAAGTGCCGGATTCTTCTACAGTGTCGAGGGAGCGATTGCTACGGCATATCCTGAACATCACAAACGAGGCCATTACGTCGCGACGTGGTTTACCTTTCCCAACTTTGGCATGATTATTGGTGGCGCCATCTCGTTGGCACTCAACCACAAGGTCAACCAGAAGGGCAAGGTTGGATACGAGCTGTACCTTGCCTTTATCGGCATACAATGTCTCGGATTCTTCTTTGGTCTCTTCCTGTCCAATCCTGACAAGGTTATGCGGGATGACGGAAGTCGCATCGAAGCGCCGAGAGGTATTCATTGGCGGACAGAGCTCATCGAAATGTGGAAGCTACTTAGAAGCCGTTCGATTCTTTTATTGACGCCCCTCTTCTGGTACTTTGGCTAGATTCAAGCATACCCCGGCACATATCTTGCAACATGCTTCAGCGTGCGCTCGAGGGCGCTAGGCAGCTTCGTTGCAGCTATCGTGAGCACCTTTCCTACATGGGTCGGCGGATCTCTTGTGGACCTCCCGTGGTCTAAGAATCGCCAGACACGAGCTCTGGCAACATACTCCCTGATTGTTTGTCTCAATACTGCCACCTGGATATGGGCCGTCATTATCCAAAATGAGTATCGATTCACGCTACCTGTCTTGGATTGGGCCTTTCAGAGCGAGTTCGGACGAGGGTTCGGGCTTTATCCCATCGACTGCGAGCTGACGTCGGTACATAAGCCTCCAGTTTTCTCCAACAGCCGAATTATTCGATTGGGTGCATCGGCCGGAATTAAGACGGATTCTAATCGGAATATCATGGAATAATGTGTGATTTGCTGCTTCCTCTCATGGACGGTACGTAGCTATGTACCGACGTCATCTCGCAGTCGATGGGATATGCTTGAAAGAGCGTCTCTTGGCATGATCGAAAACTTCATCTACTGGGCTATCGGAAATCTATCGGACTCGCCTGGCGACCAGATTCGGCATAGCTCTTTGCTTCGTGGCATCGAGACGGCAGCAGTAGCCGTGGGTTTCGGGATCCAAGCCGTTCCAACCCCTCTCATTGCTACAGCAAGAATCAATTGCGGTCTTTGGTTTATCGCCCTACCATTCAGCTATTTTGCCACTCTTCAAGTTGTGAAGAAGTTCAAAGAGCAGGGCCGGATGCTGGACCGGATGCAGGAGGGAGTAGGAATTGTGGGACAGAAAGTCTAGCCGTCGATACGTCTCAGTTGCTTGTCAAGTTATTGGAACTTGTTGCAAATGCATGACGATTAATGATCCGACGGAAAAGGACTGGCCATCATCGGAAGACATCGCAGAGCTTTCCGCTTTGGCTCTGTTCATGTTACATCAAGTGTCCAAATTACTCGATACCCAGGAAATCTTTGCGTTGGATGCTCTATGAGTGTTGGCCAACGAGTAGTTAGGTAGCATCGAAGACATTACTGTTGCGTTTAGGTTCTAGGTTGCTGCAGGCTTCTATCCGCCTCGCCCGTGACCCTTGTAAAGAGTGCACCGTTTACTAGCGAGACTGAACGCCTTCCCCATTGAAAGTAGTGTGACACATCATGCGTAAGCCACCAGTGTGGACCGTCCAATTTCAATGTCGAACATGCAGGACTTCCTACAACGAACATGATGATGAATCATTATCCATAGATGCCAGCACATTTCTGAAAACTTGACTATGTTGCTACACATGCATTTGGCACCCATGGACGGGGAGTAGTTGAGCCCAAGCGGAGCATGGATCCTCATCGTGAGAGTCGTCATATCAGAGTCCTGGAAAGCGCGGTTCACAGAAGCAACAAGACCTCCAGAGCGCCAGATTTGCTGCAGTAGTAACAAATCTCAAGCGATGCTTGGCTTTTCTAGCAGATTCTTCAGACCAACGACCCAGCCTTATGCAGCAAAGCCGCTGACCAGGTGGTTGCGCTAGCTAACACCTGCTCTCTTGCTCTACTAATCACCTACGGTCCCGCATAGGGTCTCTTGATTCAGAAACAAGGTACGAGGCAGTAGACAGCGCTGATCATCTGCACTATGCCTGCACTTGCAGCGTCACAGTCTTGATTTATCCACAGTTGAAGGCTGGGCTGAAAATCACCCCATCTCCTGATTCATTCTCAGTCGAGCTGAGGGCGGGGAACGTTGCATTAGACAGGCGGGAGCGGCTGTAGGCGAATTGAATTATCATCCCGGGCCAGTCCAATGCGTTCACTCCACCCGGGTTCAGACGAACTGCATCCCCGAAAAGCATCATGAAGTTGGAGTTTGCTTTTCTCGGGCATATTGAAGGATTCCGGTATCACTTCTCACGTCTTTAGCGGCTCGGGAGTAGCCACTCCCGCCTCATGCAGCCCGTGTTAGGTGGATTTACCCGCACCTCAGTTTCGCGGACTAAAAGTAGAAAGCCAGGCCAATATTGCCAAGCATACCTAGGTCGTTGGCATGGAGCTCTTCTTACCGAATTAGCGAAACTATCACGAACCTCATCGTGTGGCTTTGGTCCGGTAATGACTGCGAAGTGGTCAGGTCAATGCCGAGATGAAGTTATGCTGCACTGTGCACTAACAGTGGACATAGAGACAGAAACGCAAAACGACTATCCTTCAACTTGGCCTGGATGATCGTATGAGCGCCAGCGACGGCAACTCAATTCGAGTATATAAAGTATGCAATTGCCAGGCTTCTCAGGAACTTCTAGTCATCATCAACCATCTCTTCTATCATCTACTCAACGCAGTCTCAAGCTCCCAGCTCTTCTTCGGTCACTTAAGACTCTCACTTCATCATCAAGATTTGACTCGCCATCAAAATGCAGTTTACCACCGCTCTCGTTTCCATCTTGGCCACTGCCGTCATTGCCATTCCCACTGGCAACACCGGCGGCGGCGGCGGCGGCGGCTCTACCCCCTACGATGCTTGCTCTGGTCTCTACGACAGCCTTCAGTGCTGTGCCACCGATGTTCTTGGGGTTGCGAACCTCAACTGCGCTCCCCGTAAGTCCAAAGTCATAACTTAGTAGAACGGGCCGAATAATACTAACAACCCATGCCAACAGCTCCTGCCGTCCCGACGTCTGCCAGCGACTTCAGCAAAGTATGCTCCGCCATTGGCCAGCGTGCCCGCTGCTGTGTTCTTCCCATCGTAAGCTCTTCCATCCAGTAGAAAGCAAATTTTGGTGTTGATTTTCTAACAATAATCCCCACAGCTGGGCCAGGGTATTCTTTGCCAGGCCCCTCTTGGTGTTCCCCAGTGAAGGAAGTAGTGACAGCCAGATGATTTGGAAACAGATCGGCCTCAAATCTCTTCTTTCTCTGCAATAATTAGTTGGCATGCTTGAATGGAGCGAGTTGATGGGAGTGATTAGCTGCGAGGCTACAAGCCCGCACTTATATCGTAAATTCAGTCATTACCGTATAGCTTACTCTCTGAGCTCAACTAGAACTGAAGCCTGATCCGTCGTGGACTCGTGATTTTGTAGCTTATTTTCTTTGCCGCTCTTGTCTACAAAAGGTTCGCAGTGGATCAAGTGATCAGGCACGAGAATAGTACGGAAACGCACGGAAGGCATTGAGGAATTCAGAGTGCCTGATTCTTTAATCTACTAATATATACCTCGCAGCTGAAGTACAATAGCTTTGCTCAAGTTGTTCTACAGACAGCCAAGGTCTCCTCATGCTGCTAAGTCGCCAAAGCGATGTGCACGAAATGAGTGTTGTCCATGTAGACTTTCTCTACAATACGAGTACCGAAGACATCGTACACATTGTAGACTACTGCTATCCTGCACGTGTATTGTGGCGACTCGGATTGGAGTTACATTGTTGCCAAGACTCATCTGATAGATGCCTGTACAAACATTGAAGTCTGATTCTCCGTTCCTTGCACATTTTCTGCCCTGCGGAGAAGCCCGTCTCTTAGGCCCTGATCTCCTCGCGGCCAAGGCCAATTGCCAGTCGCCAGAGGGTACAGCGCCACTGGAAGTGCCACGGCCCCGCAGAGCAATTGTACCGTCGTATTGGGCCGTAGCACCGGGCCACTGCCGGGGCGCCGTTGAGCCTCGGGGGGTGGGGGATAATACGTGTGTTTCCAGCGGCGGGAAGGGTTCTGGCAACAGAACTGGCAACAGGCACAGCTTCTCAGAAAACCAGTTCTGAGCATGGAATCAGCCCTTTTGGCAACAACTATACCATCTCCGGCCAGTCTCAGCCACTGATTCAGAAAAGAACATTGCATAACTTTGGCGTAGATGAGAGACCGGATCCGGCAGCCAAACTACAGCCAGAAGAGGTTTGGCATCACGGAAAAGGGTTTTCCGTTGTTTTTATGCACCGATTACATCAGCACTGGCAACTGGCAATTGGCTTTGGACGCGAGGAGATCAGGGCCTTAAAGCACGCGTTCGACGTCACACTGGCCCCTGCGCTATGGCGTGCTAGTTTTAACTTTGCTCGCTACCGAAATTCAAAGTGATCCGATGCCCGGCTAAAATGGCACTGGCTGAACTCTAAGTGCACATCGGGCATGATTGATAGGCGCAACAATTTGATCCTGAACAAGCCGTTGCACTCTATATCTCAATAAAGCTTAGATTGACCAACGAAATGGGGCAGCCCTGATTCAAGCACCACAGTAAATAGAGACGAATTTCATTTGGAATCACGAGGCAAACATGGGGAGGTTTTCTTTGAGAACAGGATCTCGTAAATGCAGATCAGCCCAATAACTCACCCACATAGCCCTGCCACTATCAACGTCTTTGCTGAAAGACGTTGTGTCTAATGTGCTTCATTCATCGCCAATTCCCAGTTTTGCCAAATTCGTCGTTTGTCGGACTTGCCGAGACAAACATCAAACGATGGACTCAACCCCAGTGTCGAGCGCCATCCCTCAGGGCCTAGGTATCGAAAGCCTTCTACCTGAATGCGCGGTAATTTCCTTCATCGTCCAACCTACGTAGCGCGAAAGTCGCGATTCTTGCCAAGTTTACTAAAATCATGCTGGCTTTAGAGTCATTGTGTCTCAACGATACTGGCATCGGCGCCCAGTGCTCAAGCTGCAGTCAAATATCTTTGTGCTGAACAACAACTCTATGGGGCAGTAGGCTGCAGCTACCAAATTTGCTCTGTCATCGATGGACTCAGTATGTGCGTCCCGCCTTCAACATCGTAGCAGAGTATTCTCGCTGACCAAAGAAGAGAGTCAGAGAATCATTTTCGACATTTGCGGTCTCCCAAATCGAGATAGAGGTACTTCTGCTACTGCTAGTGCCGTTGCAGGGGCTATCGTGGCCGTATTCAGTGTTGGCGTCCGCATATATTCTCAACTTTCACGATTAGACTACATCATTGGACTGGATGACTATGCTCTCATTTTCTCAATGGCATGTTTCTTGGCGATCGGTTTCTTGATCTGGAGACTAACGTCGACGTAGTTGATGTCAGTCCCTATGAGCGTTGTTGTTGTTTTCAGTAAGCCGTCCCCACCTAGTACACAGAGAGGAAGATCTCCAGAGATGGCGTCTAATCTATGCTACAGCTGTTCAAAATGGCCTCGGCAAAGACATCTGGACGCTTACACCAGAGCAAATCAACGAGTTCTTCAAAGTAAGTGCAATGAAAATAATTCAAGCTAAGTTAGCTAACTCCATTCACCAAGTTGTTTTACATCGGAGAGCACTTCTACGCATTCACCGTCATGTTTGCGAAGACAAACTTCCTGTTCTTCTACTTGCGCCTTTTCGCCGATGAAAAGTTTAGGCGCCTAACTTGGGGTGTCATATGGGCATGCGTCTTCTCCGCAGTTTCTTTCCTCGTTGCGACCTCAGTGCAGTGCTGGCCTATCAGCTACACATGGACTAAATGGGACGGAGAACATCAAGGTCGTTGCCATGATATCAATATTCAGACTTGGGCTCATGCTTCGGTGAACATCGCACTTGATGTTGTTGTAGTAGCGATGCCCATTTCGCAAATTGTCAGACTTAACTGGCGATGGAGACAGAAAGTTGGGGCCGGTATGATGTTCGCCGTAGCGTTATTGTGAGTGGTGCTCTCCGTAACCGGGAGAAATGCGGTTGATGAAAGTTAACTTCCACTACAGGATCACTTTTGTTTCCATCCTGAGACTCAGCTCCATTAGAGACTTCATGAAGACTTCAAATCCAACATGTGAGTTGCTTTTCTAATTGCAACCGCGAGTACTAATGATCGGTAGGGGACATTGTGCCAATCTCTAATTGGTCATTCGTTGAGTTGAATGGCTTCATCTTCTGCTCCTGCATGCCCGCCTTCAGAGACTATTTCCGTCGTCTATTCGTACGACGAAGACGAACAATTCAAGGTGTAAACTCCGTATTCGGTGCCAGAGCGAGAATGAGGACTGTTGGGAATAGCCTCGTGCAACCGGGCGATCGGTTACACGAGCTGATTTCAGATGACAATGACGACAATGAGCCTGATCATTCTCTTCGGGATATTAGTCATGTGAATCTGGGAATTGGACATCTTTCAACCGGTCTCTTGGCTGCTGAAAGGGTTGAAAGCGAACCGAAAGCACCAGCCGCACAACCCTCAACTCGAGATAGAGAACCGGACGAGCAGCCTGAAGAAGTGGATCTCGGTGCTCTGAAGCATTTGGCACCTTGGGTCTCTGAAGGAACAGGTAAAGAGAATGGCGAATGCTCGGGCGTTAGATTCCCGAGATCCAGTGAGAGTTCTCTGTGAGGTTAACATCGGGGCCAAGGACGGAATCGGTAAGGACACACAAGGAGTAGATCGGTGCCAGGGAGGAGTAACAGTCGCAACGATTCGCAAAATTCGAGGGACCGCCTAAATCGAAGGGTTGAGGAAATCAATCTGGTAGTAAAGGCTAGTTGACCTGTTGGATCAATAAATTGCCTCTGCATAAGAAAGCAGAGGTCTGGTGTAAAAGATTCCCAACACAGTTGATATGACGGACGATGGTAACATCTCCAGGAGCTCAGGTTCATGATGTCTACGGAATCTTAACTCTGTAGTATTTGTGTAATCACTCCGTCGAATACACTGTAGCTGATCACAAAGTATTAGCTTGCGTCGTAGTCAGTTGGTACAGTGACGACCAAGTATTAGTCGGAAAGAAAATCAAGTCTATGTTGAGAGGAAGAAGACGTAGTGTGAAAGAGGTGGAAGATCCTCTAAGTTGGGGGGAGGCAGGCCATACATGGCTGGTACTTAAGTCGACTATAGAACACAACGAAGTCGGCGAAAGGCCCCTAAGTAGGACATTGCTTCGGAAATACTGACTAGATACCAGTTGAGGGCAAATGGTCCGTTGTAAGAAGTCAATCGATAGGTTGGTATCCCACTTTTCGGTGTTATGAAACCACAAGGATAGGATCGGTGTCACCCAATGGATCGATCACAAGCCCTTTCGGAAAGGATTCCTATGCGGTATTTCAGTGGGAGCCTTGTCATGGCGAAGCACATCCAGGTAAATAGCTATTTGTATGTAACGATTGGCTTGTGAAAGTTTTCATTGGATCACGCATCCGAGCCAGCTGGTTGCAAAACGCAAGTAGCCCCCAGATTGGGAGTAGCTGGTTGGACATCGAGGGGTGAAAGCAGGCTATCTCTCGTCGCCAAGTTCCTGTACTTAGGAGTCAGGAATCGAAGTCTTCTACGTTAATTATCGTAGGGCTTTCATCCCAACCTGCCCCGCGCTTGTCCAACTATCCATGTGGGTGAGACGTCGTGTTTGGAAATACGCGGCGCGATGCATGACTGCCGACTTGCCTAGCCTGGAATTGACTTGCCTATCTGAAGTAAAATAGGCAAGTCGTGAGGTCTACTGCGGCTGAAAACTTACCTCTCCTGAACAAACGCCATACCTGATCGCGGGGTATTCTCTAAAAAGGCAACTTCCAATCTGGGACGTCTTGGATAGGAAAGTTGGGTCCGATTAACGCGATCAACGCGATCTTGGCATGCGGGGGACGTGTGAAACTAGAGATGGTGGACGCTGTCTCTGCCGTGACCCTTGATCTGGACCCATCAGAAGACGCTGGTTTCGTCTGACAGGGACAAATTGGTGACGAGATAGGCAACTTTTTGTTCCTCGGAAGATGTCCGCCTGCACTAGAGACGCTTGAAGAGCATGAGAATGACTATTCTGGTATTTCCAACGCTGGCACTCCGCGGGATACATATTTCGTGGCGTTTATGTTTGACAATGAAGTCAGCTGACTGTACCGGACATAATGACTATTTCAAAGCTCGCTATACAAGCCTGTTGTTGAGCTGGTCTGCTAGCCAAGGTAGCGTCGGAATCGAAACCTCAAGATCTTCACACCTCGGCGGACAAGCTCTCCAAGTCAACCGAGACACGACTCAATGATGTACGCAGTCATAGTTCCTTTGGCAGCTTTGCTGAGCCTCTTCTTCTACTTTATCGTCTACCCTTTAACGTGAATGATAAGCGAGTGAGACAGACAAGCGAGTGAGACACAAAACTGCGCCGATGATGCTTCAACACAAATGGAGACGTTTCTTCCACAACACATCATGGCATCCAGAAGTAATGAGTCAGGCATACAGCTGGCCCTTCAAGCTATCAGAATCAATCCAGAGCTTAGTGCACGGGCTGCAGCTACGATCTACTCGGTCAGCCATGCAACATTGAGTCGACGATTGAAGGGCTCTACATCTCGAAGCGACAGGATACCGAACTCGAGGAATCTTACTTTGCTAGAAGAGCAGACGTTAGTTGATCACATTCTCGATCTAGATGCCCGATCATTCCCTCCCCGGATCCGTGGTGTGGAAGAAATGGCTGATCGACTGCTTGCTGATCGCGACGCGCCTCCGGTTGGGAAGCGCTGGGCCTTAAACTTCGTCAAACGACAACCACAATTGCGGACGCGGTTTTTTCGGAGGTACGACTACAAGAGGGCCCAATGCGAGGATGCAGAGGCTATTCGCGGCTGGTTCGCTCTTGTGAAGAACACAATCGCGAAGTATGGTATCGATGAGTTTGATATCTACAACTTTGATGAGACTGGCTTTATGATGGGCCAGATTGCATCTGGCATGGTTGTCACAAGTACTGAAAGGCGTTCAAACACAAAAATGGCGCAGCCTGGTAATCGAGAATGGGTTACAGTGATTCAAGCCATCAACTCGCAAGGCTATAACGTCCCGCCGTACATCATCGTTGCAGGCCAATATCACCTCTCAACCTGGTATACAGAGTCAGGTTTCCCGGACGACTGGGTCATTGCGACGTCAGAAAACGGATGGACAACAAATGAAAGAGGCCTAGATTGGATCCAGCACTATGATCGTCATACGAAACCACGTTTGAGAGGCCAATATCGCCTCCTCGTCGTCGACGGGCACGAAAGTCACCACTCAACAGACTTTGAGCTATATTGCAAGGCAAACAAGATCGTTACACTTTGTATGCCGCCTCATTCGTCTCATCTACTCCAGCCCCTTGACGTTGGGTGCTTTGGTCCGCTAAAGACGGCGTATGGGCAACAAATTGAGGATAAGATGCGGCGGGGCGTAACCCACATCTCAAAGGAGGACTTCTTTCCTGCATATCGCAGCGCATTTAGTCAAGCGATGACTGAAAAAAACATCCAAGGGGGTTTTAGAGGAGCTGGGCTTGTTCCTCTGAGTGCAGAAAGCGTCCTATCAAAGCTGGATATCCGGCTACACACTCCAACGCCTCCAGCATCACTACCACAGACACCTCCGCCTTGGGTTTCAAGGACACCAAACAACCCAGTAGAGGCAAGCTCTCAATCCAACTTTATTAAGAGTCGGATCACTCGTCACCAAAGCAGCTCCCCAACCTCTATTTGCGAGGCTGTTGAACGACTTTCTAAAGGTACAAGAGGCATCATGCACCAAGTAGCCTTACTTAGATCTGAGGTACAGATTCTTAGAGACGAGAATAACCAACTCAGTCGACGACGGAGAACTAAGAAAACACGCCTACAACATGGAGGAAGTCTTACTGTAGCTGACGCAGCAGATATACAGTCACAGAAAGATGTGACTGCGCAGGTTCAGGAGGAAATGCGTCGTACTAGTGGTCGCAAACTGAGGGCCGAGATAGGTCAGCGACGGTGTGGCGTTTGTGGTCACCCGGGACACAATTCACGAACGTGCCAGTTTATTGAAGAGATGTCTGAAGATGAGGATTATGAGTAGTTTGAATTGAATTGATGCTGTTGATGTTGATATGGAAGCCAGTTTATCTCATCGGCGCAGTTTTGTGTCTCACTCACTTGTCTGTCTCACTCGCTTATCATTCACGTTAGTCGAGTACTTCCGAGACCCCAAGAGGCTGCGTCGATTCCCGGCCTTCAAGCCATTGGCTGGCGTGACCAACCTGGTTTTCATGCGCGAAGCTGCACTCGGCTTCCGATCCAAGACCCTCTACGAGAAACACAAGCAACATCCCGTGCTTCGAACTGGGCCCAACTCACTTTCGTACGGCACAGTTGATGCTATCAAGGACATCTACGGGCACGGAACGAAGTGCCCCAAGGGTGAATTCTACGAAACCTTAGCAGGAACCCACTTCCACCTGGCCGATGTCGTCGATAAGGCCGATCACGCTAGAAAGCGTAAGGTTCTGTCGGCGGCGTATGCGTTGAAGAACCTCAAGAACTGGGAACACAAAGTCGCTGATAAGGCCGAACGCTTTATTGTCGGTTGCGACAAGGCCTGCACTCAGCCCCTGAAGGAGGTTCTCCGTCCAGACCCGGCTGACATTGCTTTCGATTACAGAGCGTGGGCTAACTATTTCAGTCTCGATGCCATTGCCGACATCGGTCTATCTGAGAAACTTGGATTCCTAGACCAGGGTCACGATCTTGTGCGCGCCGAGCGCATGGATGGATCCATTCACGAGGTGAACTACAGAGCCTGTCTGCATTCGACCGCCATCGCCCAATCGATCACCGTTTGGGCGGGTGATTGGTATAAGTTCAACCAGCGGCTAACGTCTTTGATCTCGCCAACCTTTCGTCGATGGTGGAACCTGAACAAGGGATGGGATGGTATCGTCTATCACCGTGCAACCCAGCGACTCAAACGCTACCAGGCCGGGAAGAAGCTGGAAGATTTCTTCCAGGCTTTGATGGAAGACAAGAACGGGACTCCCAATGGGCTTGACTGGGGCGAAATTGTCGCGGAGGTGTCCATCATGATGAATGCCGGCTCAGACACGACGGCTATTGCCATGAACAACGTCATGTACTGGTTGCTGAAGAATCCTCGGTGCATGGAAAAGTTGCGCGAGGAAATCGATGCTGTTATGGAGCCCGAGGAAGTAGTGGCACCGCACGATAAGATCAAGCACTTGCCGTACCTGCGAGCGTGTTTTGACGAGTCACTCCGGATCGTGCCGCCAACGACATTTGGTCTTCCGCGAAGAACTCCCCCTGAGGGAGCCTGCGTCCTCGGAGACTTCATTCCTGGTGGTAGGACGGTTTCCATTTCGGCGTACATCGTCCACAGGGATCCCAAGATCTTTCCGGAGCCCGAGTCATACGTCCCGGAGCGCTGGCTCGGTGACAAGGGCAAAGAACTGCAACCATACTTTGTCAGCTTCAGCGCCGGTGCGCGAGGATGCATCGGACGGAACATCAGTTACCTTGAGCAAACGGTTCTGTTGGCGAGTGTCTTGCACAGATACAACTTTGCCTTGCCCTTCCCAGAGTGGGAACCGGAGAGACGGGAGGCTATGAACCTCATGCCGAGCCCGATGCCTTTGAAGGTTTGGCGCAGGGAGTTAAAGCAAGAAGAATGAGACAAGAGACATGGCCGAGAACGTTCAGTCACCGATAAAGATAGGTCACGTCTGACAGGCAATGCGAGGATCTGATAGCTAATGTCAAAACAATTGAATCATGACCCCTTGAGCCAAGGGAGTAAGTGAGACGAATGCAAAGGTTCAACGAGTACGAATCACTATTAAAATAGGTTTACACAGAACACTACAGGTCGCGTTGCTCACTGGGTTTAGGGCTAATCCGCCGTTCCAGCTCGCGCGCGCGCGTTCAACATGGATGCAATAGGCATCCCAGGGGGCGATGGGGAATCCTCCCAACCCCAAGCTTCTCTGATCTGAGACTGTCTGCTTGCCGTTAGCGCCATGTTGCAGCGACTACATGTAAGGGACAGGGTCTACTGACGCCGCAAGGGTCGGCCACCCCAGCCGCCTGTCAGTCTTGACGAGGATCCTGTACAACTCCTCTTGTTCTTTTCGGTCTGTAAAACGATCGCCCGCCATAGTGATTGCTATGCATGCGTTCCTGTAGCGTCGCGACGGTCAGATGGTGATCAAAGCAAGCGAAAATTCCTGCAGACAAGCACTTACACATATGCTGGAGGTGTTCTTTCGTTCGCCTATCAACGTGGCACCACGCCGTTAGCAGATAAGTTCACCAAGGTCTATGGTGTTTATGAACAGCAAACTTACCACTGCAAGGCCGCATATCACCCGAACAGTCTGCTTGAGTTCTTCCTCCATTGCGCGGAAAGCCGTACCAAGCCTCGCAACCTTGGGGCTGTGGGCAATCAAAAGCATCCGAGCCAGATGATAGTGCTGGAGACCAGTAACAGCGGCGTCGGTGATGTACTGTTCTTCAAGCAAAAAACCAGATTCTGGATTTGCCCACATCGCGTCGAAGTACCATGGTTTCTCTTTCCACCAGACATCGAGATCCTCTTTCAATTGCGCGTAGCTTCTTACATAGTTGTCTTCCTGACCGTAACAGTAGCTAAGACACATTGCACAGATGCTTACGGCCTTATTGGCATAGTAGCAATCCACGGCATTCTCGTCGCTATTACCGCGTTCCTGTATCCGCTGGATGCTTGGGAAGAAGTTATGATGGACCGGACGGGTATGGACAAATGCCATGCATATCTCTTGTCTCAGGGCAAGCCAGAAGGCAGACAGCCGCAGAGTACTAAAGTCGGCGGCGTTTTCCTGTGCGGCGAGCAGAATCTTGGTACCCATCAGATGGGATTCGAGGGTCATTGAACCAATATCGACTTCTTCCGTGAAACGCAGAATTACCACAGCAGCCAGGAGGTTGTCGTCCACAACCGCCGTCGAAGACGAGAGTGCCGGGATCAACGATTGAAGGCAAATTTGATGGTATCGGTCGGCAATAACTCCATCGACACCAATCGTTCGGCTTAAGCGTTTCGCGGAGGCCGAAAACATCGCGTTCAGTAGCGTTGGGCAGTACACTGCTCTCTTCGGCACGACCTTGGCAAAGTGTCTATCGCTGTCGCACATGTCGAAAAGAGGGGCAAGATTGTCCACGAAATATCTGTAGAGAAAGGCTTCCTGACGGTCTTGAAGGGGCCACAAGGGGTTTTCGACGTAGGTTCGATCATGATCGGCAGATTGGTCCTCGAGTTGGGGATCTATCGCTTCAAAGATGTGATGAATATTAGGGAAGTCGAGTGTCAGGTCTTCACCGAGGTGAAGAAGATCCCATTGTATGGAGGATCCGGTATGACCGCTTGATGCAGATGCTTCGTCGTGGCCATGGGCATCTTTGGATGGATGTCGAACGGTATCTGTTATTGTAGCGTTCGTGTTGAGTCTTGGTCGTAAGCGTCTCGGGTGCTTCCTGGTACTGTCTCGGCTGGAGAGGTCGTCATCTGAGGCTTGCGACTTTACTGCAGAGGTTCGAGAATGTGACATCAACTCTGGGACTGGAGAAGAAGCGGCAGATAGTAGCGCAAGATAATCCTGTGGACTATCAGGTCTACGCGGAGTCCCTAGATAGATGTTTGCGCTGCCGTCGTCGACGCCTGGCTCCCTCGTGACAGCAGCGTGGATGTTGACCACATCTTCAGTCTCGTCGACAAAGCTGAAAGATCGGTTCGTGGTTCGCACCCAAGTTTGCCTTTTGGAGAAGCTGTACTCGCTCTTGGCAGCCCCAGTTCCTCTCTCTGACTGAACACTTGTCGCAGAAGCAGGGTTTGAGTTAGCTGGAGGGGTTCGACCGAGGCGCGATTACTGAACTTGTGTCCACGTACCTAGGGTTCAACGTGTGTCTGAAGCGTACACTATATCCGCGGGTACACTCGACTCCAGATCTTTGACAATTAGAACACGTTGATCGACTTGAATCACCTGCTCCTCGTCAGCGGCAAGCAAGGATGGCAATCAAGGCAATATTCGCCGAGTTTGAGATACTGGGACCCGAGGCCATCAGCCACGAATAGACTCCCGGTGGGATGATACGGACACCGGTGGGAGGTAAAGCAGCCGCAAAAGGAACAAAGGGGTTGCTTACATTTCAGATGCCTATCGCGTAGAACCAATCAAGTTGTCAGAATAGGCGTTCATGATAGCTCAGAAAGACCGTGTTTGGGAGGCATGGGGGAGCAATCGCGGGCCACGGGCCTTGTCAGGTCCATCTCGCCGGAATATGCGTCCCGCCGCGTCATAACTCACCTTAATCTGCAGATCTACAACATGCATGTCAACAAAACAGCTCTCAGCGGCGTAACGAGCCGCGGATGGCTCCATCGGGTGATCCTACGCCACGCAACATGGACATTCTCGCCGGCCCTAAGAAAGACGAGGGGACGGGGTTGAGAGAGATGGTAGGGTTGGAAAGAATACTTACGTTACACGGATTCGTCCGGGTCTGTACTCGGTTCATGTTCTGGACCCGCCGGGTGCTGGATGTGTCCAGCATCCAGTATGTGCGCTGAGACGTGTGGTTCCCGCGTAGACACTGGCATGCAAGAAAAACAGCCTGAGGGCAGAGATTTCCTGGGCGTTGATTTGATGGTTAATAGGGGGGGGGGGGGGGGGGGGGGGAGAGACTCAAAGCGATATTGTGTGAGAGTGATGGTTTGGTGGCGGGGGAGCTCGGGGTTGGAGACTCGTAGGATAACTGACGAGTACTGCTACAACAGCTTCTTTCCAGGCTAGCAACTTGCAAAAATGGCTTACTGACATTGGATTTAGGTAACCCTGCCGAAGCGGGAAAGTCGTTGGGTTTTGGCGGTAGGCGGAAGACATGGGAGATGATGGAGTGGATGAAAGCAGGTCAAATAGGAAACACGAGGGAAATAAGACTGACTTGCCTATTTGAAACTGGATAGGCAACTTTCCCCCGCACCCACCATGCATACACCGCTAAAACTCCACCAGCGCCAGTACGGCACCAGGACTAGACTAATTCACCCTCGTGGTGATGAGATGGAGAGTTCTACACGTACCCCAGGGCTGGCTTGAATTTCCGGATGGAACCCCGGCTGGGACATGAGTCCCGCGGAATACTATCTTGCTCATGGTACGAATGCGTGAATCCGGGGAAAATCCGGGGGAAGCTTCGTTGACTGGGCTCGTCTAGACTTCGGCAAGGCTTGGCGCCTCTACCAACATGGATACTAGTTCTCGGTATTTGCTATCTTGTCATTGGCTCACACAGCATCATGCCTTTCCATCTTCCCGGAGGTCAGCCAACCTGCGCAGATTAGGGTGTCATTGAAGATAACTCACGCAGAGCTTGCTACTTGACTACCAGCTAATTGGGCCTTCAGCGAAGTCTAGCAAGGCGCTACTCATGAACCAACACCTTGACCGGGGCCATCCCGTCGCTCCACTGCTTTCAGCTCATCACTCCGACTGTTGATATAAAGACCTCACTCTACCCCAGGTCTTCCCCAGATTATCACGAACAGCACTCCACTGAGCATTGCCCCTCGAGCCAAATGGGAACTTCCGCCTTCTCTCAGCTCATCTTGTCATCTTCATTATCAAGACTCTACTTAGCTCGTTACTCGCACTCCAAGACTCCCACTATGGAGACCAAAGACTTCAAGGAAATGACCCAGCATAAGGAGACCGTAGCCGACGGCTCCTCTGAGATTCAAGTCGGCCTCGATGGGCTTGATTCTATTGAACAGACTCGAACGGGCAAGTTCTCGTGGCTGGTCTCCATCACGGCGGCTATTGGCGGCATGTTGTTCGGCTACGATACAGGCATCATATCGGCCGTGTTAGTTTACATCGACAACGACCTCGGACACACCCTCTCCTCGTCCGAGAAGGAACTCATCACGTCAATCACATCCGGTGGTGCCTTCATCGGTGCCATCTTCGCCGGAGCCACAGCGGACCGCTTCGGACGCAAGATTGCCATCTACGTCGGCAGCTTCTTATTCACTGCCGGTGCCGTCATTCAAGCTGCCGCTAACTCACTGGCTCTGATGACTGTCGGTCGTCTTGTTGTTGGATCTGGCGTCGGCTCCGCAGCCATGATCATTCCACTGTATATTTCACTAGCAGATGATGGCAAGATTGGTCACGACCTTTGCTGACATGGAAACCAGGTACATTGCCGAGCTCTCCCCAGCCAAGTACCGCGGCCGTATGATTGGCCTTGACAACATGTGCATCACGGGCGGCCAACTAGTCAGCTATGGCGTCGGGGCTGGCTTCGCGCATGTACACGGCGGGTGGCGTTACATGGTCGGCGGCGGCGCGATCCCAGTCATCATCCTAGCCTGCATGCTGCCCTTCTGCCCAGAGTCGCTAAGACAGCTAATCTATCACGGCAAGGAACAGGAGGCCGAGAAGGTTATTCGAAAGATTTTCCCCAATGGAACCGACGAGCAAGTCCGGATGAAAGTCCGTCACATCACCCTCCACGTCGAGGAGGCCAAGAATATGAACGCCGGGAAGTCGCAATGGTGGGTGCTTAAGCAGCTCTACGTTTTTCCGTCGAACCTCCGCGCCCTGATTGCGGCGTGTGGACTCATGGCCATTTCTCAATTGAGTGGCTTCAACAGTTTGATGTTTTACTCCGGGACCTTATTCAAGCTCGTTGGTTTCAACAATCCCGTGGGAGTCGGAACCTGTATCAGCATATAGAGTAGCTCATGGAAATCGGGATCTCAACTGTGGTCTAATCAACTATGGAAAAGGGGAAAAGGGAAGCCCTCGAGGGAGCCCCTTTTGTATGCCCCTACCCCTGTCTACCTACCCCTTATCTCTACCCCCGAGATACCCACTGCTATACCTCTTTCGTGACAGAACCATTATTGCCGGGACCAACTTTTTCTTTACGCTTGTCAACCTGTTACTCGTAGACCGAGTCGGTCGTCGCAGAATTCTACTATGCACGGTACAGTTCATGGGTCTATTCCTGATTGTAGCCGCGGTCGCCTTCAAATAGATCCCAATCAACCACGATCTATCTCTTGGAGAGGGTGCGACTGTTGGACCGCCAGCCATCATCGTTCTTGTGAGCATGGTGTTCTTTGTCGGATTCTATTCCTCGGGTATCGGCAACACTGCTTGGCTGAGCAGCGAGTTCTTCCCAATGGAGGTGCGCGCCATGGGCACCATGATGCTGACGATGAGCTGCTGGGGTTCTAATATCATTGTCGCCTCCACCTTCCTGACACAGATGGAAAACACCACACTCTCTGGCGCGTTTGGATTTTACGCGGCCATCTGTGTGCTCGGGTGGTTCGCCATCTATTTCTGCTACCCGGAGGTCAAGAACATGACGCTCGAGGATATTCGCGAGGTATTCAGTCACGGGTTTGGAGTCAAACGTGCGAGGGAGATCCAAAAGCAGATGAAGGCTGGTCGAAAGATGGAATCGGTTTCGGAGGAGAACGTCAAGGTGTAGATAGAGCTGTGAGAGTTCGGGGCCCGTGTCTGCAGAAGGTCGAAGCGCTAGTTGCACTTGGAGCAACCACGTTTTGGGATCGTTTAGACGGTAACGTGGTGAGTCCGAAGGTCTGTGGTCTGTGGTCTGTAATCATGTAGAGCCCGAAAGCTTAAAGTTAAATGGCGGATAGAAAGATTAAATGCTAGCCATCCACTTACCGCCAGGTAAAGTCAATCTGTTTCCGCAGCTTTTACAGTTTCTTTCCGCAACTCTTATCTCATTGGCCAAGTCGATGGATCAAAGTAAGGTAGAATCAACGAATATTTCCGCGACAGAGTCGTCACCAACGGTATCCTGAAGTCGAGACTGTTTTTGAAGAACGAAGGAGGGAGTAAAGCAAGCTGGGAAAGCCCAACAACCAACTATCAAATGCCGGGCAGGCTATGATGAGGGACCTTTGGTCGGGTACTTGGTTGTAGGAATCACCGTATCACCCTTGGCGGCCTGTCCATCCATTATCTACCTTGGTCTCATCAAAGACCCAAAGCCTGTACTATCATTTTACGGGCAATCGGGCTGGGTGATCCATGAGTACGAGATCTATACTGTTCCGGCCTATCTTTAGCGGCATTGTCACCCCTAGTGTCCGCCGCCGGCACGTGTTTGGGTGCTGGGCAGGGGTCGCCCTCTTTGCTACAGGCGGAAGCTACCCAGAGTAGAAGACTTACCTTTCCGAGTGTTTACGAATAATTATACGAAAAATCCCTAAGCAAGTAAGTCAAGCCGACGCTGACACCATGCTGCACGAATTTGAGGTAGTTTAACGCGTCCCTGCCCTTCCGCTTCGTCGGTGGCATAGAAGAGCAGTTAGGACACTGAAGATTTTCAGATGATCTTGTAGTTTCCCAGAGTCTACTTTAAGGTGCGTCCAAGACCTCTGAAACTTTTCTTTGCGTTATCTGCAGGCTTACACTGAAGTAAATTCGGGATTCGAAATCGACATTTCTGCCGGGTCATCTGCTCAGGGCGTTGCTCAAGCGGACTGCTCAAACGTTTGCTAAGGAAAGGCGGCATGGCCTCCGTGGGAGCGCCGCATAAATGCTACAAATTTACTGCACTGTGTGATGAACATCGGCGCTCGACCGCCGTGTGGGTCTTGCGGCGCAACTCATGGGGCAACACTCGGTGAAGGTGGCTCGGCGCCTCGGTGAGGGTTTTTTTATCGGAGTATGGACACCGACGATAAGAAGATGGCCCCACCTGCCGAACCCAAAAATTTGACCCTGCAAAGACGGCATGGGGAACTTTTTCCAGCCAAAGTCGAGTACCAGAACCACCACCCTCCATCAACACCAATTGACTACAACACATAATCCACAACCATGGCCGGAACAGCTACAAAGAAGCGGACAAACGATGGCCGCCTTGCGCCCCCAACCAAGAAGCAAAAGCGACAAGAAAAGAAGCAAGCCGAGCCCGCCTCCGACAACGAAGAACAAGAATTCGACGCGGTAAACCTCCTCGATTCTGACGATGATATTCACAACGCGGCCGTCGACGATGGCGCTGCCTCGGAAGACGACTCAGCGAGCTCAGGCGATGATAAGCGCCCAGCACCGAAGCAGAAGACAAAACCCGCCCCCAAGCCCAAGAAGAGCAGAGACGCGCCCGTGGGCACCGACTCGGATTCCGATTCAGAAGAAGATGAAAGCGACGACGGCGGCAACCCCAATTTCATCAAGTCCAAACGCAATGACCCATCCGCCTTCTCAACATCCATGTCGAAAATTCTGTCCACCAAGCTTTCCAACGCGAAACGAGCAGACCCCGTCCTCGCCCGCAGTGCAGAGGCCCACCAGTCCGCCCAGGCGGCCGTCGACCAGGCGCTCGAGTCCAAGGCGCGCAAGCAAATGAGGGCACAGAAGAAGGAGGCATTGGAAAAGGGCCGCGTGCGCAACGTGCTGGTCGCACCGGAGACGGAAGAGACGTCAACGGGAGAGATGATTGAGACGGAGCGGAGGCTGCGCAAGGTCGCGCAGAGGGGTGTTGTCAAGCTTTTCAACGCCGTGAGAGCGGCGCAAGTCAAGGCCGCCGAGGCAGAGAAGAAGGCACGCAAGGACGGCGTCGTGGGTGTCGTGCGGAGGGAGGAGAAGATCAACGAGATGAGTAAGAAGGGATTCTTGGACCTGATCGCGTCCGGAGGAGGAGGTCTGAAGAAGGGCGGATTGGAGGAGGCTTAATTCAGAATGGATACCAATGGATACCAATGCCTTTGCACAGGCCGGGCTGTTTTACCACCCATCGTTCACCAGATTTGCCAAGGTTATAATAATCTTAAGAGGAGTGATGTTAATCCCTCCCACCATCCTTTAATACCCGCCAATATCTAGCATAAGCCGAGCCGAGCCGATGTATCCCATCCGTGATGCCGCGCTTGATTGATGAACACCTCACCTATTTTTCTCCCCGGTAGACCTTTTCCCTTCTGTTTCTGACACGATGTATGTATGATATAGTACAAATGATTAAATAATTGTGTGGTATGCCGCTTCCAACGCCGCAATGCTGAAAGAGTGTGTGCCTGCTATTTGAAGTCGCTGGCCTGGAGGTTCCGTGTCATCGAGGGCAGCTTGATCTTGAGGCCGTCCAGCTCCTTTGTCATCGTTATCTGGCAGCCCAATCGACTTGTCTCGGTCAAGCCAAACGCCAGGTCAAGCATGTCGTTCTCGTCATCTTCGGGCTCGGGCATCTTCTCGTAGTATTCCTCTTCGGCGACGATGACGTGGCATGTTGAGCAGGCGCAAGAGCCTCCGCAAGCACCTGGGGATGTGTGGTCAGCATATTTTATGTCCCGGGGTTGCCACCAAGAATCTTGTTACATACCCTCCATCTCCAAGTCGTTATCTTGCGCAACGTCAAGAAGGTTATCCCCTTCGCTTACAGCGATCTTGAACTCGTCTCCGTCCTTATCGACGAATGTCACCCACAGCCTGTGGAATATCATCAGTATAAGCCTCGGTAGACTGCGGTGGACGGTCTCACTCTTCGCCCGCCTTCGGAGGGGTGATGTGGCCATGCGCCTGGACAGCCGAAGCCGAGAAAGGACGCGCCGAAGGCCACTGAAGCTGTCTGGAGGGAAGCCGTGTCGGCCTCTTGGATACAATCTGGCTGTGGATGCTTCGGGTCTGTCGTTGCACCGGGCGGGCCTGTCGGCATGCGCTGGCAGCCACCCTGCAGAGGCTTGTGCTGAGTCTGGTTGAAGACATGGTTGTTGGGTATGAGTCCGTTCTCGGCTTCACAGCCGGGATTCTAAATTTCTTCTCGGTGTAAGGGAAGTCAATGGGAGGCGCGCCGCAAGCTCGAGGGCACGGTGGAAGGAGAAGAAGCAACAACGAGGGGCTATGAGGCAATTGTACACAAGCGACACCACGGTCCAGCAGTCAGTTGAGTTGTTTAGCTTGCTCGGTTCGTGGGTGGTGGGTGCCCGCAAGCAAGGACAAAAAGTTGTTGGAAAGCTTCGATAAATGCGCAAGGGAACTGTGGAGAAGCATTGGATTCAGGGAAAATTCTATAGGCTCGGACGCCTGCAGGAGCTCCGATAAGGCCCACACCCCTCGGGCTTATCGGCCGGCGATTCGCAATGTTCCGTCTCCGGAGATCTCTGGCCCGCTGGAGCGGAGGTACGTATCTAGATGCTGCCGTCACCGCTCACTGCTCAGAGCCCTCCAGCTGGACGGGGCGGATCCCATTGGCCGACGGTTCACCAGCGGAGTCTTTCAGCTGTTACCAAGCACCAAAAATGGAAGCACCAGGGAAGGCGCGTCCACTGAGCTGTCCACTGTCGTTTGTGCTGGCCCCGCTAGCCTTTATCTCCGAGGTGATTTCCATTTCATCATGCAAAATTGGTAGCAAAAGTGGAAAGCTCCCGAAATCATGCATCACGAGAGTTGAGCCATAAACAAACGCCAAACGAGACCATGGCTACTCAACGAGACGGGGTGAATCCCCTCAGACCATACTACAAGCCGCCGACCATAGGAGAGCCTCCCGACCCGACATCTGCCTCGTCTGCCCCGAACCCTTTTGCCCGCCATGGAGCCAATGCTACGAGCGAACGGTACGCGTCCAAGGCACGCGACATGTTTTCCGACATCGACTACAAGGACTACATCAGCGAACCGTCTCCTTCTGTCGTTCAGACTGTCAAGGACCTCGTCGACGAGCTGCTATGGAAGTACACCTCCGTTCTGATGGCCCAGCCTTTCGAGGTTGCAAAGACGGTTTTGCAGGTCCGGAGCCATGATGACGTGACTTTGGCGGCAATACCGACACCTGTGGCCACGCCCGTCTCCGAGAGAAGGCGTTCCGGCTATGGAAATACGGCATACGACGAAGCTGATTCGGACTCGGATCTTGACGAGCCTGCCTACTTCACCTCGAACGTCCCGAGCACGCCGACCCCGTCCTATTCCAGGGACCATCGGGGCCGTCAGTCTCCCTCCTCCTCCACACCTCCACAGACGCCGGCAGCGAAGCAGCAGTCTGTGCCGGCTCACCAGATTACAATCCGTCGATCCGACTCGTTGATGGAAGTTATTGGTCAACTGTGGCAAAAGGAGGGAGCTTGGGGTGTGTGGAAGGGATCGAATGCAACGTTCCTATACTCTGTGCTTTCTTCACTGTTGGAAAACTGGTCCAGAAGTGCTCTGAGTGCATTGTTCAATGTACCAGATCTCGGCGTCAAGGAAGATATTGATCGGCTGATTGATATTGCCTCGCCCTATCCGTGGGCCTCCCTGTGCGTTGCCGCTGCTGCGGCCGTTGCAACGGGTTTCATTCTCGCACCTCTGGACCTGGTGCGCACAAGGTATGTCACTGGCTGTCTCATGTTTACTCGGGTTCCAACCAAGGCAGTGCTAACTCCGGGGACAGACTGCTTGTCACACCAATTTCAAAGAGGTCAAGGAGAACACTTCCGACCCTGCGAGCTCTCCCATCCTACGTCTGCCCCTCTTCGCTCGCCATCCCCACGATCTTCCATTCGCTGATCCACCCCATCCTCACCCTGTCGACACCACTTGTTCTACGGACCAGGTTCCTTATCGACAGCCGCGTCTCTCCGACCACATTCTCAGTCGCCAAGTTCTGCGCTTCTTCGGTAGCACTGTTCGTCAAGCTTCCTCTCGAGACCGTCCTCCGGCGCGGCCAAGTCGCCGTCCTCTCCACTCCCGCACATGTCCGGGCCCTATCAGGCAAGGACCAGAAGCTCGAGACTATTGTCCCGGCTGGGCGTTATAACGGTGTCCTCGGCACCATGCTTTACATCATGAATGAGGAAGGCACCCGGGCGATCACCACCGCGCCCGCACCGGTGAAGGAAGTCAGGGGCGGCAAGCCCAAGGTTGCAGAAACGGTCTATCGCAAGGGTCAAGGACTCGACGGCCTATGGCGCGGCTGGAAGGTCTCCTGGTGGGGCCTGGTCGGACTTTGGACCGCTGGGGTCATCGGGAACAGTGCCGAGGGTGAATTCTAGAAGAGGGATTTTCAAGCGAGCTGTCCAATGGCCGATATGCAACACCTTCAACCAACGGCCGAATGCAAAGTGCGAGTGCGAACAACAAAACAACCAACTGTAATTCTGCTGTACTAGAAGTGTACTTGGGCTGCGGGATTCTTGGCGTTATGGGGACAAATTTTCGAACTTCTGAACAACTCTCTCCTCTACGACCATGATGAGATACGGTATGATATCCTCCTCCTTTCGAATTTTGATTGCACCAAAGCGAAGCAAAGGAAAAACAACCATCGAAACGCTGTACTCTCTGTACCTTTTTTCCGTCCTGCTGGAATTCAAACTCTATAGTCTCAGGGGCCACTGAGCCATTACTCCTAATAGAACATTCTGCGTTAAAATTAGTCCTTTCCGTCACACTCTCTCATTTAGCCCAATTTATGTGCGAATCCCAAGGTTGTGTTACCCCTCCGTCAGATTTAAATACGTCCGTATCTGTGGGATTTCGCTAGAACTTTCTTCGTACGACGCCAGAAACTGGTTCGAGGAGGACGCCAACACATTTACCCACCAAGCCGTGCAGGGTGCCTGCATGGAGAATGCAGCTGTCAGTAGCACCAAGGGGCTCATCGTGGCAGGTCACCTGCGGATTTTGGGCATCTATCTCTCCTCCAGGAACGCCAATGAGTCAATGACAGCCTGGTAGGATGTTTCCGCACCTGTGAGCGAGGCAGGATCCGCGAAGCCTCTCCTTGACTATTAGCCACCGGATGCTCGAGTGCCCGTCTGCAAGATTGGCGCCACAGCTCCTCAAGAGCTGTCCACATGCCATTCATGCACACTGCAAGCCTTTTCCCTCAGGATCCGAGTGGACATGGACCCTAGGCAGACAAGGGCCGGTATCGTGGGTTCTCGTCCGATGGCAGCATGTCATCGTACTTGGATTATCGTGTTGGTTCGTTGCAAAAGGGGGTCGGCCTGCCTGGTCTTTCACATGGAGAGGCGCCCAAAAGGGGGACGACGTCCGATGGATGAGACAAAAACTTCAAAAGGGGACCAGCGCGGCCTGTCCTTTCGTAAACGGTCCTGTTGTAATGCAATCACCTTACACATCACATCTCAACTCGTTCTTCATCGCTTCCTCACGTATTTCGAACTACTCAATATCCCCCATTCTACCTTCAACCAAGATCATGGCACGCACTTCAATCTTCCGCGTTAGCTCTGCCTTGAACGCTATACTCCTCGCCTGCATCATCCTCAAGCATGTTGCGTTGGGCGTTACCCGTTCTGCATTGCGCAATGCTTGCATGGTCGTTCTCATGCCCTTCATGTTCTTCCACATCGCCATCATCGAAGGCTGAGACATCGGTCTTGGTAGGAAGCCCAAGATTCAAGACGGAGATGACAACATGGAAAGCCTGCCACCGCTGTCTTTCCTTGGAAAACGGACATACATACATCAGCAATTTGCCCTCGGCTACATCGTATCACACCAAATTACCCACTCAGAAGGCAACAAGGCATACTTCAACTGCATGTCAACAACAGGGCAGCTTCAAGAGCGACAATGCCACTAGCCTTCCGGCCCGTAACGCTCCCGCGTGTCAACTTGCCAAGCATGCCACGGTCCATCCACATGGCATCGCTGCACCCCAGACGCGGGCCACCGCCAGTTTCGAGCTCCCGTCTTGGTACAAAAGCATTGGATGGGAAAGCGAGAGTCCGTTCTCGGAGGCCATCTATACTTGGGCGTCTGTTTTGCCCGGCTTTCAACCCGGAGGAGGCGTTTACGTTGACGAGGCATCCGCTAAGCATGGCTGGACCGTTCTTAGACGAAAGCGTTTGTTTTGCAGCAATCTAAACCTAAGATGGAGAGGAGGAACCTGAACTTTTCGCAATCACCGAGCCTGTGGCATTGGATGTTTCTTGCTTTGGATAATAGACAACGTTTTACATACACAATCACGCAAGATGTTTTGCCAAGTCTACATGTCCTTCTTCAGCCAGCTTGCTCTCCCGTTTAGGATGGGACCAATCACAAAGTCGATGAGTGATTCAGGCGGCATCTCAATCCGGCCCTCGGTACCGGCTCGAGTGAGGAGAGACACACTCTCTCTGAGCCCTGCACCATGCACAACATCGGGCCTGGCCGAGTGGTGCGCCCATGGACCAATGAGACTACAAGTAGGCGTAGAGTGACAGGTCAGGAGCCTTGTCATTCCAAGGGGCGCTCCCCAGACTGCTGTCGCCCTTCACAGATCAACATCCTCACGTGGTTCTCACACGCTGGTAGTCAGCCGCGTTCTTATGTCTTCCTGTTTGAGGCATGATTCTGAGGTTCCGACTCCTGATTCCTCTTGTGTCTGGAATGGAGCCTGGAAACATCTCCACCATGATCTGACAGGCTTCAGGTGTGGCTTCGATTCCAGCAGCTAGAATGTCTCCGTGGGGAACATCAGCCTCCCGTGCCTCCCTCTGACTTGGTGAGGGATTTCGCCCAGGTATGCCGCCCTGCCAAGTTGGTCGTGTAAGGTAGTCCGAAGGAGTCCGCTGGACCGCGATTGGGCCACACACGCCGCCGATGAGCGACGTTGAGACAATTGGTAACATATCTTCACGCTATCCTGCTTGACAGCAGGCTAGACTGTTGGGGAAGTACGCTAGTCGGCAAGCATCGTTTCGTCGTGTCTTCACGGAACAGATTTAGCTGCCCCATGTGTCTCGAACGAGCTCTTTCAGGAACATTCACCCTGACCCAGACATTTGGAAAGCCAGTAGGTATCGTCAACTTTAGTCTTTCGTCCTAAGATCTGACTAACCAGAACCTAGGTCATAGTGGTCGGTTGCCTCTCATGGCTCGCCAATATCCAGTCGCGAATACGGGTTCTGGCGAAAGGGTTCCTGAAGACGCCCTCCCTTGCATCCCTAAATGCAGACTTTTCTGCGTCCAGCTCCCGCACATCTGACACTCGCTTCTGCAAAGTTCCGACGTCATTCCGAGGAGACTTTAACCATCGACCTCCTGCTTCGGCCGCGGCTCGATTCCGCAGTTGGTGACAGAAGCTCCCAGCCGTTTGCGATGGGCGGCTAAACTTTGATATATCTCTCCGATACCAATAGCATGTCACTTTCGGAAGGTTGAAAGAGAGGTGCCTACTTAGTTTCTCCACGTGGCGTGGGATTGGCTTTGACCTGCCCCTGCTTCCGGCAACATGTCGAAGATTTCGCCCTACTTCATAGCTTGGAGGAGAAGGCGATGATATTGCAGGCACCTTCAACGAGAAACCTAGAATCTGCGGCAAACTCTTGTCACGCGTTGAACTTTCAGCTAGCCAGGGAGACAACGGCCAGCCTCCCTCTCGCGAAATATAAGACCATGTGAGGGAACACCTGTGCTTGGAATGTTTGACTCACGCTATCCCTAGCTCACAAATGGTGATCTCACGCGAGCAAACTCACCGGGACTATCAAGTATAAAGCTTTCAGATCAACGCTTCCAGTAGCTTCGCCCCTGAAGGAGGGGATCATCACTCTTTCTACCTTCGTTTTCACACATTCGTTCTTTTCATTCGTTGCTCATCCCTTCCCTCTTCGGACGCTTTCTAGCCCCGACTCACATTCTTTTTATACAATGGGCAACCGTAAGAAAACCGGCCTTCTAGCCGTCTTGGCATCTGCTGCTTCGGTTACTGCTCACGGTCACGTCACCAACATCGTCGTCAACGGCGTCTCATATCGCAACTACATCCCCGTCCAGGACCCATACATAAACAACCCTCCCCTTGTGGCCGGCTGGACGATAGACCAGCGCGACAACGGCTTTGTCGCACCTGACGCGTACAATGCCCCGGATATCATCTGCCACAGACAAGCAGTGCCGGGCAAGGGCCGAATCACAGTTGCTGCCGGCGATACTGTGCAGCTACAATGGACGGAGTGGCCTGATAGTCACAAAGGCCCCGTCATGGACTTCCTGGCAAACTGCAACGGACCTTGCAACGCTGTCGACAAGACAGCACTCAAGTTCTTCAAGATTGACGGCGCTGGCCTGATTAACCCCCCGCAACAAACAAACCAGTGGGCGGCAACAGTGCTGATCAATAACGGCAATGCGTGGTCCGTCCGTATCCCGCCCAATGTTGCCCCAGGTCACTACGTCCTTCGCCACGATATCATTGCCCTCCACAGTGCCGGTCAGCAGAATGGAGCGCAGAGTTATCCCCAGTGCGTCAACCTGGAGATCACCGGCTCTGGGACGGATAACCCGGCTGGCACACCGGGAACCGCTCTCTATGGAGCCAACGACCCCGGCATCCTGTACAACATCTACCGGGACAACCTCAACGACTATGTCATTCCTGGTGGTGCCATCATCCCCGGCGGGGTTTCCATGCTCCCACAGTCGAGGATCCAGATCACTGCCTCGGGCAGCGCTACCCCTTACGGCACAACGATCCGTGCAAGTTCAACTATCACAGCCTCCGCCAGTGTCCCAACTTCGAGTTCTGTTGTTCCTAGCAGATCATCAAGTACAATCAGCTTCGGCAACTCGACTTCGGATACTGTCACTCTCATCACCACTTCCACTACTGCTGCGACAACAACAATCACACTTACTCGTACAAGTTCGACCTCGACCTCCAGCTCGAGCTCAAGCAGTAGCACCAGCACCAGCAACAACTCTCCAATCAGCACTACAAGAACAACGTCTCAGACGCCGTCACCCACGACCTTTCAGACCATGACCACGACGGCACCTCCCGCCGGAGGACCGATTCAGAACCTGTACGGCCAGTGCGGTGGCTCAAACTACGCCGGTCCGACCCGGTGCCCAGACTACGCGTCTTGCGCTACTGTCAACCCGTATTACGCGCAATGCACCCCGGGTCCTGTACCGGCGGGTGCTCAGTCTCTGTACGGACAGTGCGGCGGCATGAACTGGCCGGCTGAGAGCCCGACATCTTGTGTCCCTGGCGCTACTTGCAAGACGGCAAATCCGTACTACGCTCAGTGTACTCCGGTATGAGTTATATGAATTTTGGCTGTATCACTGGATGATACTGCGTGGTGGGGAATGGTGTAAGGTAGTTTAACGATGGAGCATCGGCGTTGCATGGAAACCTGGGCGGTGTTGATTCTTTCAGCTATTTTCTTCTTCATCAAGTACTTACTACTGGTATCTAGATAACCTCCTTTTCAAAGAATAAACCAATGAGCTATCACTCAGGTCTCACTCGCCTTTTACATTCTTTGCTTGGCTTTAGATGTGATTAATTCTCAATGCCTTCTGGACTACGTTACTTCCCTCACAGCTTTATGCTAATGCGAGTCTACAGAATATGTCTACAATCGAGATCTTCTTCAGAAGGTCTAGAGCAGTCTATAGAATGTCTTAGTCTCATCTTCAAACAGACTTAGGAGTCGAACTCCGTGAGTAATCGTAATATGTCAATTGAACGACCCGGAGAGGTGGCTAGCGGCCCCTAATACCTATTCTAGAGACCGATCGTCGATGAAGAGGTTGGCCATGTTCTAGGCCTTGCCGGCCTCTTTGCTTTATTAGATAATGTGACACGACAGCTAGTTACGGTCGTTGCCGCAAGTCTCAGATCGCATGTGTCACGGGCAACTGTGCCTACTTTCGCCACCTCATGAGATCTCCCTTTTTCTGCGCACGCCACAGTTGTAGATGGCCAGATCGTGAAGTCCCATATTCGACGGATACTATTATCCTGTAGTTGGGCATGAAGCGCTATATCATCGTTGTAAGGGCTTCCTCAATTTCATGGACAACCCTTGGACGGAGTAGTAGCCTATACCAACATTTATGACGGATTAGATCAGTGTCGTACAAAAACGAATCCGTAATTTCCGGCCAGCAATTACGCCTTATTTACCACAAACAGACAATAGAACTAGGTTTAACGCTGGCAAGGCGTTCGGTTTACCCAGCGTCATTGTCTGTGAAGCAGCAACGAATGTCTGTACTACCAATTGACCTAAGACCTACTATGTGACTGCAGTGTGAACATTGTGAAACTTCACATCGGATGATCAGCGTCTGGTGTTAACTTTATTCCTGTCGTGTTTGTTTTCCGCTTGCCCATGCCCTCACCTAAGGCTTGGAGAGTGAAAACCTCTGGATCTAGAAACATAATCTCTCCAGTTGGAAAGAAAAACTATGAAACAACTGTCTCTGGTCCCGTATGTGCCCTCTCATCATATTCTTCTCAATATCATTATCAGCCAGGACTTCACTACCAGTAACAGATTCTTCGATGGGAATTGATATACCGGCGTCGCAAATTGATACACCGGCGTCGACCTTACACCGGCGTCGCTGTTCGACCTTTTGATTGGCTCAAAAAAACAATACCTCCCCATAAAGGCGGTGAGGGTGACTGCACTAACATGGCTATTCCTGCCCTCTTCTCTAACCTAAGCTCTAATTTGAGATTTCTAAAAGTACGTATTACAGCCTACTTATACCCCAGGTTTGTAAATCTCAAATAGGGACTATATAACCCCTCAAAAGGCCTATTACCTAACTACCTTTTGCGACGTGGTTGCAAAGATTCATCGTCACTACAGACCATTTCCCACTAACTCCGTTTCCTCCGAACACTAGGCTACATCGGCCGTCCACTTGCATAATTCCCTGTTGTCCTCCCCTTCCAAGAACACTAGACTGGCTCCTTGTTTGTCGCTAGGATGAGCTTGATATCTGGCTTTGACTTGGCTAACTTGTCTCTTGTGTAAGCCCAGCTAGCGTCGACTTATTCTTGCTCCCAGGTGGGCGGCCTCGCTTCTTACTACTTACGCCTTGGCTGCTATAGGTAGTGCGGGCTTGTCTAGCTGACTGGCCCTCTGCAGGTAAGGCTAGTTATGATAGGACAGGCTGCACTATGTTCTTTAGCCTACCGCGGAGGGATGCAGCAATCTTAGGGTCAAGGATCCGGCGGTATGGATCTGAGGAAGACGTCTCTCGAAGACGCCACCGAGGGTATACCCCCCATTTACTGAAAGTAGCTAAATCTAACTTTTAGGAGTAGATCTTATGGCAGCATGGGATACCCAGCTCAATTAAAACAGTGCAGTCTAGACCACAGTCTCCAAGGGGGGCTAGGAATGGCCTCGTACCAGACGGCATTGCCTTCTTTACCAGCCGGTATTGCTTCCCAATTAATGCAAGACACTTCGAGGAAAGCATCGTTCGAAGTTCGCCTAGGTACTCAAAGCGAGTACCTATATACTCCCGGCCTGTAAGCACTTCATCCTCAGCACAAGCTTGCCTGAAGCGTATCTCCTGGTCACCAATCATGTCCTACATAACATCAACAAGTCGATATAGGTGACTAAGATCATTTAAGAGATAACTCTTAATGTTGTTATTACTTGACTCAGTGCCAGAGGTGACGCGAACACCAAAGTTCTAATATTTTCGGATAGAGCAGCGGGCCCACTGTGCTCTTAAAGGTAGGTATGTTATGTGGAGGTACTGGAGGATTGGGCGTTGGTCGTTAAACTCTTTACAGAGCTTGGTCCAGGCTTTCTCAAAAGCGTGCTCAGTCTCAGCAAAAACAACAAGCTTCCACATCATAAGGACCCCACGATACGTATGAGGGGGGGGCTTATCAATAGATGTGTTGATATAGGCCTCATCCTCATCACTTAGCGTGGCCATTGCTTGTATTGGTAGCTGATATCCCTCGTCATTAGACCCACTGCTGTTACTGCTACAGCTGCGGTCCTTAACCCACTTCTGCTTAGCCCTGAGCATAACGTTAGAATTGATGTGGTGGATGCAGAGTTGTTGCTGAACGTCTGGGAACTGCTCATTCAGTGCAGCCTTCATCTGCTTGTCGTAGTCTGTAATAATAACAGTGGGGTAACGGACTGAGTGTTGGTCCATGAGTTGGCGGATCCCTGCTGAGAGAAACTGGAAACCCTCTAGTCTCTCGTTGTCGATAAGGCCAAACGCAGCGTTATAAACAGATCCAAGGCAGGTTTGCCCAGTAGCTTGGAAGAGAGGGAGCTTAAAGCTATTGGTATTGTAGGTGTTGTCAAAGCTAATCACAGGGAATCACTTCCACATTTGGAGACAGTAGGGAAAGGTCCAGACAAGGCCAATAAGGCGGTTTGGCTCGGCGTCTGCCCATTTCACCACGTATAGGATATCTCGCTCATCAAACAGCTTGATTAATACTGCAGTTAGCGAATATCCCGCTAGTTTCTCTCGGTTTATACGAGCCCTAGCGTTATAGATATCTCGCTGGGTAAATAAGGACTCTGGGAACTGCTCCTGGACAACAGCACGCACATCGCGAGCCCGAATCCCAACTCGTCGGCTTGTAGTTTCAATGGCATCCTGAAGTGGCTGGGTAAGCCTGCGATGTGAAGGGTGTGCAGTAGCTTCAAGGCTAGGGCCATGATTATACTAACTATACTAGGGGTCTAGGTGATAACGTAAAAGCCACTTACCCTCCTCTTAAGCCTCGGCAATAACTTACCATTTACAACCGCATTTACGAGACTTGCGCTGTCGAATACCAGCACCTTGTGTAGGCCCAGGCTCGCCAAACCGATCACACTGGAAGGTGTATCGAATGATTCGGCCTCGAGCTTTATGCCTATTCCGCTTTATAATGCCAAATCCATTAACTAGATCTTGCAAAGGTATTAACTCGGTCGAAGAGGGCATCATAGGTTTGCTCTGGATCGCCAGGAATCGGTGGGTTTGGGATTTCGGTTATAGGAGGAGAGGAGGATCGGTTGCTTAGAGTGTGGTAGGAGGCTGCAGTTCGGAAAGACGCTTCGCTTTGAGGGGAGGATTGCCGTGGGGGTGAATAGGGTGGTGGGTTGACTTGGGGACCCCATGTTTCTTGCCATTGACGGACATACTCTTGTTGTCGGAGGAGTGCCGTTGTTAGCTGTTGATTAGTCCCAACAACCTGTAGAACAAGCTGAAGAGCACTATTGAACTACTCTGTTGTAGGATAGGAAGGTTGCTGGGACTGTTCGTTGGGAGGAGAGGGGCTATGCTCTGGAGAAAGTCGTGGGAGAGTAATCCGCTGGGTTTTTATTGTTCCTTTAGGGAAATGACGAGTAAGATATAGCGTAGGCTCCATACTAGGGTAATCGTATACAAGAGGTCGCGTGTCTTGTAGTATGTCGGCTAGGAGCTCGGTAATAAGGTCGCGCTGCCCTTAAGGATCACCAACTCCATAGAATTGGCTAACGCTAGGGCGGCTGCTTTCTGAGGAGGGAGATAATGGTGGTTGGCCAGATGATGGTGGGAGGCCGTACTCAAATAATGGTCGCTCTCGTATAGGGGGAGGTTTATTAGTAGGGGGATTGCTTTGAGATTGGCCTTGTGGAACATCTCTAACTCCAGTTAGAGAAGCCATTATAAGCAAATAGCATAAGTCAGACTTAGAGGCTTGATGATGTAACCTTAGAGGAAAGGGAGCAAAGGAACAAAAACGGTTAAGATACTTTGTGGGTATCTGGCAGAATTTGATTGCACTAACAATATTTTTTTGAGCCAATCAAAAGGTCGAACAGCGACGCCGGTGTAAGGTCGACGCCGGTGTATCAATTTGCGACGCCGGTATATCAATTCCCTCTTCGATATACCCCTTCAATCGTTCATCCTGGCCCCTATTGCTCACGTCGTCTCTGCCGCTCTTCTCGTGGGAAGTATTACGGCATCTCCCACTGGGAACGATTGCGAGCAGGTCACCTCATACGTACTCACCGTAAGTCACCCTCCTGCGGCGAAGAACTGCGTGACTGGCCTACGCTTTAGTACAAAGACATTGGCTCGAGTGCTTTTCCTATCTTGAACCCGGTGTTCCCGCCTACCCCCTACAAACAGCTGAAGTACTCGGGTCTCGGAGTCAAGTCTGTTGGTGGCGCTCTCAGCCCCAACCTCCGCGAGAACAAACTTTTGGTGTACGGCACCATCACCACGGCCTCGACACTGGAGAGCCCGTTGATCACCAAAGACTATGATGGGTCAAAGGTGAAGAGCTTTGAGCTTGAGACATTTGACTTCCAGTGTGTTCGCACTGGTCTCGAGAATGAGAAGAGGCCTTGCACGCTCACCATCAAGGGAGTGGACGTAAACGGCAACACCATCACTGAGGATTGCCCATATGACCCCAAGGCTGTTGCGGCAAGCTTGGCAAAGTTCAATCTTGTAAATGAGAAGAATCTCAAGAGCGTCAGCTTCGAAACCACGAGCACTATTACAGGAACAACCATCACGTACTTGACGGCCATGGACAACCTCAAGGTCAACATTAGGGCGTCAACTTGTTGAGTGGTCAAAATCTGAAGAATCTCTCTCCGTTCTTGAATTTTCAAGTCTCGAGAAGTAAAACTGCGGAAGGGAACAGTAACTTTGGGAGAAGAACTTCTCGACGTTAGGAGCAAAGTGGCATACACGAACATGACTTAGAATGCGTTTGTAGGGGAGGACGTGGATGAGGCATGTGCAAGGCGTCACCACCACCTTCTTTGAATACCTTATCAAACCACACAACGTACCAGTCATTAAATCAACCTAAAATACAAATATTCATTGCTGTCATGGTATCGTCGTTCTACTCAACACACAGCAAGGGCCACCACACCACCTCGCAGTCAAGTGTGTCTAACGATATTATGTCTCTTTGTCGACGATCTATCTCCCTGAGCTTACCCGAAGCTATGAAACAAATGCGTAAGGCTGATCGAAACATGCATCCCAGTCTGTAGCCCCTCCATCCCAAAAGGCACGAAGAACATTCTTGGCGTGCATTGGTAATGGTGTGGCAATGTCCTTGGCTTGCTCCAAGTAAAGCTCTCCTACAAGCCGACGCTTGTCTACTCGAACTGAGGCTTCAATACCAGCAACAACCAATGGCCATTGCACTGACTTTCTCACTTGTGGTTGATTTCTCGTCTCTTCCATGAGAGAATAGAGACGATTCCCGTGCATGGTTCTCAGCATTGTCAAGCGATGGACCTTGGGCAAGGCTCCAACGCTCTGTAGCGATGAGATGCAGAAGACGGCCACTGCAGAGTGAAATATCGAAGCAATCAGATCACGGTGATGTCTGTCTTCGTAGAAAGAGTCACAGTCTGTTCCATCAAAACTTTCGATCCTTGCCACAATGTCCTCTGCGACTGCATTCGCTGTTGACCTGTCCATCGCTTCATGTTCCTTGGAGACCTCAGCTCGAAGGTGATTAATCCGCGATATTTCTAAGAACAGCGGCATTGGACAGGGAATGTGTGGGTGCAATCCGAGTGGATAAAACTCCTGGATTAAGTCAATGAACTCTTCTTGAGGACAGATTGTGACTTGGTCGTGAGGTGGGCTCGTCGTATTCGCCGAGGTCATCACACTACGTTATCGTTGAGGTTAGTATCAGGGCCCAGATTTACCCAACGACTTTAGGCTTACATCATAAAAGACAGGACCATGGCTTGGAGATATTGCGCCGATGTGGCCCATTTTCGAGCACCTCCACGATATTCGAGCATAGCCAGGAGACCATCTACATGGTGCCTCCAATGCGGCGTAATGCATGCGTTGATCTATTGGTGATGGATCAGCACTCATTATAGCTACATGTAAGAAGCTTTACGCATCATTAGACTGACCTCGGACTGGAGAAGAAGGATGACCCCTGTTAGTACAACATCGCTACTTTGGGTCTTCGGATTGGCGATATCTTCGTTGATGGCTCTGATCGACAGACCCCGGTGATGGTGCATCCGGTGTTGTGCATGTAATATAGAAGGACAATCATTCTTCCATTCTTTTTGCACAAGCATACGATGATGGTACGCAATTCCAACCAAGTTGTGCGCAATTGAGACTGGCAGATATTTGACGACCTTGAGGGGAATTTCAGCGATAAACACGTTGCTCTTTGGTGAGTGCCCCGACTTAGTGTATGGATAGAACACATCGTTGTCTAAATAGTTCGACCGTTAGAGCAGTTTGACAAGTTTCGGTGATGGCGAGATCTTTTGTTAAGTGTTGTGCAACTTACAGTACTGGACAGCCTCGAAGACGTCGCAAATGTCAGTCCTCAGAGTGGAATGGAAGACAAGCTCGCCGCCAATTTTGATCCTGCTTGCAGCTTTAGCCAACGCTTCGCTATCCAGGGGCTCCTCTGGGCGTTTTGGCTTTGGCGTTTTCTTTATGATCTTCTTCGCGCCAGTGTCTTTGTCTACCCCACGCCCTTTGCGTCGAGTACGACATGTGACTTTGCCAGGTGCGAGCCAAGTCAGTGGCTTTCTGTCGTCGTAGCCAGGGCAAACGATGCCGGAAGCACGACATTTGTTGCAGACTGGCTTTACAGAGTCGCAGACAAGCCGACGACGTTGACACTCCCAGCAACGTCGTTTCTCTGGGTTCTCTGGCACCATTATGGTAAAAGTGGTTGACGACATTTGTGTTTCGAGGCGTGGATCAGGTCCGAAAAGGTGCAGTTCAGCCCTACCCGAGTGACAGGTTAATATGCACCAGCGTTACCAAATTGAGTAAGAAGAAGTCGACGGGACGAAACGGTCGAGGGTTGAATGTGGAGGGGTTCAACTCAGGCCAGATCCGCATAGGCTTGGATTTCTTAAGTATCCTATGCTCCGGGTGCGCGGGCTGCCTTGCTTGAGCCCCAATGTACAACACCAAGTAAGACGATTCGCTTGGCAGTTGGTCTTGGCCAGAGTATTTTCCTATTCCGGTAAAGACTGGCATGCTGTGCTTCGCCTTGGGGGCAACAAGTACAACCGCCGATCAACATCCCCTCAGCCCTAGAGGACTCAACGTCTCGGCCAATGTGGGAGGGATGATGGATATGTGGGGGCTTATGGTATCGCAAACCAACAAATCGTTGAGCATCACGGGCGCCTACCTACTCGTGTCTCTCATTCAGCCAAGGATGATATCATTGTCTTTCTTCGCCCTAGAGTCGGCCCGCTGACAGTTCCTTTAGGCAGAAGCAGTCCGCAGAGTGGCAGTGGAGGGTGGAGGGAAGATATAACCCCTGTACTCAGCTATGCTCCCACACTCACACTCTCAATCCAAGCTGTTGGCCGGTCCCTTCGGCTGCGACCGATAGACCTCGGTTGAACTCTGCGACACCTCGAAAGAATTTACTGGTCAGCTCTAAGTGAGGCTTGATATAAAAACAACTCGCCACCAGAAACAGAATAAGCCTTGGACACTTCAAGTATCGAAAATGCATCGAAAGGGAGGTTTGTAACTCTCAAGGCGATGGCAAGATCAACATGATGGCTAACCGCGCGCTATATGGAGACTGCATGTAGTCGGCCGTCCCGGGATACCGACAACCCTACAATGTCGACTATCAATGGAAGCTGAGATGAGGAATTCAATCGAACCTAATTACCTTGGTTCGTAAGCCACTCTTTATGCGTAGTCACGGACATGCTAAATGCTTACCTTGGGGTTGTGGACTGACCATAGCTATGCGGTTGTCAGCGAATAGTTCTCTTGGCACTCAACGAGAGTGGGCCGCGAATGGCGGCAATCAGATATCGCCTCACGACTCCGAGATGTTGCTATCCAGGGCTACTAGTACCTAGTATGCGCAATACGATCATTGTACCGACTTCTAGTCTGACGTGGCGGAGATTATTAGATCGCGCCTCAATCTTTGTTTTCAACGATACCGTCTGAGTATGTATATGGAAGCAAAGGTGTGAATATCTCTTCGATTCTCCGGTTGCTTGGGCTGGCAACTTTTACTACGTTATTTCACGAGTGCTGGATGTTTGTCTTCACCTCTCCCCCCAGGAAGCAGTGGCGACTCGAAACACAACAGTCAAATTGAGCATCTCGAAACCCTCGGCAAGCCGGGCCTACAAGATAAACACGACGGCCACGTTGAGGGCAATGCACTTCTCATCAACCGAGATGGAGAGGTTCGCAAGATCCCGGTTCCATCCTCAGATCCGAATGATCCCCTTCGCTTCAGACCTTGGGAGAAGTACAGCTGTCTTTTGCTGCTGGTTCTCCAGTATGGGCTTGTCGATTGCGAGTGGCCTTGGTGCAATTTTGCATGAATTCTTCGCGATGTATGGCCCTCAAGGCTATTCTTCCGAAGATATTATTCTCTTGATCACCATCCCAACCTTGTGTATTGGTCTTGGTAAGTCGATCTTGGCGGCCATATCTGTTGCTAAGCATCCTTTGAGTAGTTGGGAACCTAACAACGGCAATTGATTCGTTAGGCAACTATATCATCCTTCCTCTCGCACTGGCATACGGTCGACGCCCGGTGTTCTTAGGATTCATGGTTATCCTGCTGATAGCGACTATCGCTGCCGCTTTGCAAAATAGCTAAAACGGACATCTTGCTGCCCGGGTGGTTCAAGGCTTGGCCACGGGTGCCTCGGAGTCTCTTCTCCCGCTGATGCTCACTGAGGTAACCTTTCTCCATGAGCGCTCTAAGATCTTTGGCCTTTACTGGATGGCACAAAACGCGATATCCTCTACTATCAACTTAACCTCGTCATACTTGAACCATGACCTGGGATGGCGTTGGGATTACTGGGTCTTCGTAATCACTGTTGCCGTCGGATTGGTCATTGCGTTCTTTTTCGCTTTCGAGACACAGTTCACTCGCCAGCCCGAGTCGCTAGATGGACAAGTCATAATCACGGACGAATTTGGTGTCACTCGTGTCATTCCCGACTCCGAAGCTCAGGTGTACCTCGAGGAGATGGACCGGTCTGGCCTCACTGCTCCGGGCGCCAATCAAGCGACTGATTCCTTCGAGAGAAAGTCGTATTTGCAGCGCATCAAACCTTGGTCGACACCTCATCCCCAGCCGATGCGGGTTATGGTCTTGAGTTGGAAGCACATGGCGGAATCTTTCTCGTCCCCGGGAGTCATTTATGCGGTGCTGACATCTTCAATTACTCTTGGCTGCGGTGTTGGCATGTCACTGACCTACAACACTGTTCTGGTGACGAACTATCACTGGAAGTCGGATAATGTTGGGCTGATCAACGTTGGCGGCGTCATTGGCGCCGTTCTCGGCATGTTGTTCTGTACATTCGTCGGCAATCCCTTGGTCATGTACCTCGCGCGCCGGAATCGAGGCGTCCACATCCCCGAACACCACTTAGTCGTGTTGGCCTTGCCTGCTATCGCCGGTGTCGGAATGCTATTACTCTATGGCTACACGGCATCGAGGGGCTACACATGGTGGGGTTCTTACATCGGCTGGACCATCTTCCAGTATTCCTTTACCTCCGTTCTTATCATTTCCACCAGCTTTGCATCTGAAGCCGCACCTAAACATCCCGGGCCGGCACTAGTTGTGGTGGTGGGAACGAAGAATGTGGTCTCTTTCGGTGTGACGTATGGATTGACTCCAATGGTTGAGAAATGGGGCTATCAGACCGCTTTTGGTGTGTTGGCTGGTATTTTTGGCTTCATTTTTCTACTCGGTGTCCCTGTGTACCTCCTTAATCCGAGATGGCGTGCCTACATGTCGGAAAGAGAAAGCAGAACCGAAAACCATGTTGGCACTTGAGATAACCCATGGCTTCGTGTGTAGCCCAGCTATCTTACCGAGGGGTCAGCGAGGCCAGAACGACGCAGCCAAATTCAGTAGAAAACGCAATTTGGGACAATGGATAATTGCGAGACCCCCTCTCTGTTATCTCGAAGCCAAGTGCCCAGACAGAGTGCCTAGGGATTTGACAGACGCCAGTCATACAGTTAGTGGTCCAACCAAATTCCATCAGCGCGAGCCTACATCGTGGGACTCTGATTCATAACGAAGACAAGACACAGTTAATGTTTTGGCCAAAGTCTTGTATTTGGGTCGCTGCCCGCACACTGACATTCCAGTCAGTTGGCGCTGGCGATCTCGGTTCGGCTTGGCTCTTCCGCATCGTCGCACCGCGACAGCCCTTCCCGAGCCAAAAGGTCCACCACGCCTCCATCCATTGTGCACCAAGGAACATCGGCCGAAGAATAACATGATGCGAACGTGCAAGTTCTCCTTCACAGCCGGAGCTAATCTCGTGCAATACACATCTTGGTTCAAACATCCAAGTTCTTCGCGGTCTTCTTAATGAGTCGTGGGTGAGAGTGATCCGCATCGAACCTTACGCTCGGCAAGGATGGAGACGCCAGGAGCCACTCGGACCGAATATTTCCAGCATAGTTTCTTGGGCTTTAGAATGGCTGATAACAAGGACTAGTATTAATTTGAACTGTCGAATTTTGCCTGGATTCTTGATCAGTTTCAGGGAATGCAGCGAGGCACGTTGAGTGAGTCGCGAAACGAAGTTCCTGAGGTGAGAGATTATGAGTGAACCTTGGTGGGTCTCAACCCATAAGTCACATGACCCACGCGATGCGAGCTCCTGCCGAGAACGCGTCGGCGCGTTTCAATCGTAATTGCCTAGCAGGACCAAGGTACTTCCCAATCGGGACATCATCGATCTCAACCTCAACCACCCCCCGCGAAGGAATTGCGCCGTCCATTCCTTTTGTACGAAGAAGAGCTGGTGTCGATTCCGCTGGAGCCTCCATTGTCACCGAAGATGGGTGACGACTTTGGCTTCGACTCGGCCGATGAGGCCGATCTCCTCGCCGTGGTGGACGCTGCTCCCTCTGGAGCTAAGCGAATCAATGAGGATACTGATCAAAGTGAAGAACCAGGATCGAAACGACAGAAATGCTCCTCTGGTCACTCTGAACTGGCTCGCAGAGTCTTGCGAGAACGATTCGGCCTGGAGAGCTTTCGTCTGGAGCAGGAAGCAGCTATCAATCGCATCATCAGTGGCGACAGCGCTGTCGTAGTGTTTCCCACTGGCGGAGGCAAGAGCCTGTGTTACCAGGTACGAGAAGCTCTGCTTATAACAGCAACATATGTCTAACACGAAAAGGTCCCTGCCGTGGCTATAAAGGAGCTCGACAAGGAAACCGGATCCCGCAGCCCAGAAGAAAGTGGTGTCACGGTCGTCATTTCTCCCCTCATAGCATTGATGAAGGACCAAGTCGATGCTCTGCGCCGCCGAGGCATCTCCGCAGCCGTTCTAGATTCGACGCAAAGTCGCGAAGAGTTCGTCGACATACATAGCAAGCTAGCTTGTGGCAAACTCGATCTTCTATACTGCGCACCAGAGCGGCTCAACAATGAAGGCTTCCTTGCATCCCTCAAGTCGATCCATGGCGGCATTCGCTTATTAGCGATTGATGAAGCGCATTGCATTTCAGAGGTGTGTCTACTATCGCTATGCATCCACTACTTGACACGAATCCCTTCGTCTGACATGACTGCAGTGGGGCCACTCTTTCCGCCCAGACTACCTCAAAAGTCGGTTCCCAATACCTGACCTTGTTCTGCTTCTGCTAAAACAAAATCCCAGTCGCCCGCTTCGCCAAAGAAGCCAACGTGGACAGAGTCATTTGCCTTACAGCGACAGCCACAGCAGCCGTTGCCAAAGACGTTCGAGCTACGTTCGACATTCCGCCCGAGGGTCTTTTCGTGACGAGCATGTACCGATCAAAGTCAGTCAGGACAACAACAGTCCCTTTTTCTGTCAAGGCCATGCTGATGTTTCCTAGTCTTCGCCTTTTGGTCGAGCCTATCACTGCAGACGACGACCAAGTCGCAATATGCACTAAATTCCTAAAGAAACACCCCGGGCCATCCATCATATATGTCACGACCCATGCTGTAAGGCTCCTTTCACCTTCCAGTGGAACTTTGCTAATCCATGTACGAAAAGGCTGCAGAAACCCTAGCCGGTGAACTATCTAAAAAGAAGTTCAATGCTCGCGCATATCATGGGGGATTAAACGCAGATGTACGCGGCGGAATACAAGACACGTTTCTCAAGAGTCAAAACATGATCGTGAGTTGGCCAGACAGCCTTTTAAGGGATGAAGTTCTGACATGACGAAATGCAATCAGATTGTAGGCACGATTGCCTTCGGCATGGGTATCGACAAGGAGAATGTGCGGACCATTATCCATTTCGATCTCCCTGGCAGTCTCGAAGCATACAGCCAGCAGATTGGAAGAGCTGGGCGAGACGGTAAACCAAGCACGTGCATGCTCTATCTTTCTGATAAGGATTTCTTCGTCAGAAATGTTTTTATCCACGGCGAACGACCGTCTATGCTGGCTCTACGCACACTATTCGAAGAGATCTGCAGTGAGGAAAACTGTCAGTTGAAGCCCGGAGACCCGTTCTCCGTGGCTCTGACATCCCAATCACGACGGGTAGATATCAGAGTTTGTCCGGTCCATTTTCCCTCCCTTGTGCCGACATTCCTGTTAATCAATGGTCAATAGGAGACTCAACTTTCCATCATCTACGCCTACCTGGAGTTAAAGTTCGGTCTTCTTCGGGCTAGTACTCCTCAGTACTCCGAATACAAGTATCAGGTGCTGCAGAATCGTGCTTTGGAGACCGACGGCTCACCAGCATCGAAGTACATCCTTTCCCACTCCAGAAAAGCGCAAACCTGGACCAACATTGATGTTGACGTTCCTGCTGGAAACGGCGGAGTTAGCCGCGCTGATCTTACGCGCAAGTTGGACTCGTGGGCTGAATCTGGCATCATCAAGCTCAACAAGACGGGTGTTCAGAAGGTCTTCCGCATCAGCAAGAAACTTCCAAGCAAGCAGGCCGACATCGACGAGATCATTGACAATATCAACAAGGAGATTGTGAAGAAGGAGAAGCAGGATTTGCAGCGCGTTCAGGACCTGGTCAACCTGCTGACAGACAGCAGCTGCCTTACCCGTGGACTGGCAGCTTACTTCGCGGATACAACTCACTCATCAGTCAAGGAATGTGGCCACTGCACCTGGTGCGAAACACATCAGCAGGTCAAGCTACCAGAATTCACCCCCAAACCTTTGGATGAAAAGGCTATTAGAAAGGTACTGGCTGTCTGCAAAGAAGCCTGTCAACAGGAAGCGAGCAAGGCCAAAGGTGGTAAATCGAAGACTACAGCCCTTCAGACTAGACAGGCTCTGGCCAACAGCACAGCCAAAGACGATGCCCGATTCATGGCTTGCGTGGCTTTCGGTATCAGGACACCCCGAGTCAGTAGCATGAGCCTACACAACAATAAGGCTGTATTTGAGACAATGAGCACATGCAACTTCAACGTAAGTACATTCAGGACAGGGAAGAGGTGCTGTTCTCTGTGAACATTGAACTGATCTTTGAACAGGATCTCGTCGAGAAATTCGAAGACATGATGAAATGGAAGAAATCATAGGGTTCTTAGGTCTCAATCAATAAAATCACTATCAGGCAAAGCGCGAGTACAGGTGGGATACATGAGCTAGCAGTATTATTCCCGCCTGTGTGGTTACTTTTCAAGCTACGCAGTTGTATGTGAATAGTTCTATTGCGAAACTCTGGCAAATGAATACTGGGCTAGAATGCTATATCGGGAACTCAAAGAAGTTGATCGCGCTGAACTTGTACGATAAGTGTCTGTTGAGCGAGGTGGTTTTACAAACCAATCATAGCTTCTTCAACAGTCAAATCCGAAACGGAATTTTGCGCTACATTTGTCGTTGATGTTTTTTTTTGACTCGAGGTATCAAGACATCAAGTACAGCCAGTCGATTGCCTCTGCTAAGTACCCTTTTTCGATGGAGTCTTCATCTCGTCCATCGAAGTCGACTTGCTGCTCTCCGTCCCTTTCCTCCCAGTTATCGCTCACAAATACTTGCAAGTCACGATATTTGCCTGTCTTCTTGAGTCTTCGAAGATGTTCCTCTAAACAATAATGTTCAAAATCGTCCAAGTGGTAGCGCCACCCTCTTTCTATAATACGCAACTTTTGTAAAGATTTCGGGAGCTGTCGTAAAGTATTTTCTGCCTGCGTGCCGACATCCTGCAACCTCGTCGTGAAGGTGTCTAAGTTACACAGCTTGTGAAATTGCAGACTCTCTGCTTCTCCAGGTAATCGACGAGGGAGTATGACGCTCAGAGATTTAAGCGTTTCTTTGTGTTCGGCCAGCGCATCGATCATGCCCACCATATAGTCGACACTCGTGTCAGATGGATCATGATCGAAATGAAACAAGTGCTTTGGCTTCGAAATCATTTCAGCGAGGCCGGGTTGCATGAGCAAAGTTTGCCGGATGGAGAGGCTGGTGAGTTTCTCCCAAGTGTGCGATCCGTCGAACCATGCCGTGTTGAAGTTGTGTATTTTGAGAGACCTTAGCTTGGGGGCGTTCTTCGAGATGGATGCCACAAGCTCCATCGGAAACTGACCCCTGTGATGTGTACATTTGATGTGCAGCGTATCCAAGTTCGGAAAGGTGTCGTCCTCCATCTCAAAAAACTTGCCCGAAACATCATGGCTGTCATGATACTCATTCCAGATGTACTGGATCTCGAGTTTCCGAAGAAATTTGGCCATGAGAGGAATCGTCATGGAAAGTAAGTTGGCATGGCTGCTATCTTCCCACCTGGGGGGGTTAAGTCTGAGCCCCATCTTCCCGAATGTTTCGTTGATGAACGAGATATTATCTTCTGACAATCTCATATCGCCGTAATGAGGAAACTGCTCTAGGGAATAGATAGGAATACACACGCGTCGCACATGCTGTGTGCAATCTGGGCGTGAGGCCCAACCTCTAATGAGAGACATGCGGTAGTTGTGTCCGGGCTCTGTCAGCTCGATATAGTTGAATAAATTTCGTCCGACAAGCTGTTCGAATGCTCGACATGTCCGGCTAAGTGCCCCCAAGTCTGACAATTCTTTCTTCAAACCGTCGTCTGGGCAGTCCAGGTGCGAATACGATGGCTCAGTCGAAAGAGTCGAAAGCTGATCGAAGATATGCTGAATGAGCTCCGCCGGTAGTTTGGTAATTTCCCCCATTGTCTCTTTTGTGGAGGTACTTTCTTGTAGATGCGTAAGGCCTTGCGTGGAAGTAAGTTCTGTCGTGAAGTTCAGTAATGATTGGAGGCAAAAATTCGGTCAGTGTAGGCGAAGATGTTTCTCGAAGAAGACCATAGAGTAGTTATCTATGCCATCCAGGCCATGTATTTCCGAAAACTTTGTTATGCGGTCCACCCATCCAAACTTGGGTTATCTTTGATTCACATAGGTTTTCACATTCATTCGGTAACCTTTGTAGTCTTCTACTCTTCAAGGTCCCCGACTTTCATGACGGACTGATTATAAGGTAGCCTACCCATATAGTGACCTAGGTACTTACGTAGAACGCATCACAAGCTTCAATAAAGCGATCTAGCTGTTCAGCCTTGTCTTGTCGAGACACTCTCAAACTTCTTTGACTCGCTCACATTACCTAAGTAATCGACAGAATTTTGACACATGATAGAACTTTTACCTTCATATCAGTACCAAAATTTATGCCCGTTGCCGTCCGCGAAGTTCTTTTGTCGATTATACCTCAAACCTGACCGTACCGTTCTCTGGTAGCGAGCTCTTAAGGTGATATTAGTGATTTCTATTAGCAGTCTGCACAGTCCTAGGCGTTGGGCTGGATGTGTCACGTGTGGATGTTTGTTTTGGTCCACTATTACTCCAGCATCACACAGTATCATTCGCCCTAATTATTGATGCGCTGCGGGAATGATCGTTGACGCTTGTAGAAGTGCATTGTACTCAGGACTTCAGACGTGATTACTAGGTACCTTACGGATGGCAAATTCCATTCTCGTTGCATCAGTCTCCAAACTCTCTGCACAGGTCCATCTTGTGATCTCGAGACTTGCCCATTCTCATCTTGTCGTGGATTGTTTGCCTATCTATAACAGTCAAAAGCGATATCTGTCTGGACCAGAGAAGTCTTTCTCTACTCCATCTCCTCAGTCTCCTCACCCTCCAAGGATCTTCCGCCCTTCTTCTTGCCACCGCCACCACCACTCAGCGCCTGTAACCTCTAGTCAGCGATTAACCTCCCTTAATGGATTGCCAGATATGCTTACAGCCTGCTTATTCTTCTTGTTCTGCTGCTCTCCACCCTTGAACTCGCCAGAGAGCTTATTAAGAGTAGCCTTGTCTTGCTTAGAATTATTGCCATTCAGACTCTTGGCTTGCTTTGACTCCTTGGCCTGGGCTCCTTGGACCTAGAAGCGAACGGTTAGATCCAGAGCGCTTCAGAAACAAATATGAGAAGCCGGAGTGTGCCATACCTTCTTGAGGCCGTCATTCAGGTTCTTGTTGTTGGGGTCCGCGTTCTTCTGGTTCTTCTCGCGCTGCTTCTGTCCCTTGGCAATGTCCTTGTTGAGCTGACCCGACTGGTTCTTGAAGTCCTTGGTGCCTTCAGCCTTTTGGACCTTCTTGACATCCTTTTGCTCCTGTTTCTGGATATTAATGTTCTTGTCGATGCCGTTGGCTTCTTTCTTTCTCCCCGCCGCGCTGCTCTTCTTAGATGCGCTTTGCGCCCGCTCAACAAGGGCGTCAACCGGTGCCGGCACAGGTAGAGCAACGACGAAAGTAAAGAGGAGGAAGAGGGAGAGGATGAGCTGAGGAACACGCATTTTGGCGTTCGAGTAGTATTAGTGATTGATCTGAATAAGATATTAAGGGTGAGAGCCGTCAAGACTGTAACTAGGTAGAATGAGCTGAGAATGAGATGATGAACTCCAAATGTCCTTGCGAAGGCATCTTGGGGTAGTTTATATACGCTTAGTTTCCAGCCTAATGGTCAACAAAGTCTTTGTTCCGAGTCATCATCCCAAATCTTTAGCACATACACTTCGTCCGAGGGATTTGGACGGATCTAGCCACCGCACACTAGCAGCGTTCTTCTGCCCTAAGTCGTGATGCTTTCGTGATTGTTTCGCCCTGTGGTGAAGGAAGGTTTTCTGGTGTCGCACACAAGGGCTATTACCCCTGCGAATTATCTGAAGTCAAATGATTTTGACAAGTGGCAAGCTTTTGGGTGGAGGCGAAACGAAGAAAGTTTAGCCGCACAAGTGTTTTGGGCTGAACCTAGATGCCAAGACCTTTTGCTCCTTTTTGAATTTTCGGGTCACATTCCACATTAAATGCCAAGATAGATCGAACATGTCTACGGGTTACGTTTTAGCGCGAAAAGGGTCGAGTTAGACGCGAAGACGAAAGAGGAAAGGGCATGGGAAGAGCGATCATGTAGAGAGATGGCACATGTATCTTCCAAGTTCCAAGTCCTAGGCCGAACATGTCATACTTCACGCTCATTCAACGACTGTGCCTGACTCACAGCGCACCTCTTATTGGATTCATACATGACCTGCCCAGCGACCGTTTTGGGAAATGTTGGGAGAGTCAGAATGCGCGCAAGACGAAGGATGCATGAAGCCAGAACCGATCCAGCCCTGTTACCGACTGCTCCTGCGTCTCAAGTTCACCGGTGGGCTGACCATCCAACTAGTACGAACTCTACGATCATGGAAGTTGAAGACAGAACCTGTGTCTTCCCTTGTTCGCCTCGCTCGCCGCGTTACTACCTCTAGGTCCGACTTTAGGCTTGCGTCGCATGTCTCTGCCAGCTTGAGGAGAGTAGCACTAGACTGCTTTCTGTAGCCCTGAGATCAAAAGGCGGAAGAAGTGAGGCCACGTTTATCCAACTTCCGGCAATCCATGTCCATGATGCCTGCTCGTCCCGCCTTGTTAGGCGCGGGCGGCGGGGCCGGCCTCCGCGTTTTGTCCGCACTGCCGCTTCCCCGTGCTACCTGGGTGGAGTAAAAGAAAGTTTAAGCTCTCTTGACATGCAGTAACTTGCTCGAAACTCCTGACTAGCGCCGGAATACTCAAGCTTCTTTTTCATCTTTGTTTTAGCACCGTTGGAGGCTTAAAGTTAGCTGGTGAATTATTCCACAAAACATCCTTATGGAAAAAACAAGTAATTTGAATGAGGTAAAGGTCCGACGGTGACTTCTTGGGGGTTTGACCGCTGGGGAACCCCTGCGTCGATCATGGATCATCGTCTGAAGACGGTCTTCCTAGAGGATGTGCGATAAGATCTTCCTCGTCCAAAAAGCACTGCCAAGAAGTTCATCGCCAAGAGCTGCCTCCAGCACAGCCAGCGAACACTGTCTGAGCGGCGGTCACCATCGCGCATCACAGACACCGCTGAATTTGTGTTCACACTACATTCAGCATTCGAGGTGCATTGGGGAAGGGGGATCCATCATCTACGGTAGCTTGCCTCCAGAACTTTTGCTGGCGGGTTGACAACCTTCTCAGCTCTCATGGGCTATCCCAAGCGCACGCCTAAGGAAGGTTGGGTTTAGGGCAGACCCGGCACTAGTCAGAGCTTATTAAAGACGTTTGAGTCTCAGGACATCGGCACACCGACTTGCCGCGGCTATCCAACGCTTAATATTTTGAACGCGACGAGGCGAGCAGAATTTGAGGCTTACACACGGATCACCCCACCGCTTTCGGCTTGACGCGTGGTCGGGATCTGGCAAGCTGGTCCTCCAACCCGTTGAACCCAGGCCACGTCGATCATATGCCGGCTGTACCTATCTATCGGTAGACGCCCTGCGGAGATCGCTTCCGGTGGGATGGTGTGGAAGAACACATCACCAAGCTGAGACACGTTATGCCTCGCCGACTCAAGCAACTCACGGAAGATTCCGTCTAAACTCGATCCTTCGTTGTCGTTTTCGCAGGAGGATAGCAAATCTGCCCACCAACTTTGCCGCTACTACCTGGATTAGGAGAGACAACTTGGCTAAAACAATGAAGGCTATGTTCTATGAGAGGTGAACTAATTTACCCTGCAAGAAACAATAGTAGTTTCTATGCCATGGTCAAGCATGAGGCCGTCGGCCTCTAGAAGACACGACGGACAATACACGAAATAGACGCATAATTCCATCGGTAGAGATGGCCTAGCAGTAGTCAGGTTCAAAAACTTCCCTCTCGCCTAATTTTTCTTGGCATCTACTATCAGTATAATAAGTGGGCCACCACCAAAATCCATAACAGCTGAAAACCCTTCACCTCTCCTCCGGCGCCCTCCCGCGATGGCCTCGCAGCCTCCGGCGGGCTCTGGACCGTTGCCGGCCTCCTCGGCCGGCCCTGATCGAGGCTCTGGACCCTCTTCAGAGCCGCCCCCATCCTTAAGGGCTAAACGCCGCTGCGAAACCGAGGCCCAGCCACTCCGGCCTAGCCTCGTGGGAAGCCAGCCCGACGCCCCAACAACAACCCCCTTAACGGCTAAGGGGCCCTCGACTATGACTGGGACAGCTACTGGAGCTGTCCTTACAGCTCTTAATGAAGAGGCTAAGCACTATGAAGCCCGAAAGGACGTCTTTATGGCTATTGCTCAGTCTGTGGACAACGTGATCTCTTGCTTTGAGGGGCCTAGGAAGCAGATTGCAAAAGAAGCTACAACCTATGTAATCCAAGCCTTGAAGAGGATTATGGGTAACGAGACTAAGGCTCCGGCTCCGAGCCGGAAATGGACTGACGTAGCAGCCTCGGCTTCAACTATAGCCGTGGCCGTGGCCCCGACCCGTACCCGAATCCCCACCCGGCCCGAAGTCCAGACATAGAGTCTGACGGAGACCCGGGCCTAGGCTCTATCCTAACCGAAGGAGGACCTCCGGGTCTTTACCCGTATCCCAGAAGAGGGCCTAGCGGCTACTAGGAAGCACGCCCCCTTCGCCCTACGCCGGACAGTCTACTAGGCCCTTAGGCTCTAGCTGGCAGATATCCCACATATCTATTATATTACAACTAGCTACTTACTGAGACCCTGAATAAGCAGGTCTAGCAAGCCCTCCTTACAAACAAATAGAAATTAGCAGAGTATCTTAGGGCTTATAAGGTTAAGACCCTTACTAAGTGGTTTACCTACGTCGTCCCACGTTGCCCTACTAAGATGTAGACTCTTGGTAGCGACGCCCTTGACCCAGCTACTCTAGTAGAAGATGAGGTCCTTACCCAAACAGGACGTAAGCCTACCCGGGCCCAGCAGTCCCGGCTAGGTATAACCCCTATTATAAACAAAGTCTCCTAGGTCATCTCCTTCTCTGTGGAAGTACCACCCTTTAGACTATTTAACTAAAGCAGCAGGTCTCAGCTTATCCAAAAGAGGAAGACCCTAATTAGACATGATCCTGGATACCAGGGATATCATTGGAACCGATACTATCACCGACAGCCACTCTATAGTAACTATAGCAGGCCCTCGGGATCCCACGAGACTGGGCCCTGCATAGCTAGACCGAAGTGCGCCAACTACTCCGGCCCCTTCCAAGCTAACCATAAGGACTATCCAGCAAGGCCCCTAGTAGTTAATAGCTCCCCTACCCTCCCAGACCGGAAGGAACTCTCCCGGATCCGTAAGGCTAGTTAGAAGGCCTATAAGGCCCTCTATCAGAGCAGCCAGGCTAGCACCCAAGCCAGCAACACCTAACAACCTAGGAACAGCCTAACGAGCCATCAGCCCGGCTCAAAGCGCCCACGCGCCCCTACCCCTACCCAGGACTTAATTGTTATAGCGGACGTTAGTGATGCGGCTAGCTGTAGCAGCATGGATGAAGATGAGAATGGGGCTAAAGAAGAAGGGCTGCAAGCCCCTGACGACCCAGTCCTACCCCCCCTACCCAGCCAACCTACCCTAGCTACCTCAAGCAGCAGGGTTCAGCGGGTGGCGCAGAAGCCTGATTACAACGTTATTAATGCCTACACCCACCTCGACCTCGACTCAGAGCAGTAGGCTCAGGCCAGCCTCCCCACGGGTACTACGAGTCGCCCAGTGTAACGTGGGGAAGAGAAGCCCAGCTCATACAGCTCTCCTAGAGCTCTGCTGGGCGGATCAGATCGATATAGTACTGATCCAGGAGCCCTGGATAGGCTATAGAGATAAGATGCAAATCAACACACACCCAGGCTATAACTCCTATATCCCAGTTGACTTCTGGAACAACAGAGATACAAGACCTAGGGTTATGACCTATATACGCAAGAGTCTAAGACTACAAATACAGCAACAAAGGCCTACCCAAACGAGAGATATCTTATGGGTTAAGGCTGGCAACTTCACTATTATCAACGTATATAGGCCGCCAGGTGAGCCGACAAACCACACGACTACTGCTCTCCTAGGATACTATCCGCCAGAAAGAGCCCTTATAGCAGGGGACTTTAACGCCCGCCACCCTACCTGGGAACCAGGCTCCCCTAGCCGGAATCGGGGGGACGATATTGCAGAGTGGGCTGAAGGCTACGATCTTTCGTTTATTGGGGAGGTTGGGGTCCCTACCCATACTCATAGGCATACCCTCGACCTAACATTCTCAAATATCCCCTTTGCTGAGGCTTATATTAGCTCACACCTGCACCCAGGGGCTGACCACCAAGCTATCACAACAACTATCCCTATAGGCAAGGCCCAGGAACAGAAACGCCAGACTGGACACCTCTCAGTCCCAGAGTCAGCCCTACCCCGACTTATCGACCTAGTAAGAGCTGGATCCTCAGCCTTACCTACCCTAGGGGAAGTACCTAGTCCAGCAGAGCTGGACACTCTAGCTACCCAACTAGTCAGCCTCTTCTATACAGCTATTCAAGCTGTAGGTAAGAGACGGAAAATCAGGGTAGGGGAGCCCCCTG